CTCTACCATGGTCTGCCTGCTCGGCCACGCTACACTCCGTGAGCGGCAGGAGGGGAGCTCATCCCTTCCTGACGATTACTGTGTAATTGCGCCGTGCGACCCACAGGCCGGTACACACTAGGTGGCCGCGCACCGGCCCGATATTATGCCGGCCCACCAGGAAATTTCCCGGTATCCCGGTGGGCCAGTCCGTCCCTGCTTGAAAACGAGAGAAATGTCAATGTATCCTTCCTGCTAAAATATTTTATGAATCAATAAATCTGCCTCCTGTGTTGGTATCTCTCAGCCAGGCAGTGCATTGGTTTATTATTATTATTATTTTTCATTATCTGAGCTGCCCCTATGTTGGTATCTCCCAGCCACACAGTGTATTGGTTTATTATTATTATTATTTATTATTATCTGAGCTGTCCCGTGTTGGTGTCTCCAAGCCAGGCAGTGCATTGGTTTATTATTATTATTATTTATTATTATCTGAGCTTCCCCGTGTTGGTGTCTCCCAGCCAGGCAGTGCATTGGTTTATTATTATTATTATCTGAGCTGCCCCGTGTTGGTGTCTTCCAGCGACGCAGTGCGTTTGTTGAATGGGAGAGTGCCAGCTGTCTGGGTCACACGCGTTCTACCCAAACAGATTTAGCTCTGCTGATGGATGTGAGTGGGATACTTTTTCAGTAGTGCAACAGAGCATAGTATTATAGAGCAATCTAGTGAGTCAAGAAACCATCAGGAAAATGTAGAACCTGCATAGATCTGAGATTCTCATATAAAGCCAAAAATCAAGCATAGAGCTTGTGCTGATGCTCTCAGGAGGACTCTACTGACAAACACAATGTACTTGACATAGAAGCACTTGACATAGAAATATCAATCTGCTTAAACAGCTTAAATCAATACAGACAAGCACAGAAAAGGAGGGGACAATGCAAGTCTCCCAAAAGCCTAAGGGTATCCAGGATATTCCAGTGGAGCATCAGAGACAAGACATCAATATAGCATGTGATAATATTCAAGGGCAAACATATTGTAACATGTACCCAAATATCTGAGAATTAAAGGAGTACGGTCAATTCCCAACATTTTTAATATTATGTTTACATATCCATATATTTAATAAATATGTATTTGTGAGGTGTGGAAAATAAAATTAAATTAAGAAATTCAAACCACTTTATCCTGAAACTGGATGCCTCCATCCTAGCTCCCTGGCAATCATTGTTATAAGCTCTGTCCTTTGCACCTGGCGGTCAGTATAGAGAAAACATAGAGAGACGAGCAGAAATTAAACCATGTTTCTGTTTTTTCTCGATTTTTGCAATGTTTGCCCAGCCTTTGAACAAAAAGCCTCCTGTGTGTGATTAAAGGGACACTATAGTCACCAAAATAACTTTAGCTTAATGAAGCCGTTTTGGTGTATAGATCATGCCACTACAGTATTACTGCTCAATTCACTGCCTTTCAGGAGTTAAATCACTTTTGTTTCTGTTTATGCAGCCCTAGCCACACCTCCCCTGGCTTCATTTTCAATTAGCACAATGTGTTTACTTTAGAACTTTTTATTGCATGCTCTGTTATTTTAATCACACATTGGAGGCTCCTGCAGGCTATTAATGGAGCATAAGATAGAAAGAATTACAATGTAATTAAACAGACTGTGCAATAAAGGTCTGTTAGTCTCAGTCAGGGGAGGTTTGACTAGGGCTGCAAAAACAGAAACAAAATCAATTTAACTTCTAAAGGGCAGTGAATTGAGCAGTGAGACTGCAGGGGGCATGATCTAAAAACTGCTTTATTAAAGAGACACTATTCCTCATAGAGTGTCGGGATCCCGCGGGCGGCTGCGAGGGGAGGCTGCACTCCGCTCGCAGTACTCACCCTCCAGCCGTCCGCGGTCCCCTCCTCCTCGTGGGTCCGGCGAGCGGCATCCTTCCAGCCTCGGATGCCGCCCGCCGTTCCCTCCACGTCCCCCAGCGGCAGCATACATGACGCTGCACGCTGGGAGACCGCCCAGGTTTATACACGCCGGGGTCAGTCACCTGACCCGGCATTAAAGGCACAGTGCCTTAATCACAGTGGGAGGTCTAGATATCTCCCACGTGTGATTGTTAATTCTGATTGGAAATTATCGAATCAGAATTAACCTTATGGTTTAAATACTTACCTTTCCTGTTCCTCCCTGCCCTGTTGTGATCTTTGCTTTCTAGTATTGCTACTTACCTTGCGCTTCTGGTTACGTACTCTCTGGCTTGTTTATCTGACTCTGTGACTTTCTCCTACCCTTTGACCTCGGCTTGTTTCACGTTATTCTGTCTTCTGGTTCCCCTTACTCGGCTTGTCTCCTGACTATTCTGTGTGTGCTTAGCCCGGCCACTCTAAGGTCCGGTACGGCACCTTTTGTGTGTGTGTGTGTGTGCCAGCGTGTTGGGTTCCCCGAATCGTGACATAGAGATGCATTGACAATCTCAGCCAATCCAATGCTTTCCTATGAGAAAACGTGATTGGCTGATATCATCACTTCTGATTATGTCAGCCAAGAAGGCAAATCAGGGACAGAGCCAGCACCAGCAGACTGGAATAAAGGTAAGATTTTACTATATTTAGGTGGGTAAGAAGAGGCAGTGGGGCTAGATAGTGTTATTAAACTATAGGGTCGGGAATACATGTTTGTGTTCCTGACCTTATAGTGTTTCTTTAAGTTTAAGAGTATCTCTTTATTTTAATAGAAAACCTTATGGCAAAAATACACAATAAAAACACACACACAATTAAAGAAAAACATTTAACAAACACAAATTATGCTAAATGTATATATTATGCACAAGTTCACATACACACATTATACACAGGCATATAGATATATACACACTACATATACAGTAACATACACACAATTGTAAGAAATCTGGTTATTGTATCTTGGAAATACTTGTAATTAGCATAGTAGATCAGATTTCATCTATTTGTAAGGTTATTCAGTGAATCGTGCTATGTCAGTAATTCACTTGGAAACTGTACATTTTAGGCACAAATAACTGAATTGGAATAATTCACCCAGTCAGCTGTGCTTCCAGGTAAGCTGCTATGGCATATAACATAGAATTTCCCGATAAAGTCCTGAAAATAGCCTAGTTTTTCTGGTCCTATGCTAATATGTCTAAAATAGTGAGAGATAAGCCATAAAATATTTTGCGTTAAGGGTTAAAGAAAGCTAAGCAGATACTCCAATGCATGATGCTTATAAAAATTCAGGTTAGCTCTGATTTTACTGTAGAATACAATTTAGGCTAGTGTATGGTGAAAAAAAATTGGTTTGGCCGCACCAGTTCATCCTAGAATAAAATTTAGTTTGGGTCGTCTGAATAACATCCATGTGACTTCCAAATATTATTCATGCAAAAATATTAAGAGAAATATTTGGACAAGCCAAAAGATGGGGGTGAAAAGGAGCCAATACAGCTGAATATTGCCTAGCCTAATGCTAATTCTGAGTTGTCAAACATCACACAGCTACAAAAGATCCTTCCTGAAGAGGTTTCACCTTGTTAATAGCTGTGTCGGTGACCACTAACTCAACGTGCCAATTGGTGACTGCCTGCTCTCCCAACCAATTTGCCACAATTTGTCTTACTGCCTGAAACATATTTAACGAAGTGTGAATTTCATCCATCACACATGTAGCATGAGAGGTTGCTAGCCCTGCTGTCCTACTGACCCACTCCCAGTCTATTAAAGGGACACTATAGTCACCTGAACAACTTTAGCTTAATGAAGCAGTTTTGGTGTATAGAACATGCCCCTGCAGCCTCACTGCTCAATCCTTTGCCATTTAGGAGTTAAATCCCTTTGTTTATGAACCCTAGTCACACCTCCCTGCATGTGACTTGCACAGCCTTCCATAAACACTTCCTGTAAAAAGAGCCCTTTCTTTATTGCAAGTTCTGTTTAATTAAGATTTTCTTTTTCCCTGCTATGTTAATAGCTTGCTAGACCCTGCAAGAGCCTCCTGTATGTGATTAAAGTTCAATTTAGAGATTGAGATACAATTATTTAAGGTAAATTACATCTGTTTGAAAGTGAAACCAGTTGTTTTTTTTCATGCAGGCTCTGTCAATCATAGCCATGGGAGGTGTGGCTAGGGCTGCATAAACAGAAAAAAAGTGATTTAACTCCTAAATGACAGTGAATTGAGCAGGGGAATTGCAAGGGAATGATCTATACACTAAAACTGCTTTATTTAGCTAAAGTAATTTAGGTGACTATAGTGTTCCTTTAAGGCTGGACCTCCTCCACTGTTGGCTGCAACCAGTGTGCAGTCAAGGAGATGAAGGCATGCTGGCCACTGGGAGCCTTACATGAATTTGTGGTGAAGTACACTGACTGACCTGCAGCGTAAGCAAGCTGTTCCTACAATACTAACACATATGAAACACACAGTGATGGGACTATGTTCCTGCTGAAAGTGAATCGCGAGGGAATCACAATGAAAGGTCTACCGCAGCTGCTTAAAAAGCTACCTCATCATTGAAAAAGAAGCTGCCCCTACAGGAAACATGATAGCCTGCTTTTTTCTTACATGTCCCTGGAATAAAATCCAACAAAGTGTTCAAGAGTGTGGTTTTGGACATGTCCCTGGGATGATGAGGATAGGGAATGCACATGTCCTTGTCAGGGCCGGTGCAAGGATTTTTGCTGCCCTAGGCAAAAGAAAGATTTGCCCCCCCCCCCCGGACATCGCAATGCCCCACCCATATTGTTGCAGTGTAAGCATGCAGAAGCCAAACACAGAGATTTGGACACAAGTCTTCAGGAAGTAAGAGGCCTTTATTCACATTACCGATCGGGTCTCAGATGAACTCCTGTTCCAAATGATCTGAGAGACCAACACATAGTGTACATTCCTTATAGAGGACTATAACTCCTCCCATTAATAGCTACACCCACATATACCTTTAACCAATCAATGAGCAGAATATAGACTTGTACATCTAGTCAAACCACATGGCCCATCCAAGACAAAGGAAATAAGTGCAATTTCAGTTCCTGCATTCCTGCACATGCTCAGTACACTGATGACAGTATCCTAGCTACGTGTAGCTAACCAACTGACACAACATACACATATGCCACATGGAGATTTTGGCCTACTAAATTTTGACCATGCTGGAATCCCATCACATTCCCCCCTTTGATGCCTCTGACATAACATTATTCCAGATGCATCACCAATCACAGTTTTACCTACATCTCTCAAGTAGCCATTGAACCAGAGTAGACCTTGTAAGCATCTTAAAAACTCCTTCAACATTCCTCATCCTGAATATATTCTCTTCGGGCTAGGGGATGATATCTTCCAGACAGCCATTACATGGGCAGCTGTCTTTCTCTCTATAGTACTCTCTATAAAACTACGTAGGGACCTTACCACTAATGGAATTAGACAGGGCAGGAGGAGGCACAAAAAAAAAATATAATAAATTCTACTCCTCCTACTAATGTCTTAATTCCTCCAAGCTGCTCATACCAACTTCCAAACCAACTACTTAGGTTATACCCATTCCAGACCTGAGTAGGTACATGCACAAATTTAACCATGTGGCTTGTAAGTTCAGCCACTGCCTGCCCTTCATCATCTATGTGCAGACAACAGTTACTTAGATTAAACTTTCCGCATACACCTCCTTCTACTGCTAGTAAGTAATCAAGGGCTAACCTATTCTGGTATATGGCTGATCACATCTTGGTATTTTGCTTAGCTAGAAGATTAAGCGCTTGAGCTGTCTCATTAGTAATAATCTCAACTACCGCCTGTAGTCTAATAATGCGGTTGAGCATATATATCGGAGTTCTATATCCATAAGTGCCATCTTCTGCCCAAGTAGCAGGTCCATAATAATTAATAATACGTTGAGGGGGCCACTCATTATCTTCCCAGCTACCTATATTCAAGGATGCTCTCTCCCTTTTATGATTTACATCGTAAACCTTAACTCCCAAGGTCTCTCCTGTTTCGATTGGCAACAAGAAGAAGGATGGCTTTGGCATACCTAATACACATGCCCCTTCCCAATCTTGTGGTAACTCCGAATAAGTTTTCTTACCACAAATCCAGTATAAATTTGCTGGGGCTTTCCAACTAGATGTAGCCGATAAGTCAAACCATACCTCCTTTAAATGAGTGTAATTGGCAAACGGATTAGTAGGTTCCGAGACATTTGAAGCTGACCACCAAGTAGTATTTTTAGTATTAACATTATAGGCTTTTTGTCCCAAGCAAGTTAGCTCACCTACAGACGTGTTATACATTGTCCCTTTCCTGGCTATACAAACATGACCTATAATGGAGGTTTTTAACCGCCATTCCGATTTACTTCTAGTACTTACTTGATGATCAGACTGGAAAGGTATCTGTTGTTCATATGTCTCAGAGCCAGGGTACCATATTTCCTTTGCCTCCCATGGCCACTGGTCTCCCATATTAGTACCTCCACACACATAGCAATTAGTTACATTAAGACTACCTGCAATACCCTCAGCCAAATCAATAAATAGGTTCTTAACATTATGGGGAATTTTATCCTCAATACTCATCTCCTCATAGAAGGAATGAGAAACCTGATGAGTTTGAGTTGCCACTGTCTCAGTTTCAAGACCTACATATATTATTGTTCCTGGATCTACTCCTATGCCATATATTTGGAACCCAAACAGACCTCCGAACCTGTCAATAAAGTACTGCAGATTGGAAATGGTCATGTGAACGGGGTTATGCACATAGTTTTACAGTATGGTGTGGTAGGCAACCTTTGGATAATCATATCTTGATCCACTGTTTTTCCCAGGTTGCCCAACCTACACATGACCAATAGGGGCAGAAGTTAGTCTCTATTTGGGCAATCAGGATCAGTAGATCTTTTACTGGGACATAAGTATTTATCATTAAACCCATAAGTTCGTTCCCATTTAAGATTACCACATACATTCCAAAGTCTTCCACTACCCGAAATCGCCTTACATGCATCAAATAGTAGAATACCCGTGGAATGTATGGTGCTTATCACAGTCCTATTTATTAATGTCCCCTGGGAGTTACTATTCCGAATTACCAACCAAATTGTACGGGGTTGGAATTGGGGATCAAAACATTTAGACTCTCCTGATATTGGCTTGCACACACTATAATCAATATCCAAATATCTACATTTAGATACAGATCCCTTACATTCATACTGTGAGTGCCAGATGAGAGTTTGGGATATTTGGTTACCTGTTTTAGTAGTCTTAATGCAACTATCGCAATTTGGTATGTCTGTACTCCTACCTTCCTGAAAAATCATAAAAATACTAAGACACATAATAAAACACATTATTCCTGAAATCCTCATTTTTCTTCAACCGTGCGATGGCCTCTCAGCTTCCCGATTGTGAGGGCTGCAAGGATGTTGTTCTTCTGATCCTCACTTTCCTTCACAGAGATCCCTTCGAGACACTCTGGCTATGACACGTGGGCAGGTGGTCAGGCTTTATTATGGCCGTCAAAACACCTACTTGATGATCTCTGTAGACTTTCAACTAGAATGTCTCGATATCCCCTCGTCACTCCGACTGAGTTGCACGCTTCAACCGGGTCCTGCAAGGATTCTCAGGATCTGGAGTAGCTTGCCAAGAGTCTGCCGCTGGTTTAACCTTAGAATGATGAATCCAAGGAGTCACTTCCGCCACCTTTACAGCTGTTGGGGTAGATAAAAGAACAACATACAAAGGCTAACAGGATACACCCCGAGCTTTAACTCAATATGTATTGGTGGGATATTACGAGCAAGTCCTGGAGGATTATTTTCTTCCCATACTCCTGGAATGTCAAATAAGGAATCATCACTCTTAGGGTTAACACTTGTCACTATGGAATAGAAGCGTCATTCTTCTTCCCTTGGCACCGATATCGCCATTATGCCTGGTAATCCCTTAAACTTCAGAGATGTTGATCCATTAGGTAAAAGGTTATCTGAGCTTAAAGCTTCGATAATAGATCTCGTCCTAAAAGTTGAATCGGACACTCTGGCATATATAGGAACTAATGCTTCACCACATGGCCTCCCAGAATACAAGTGCGACTCTTAAGAACCGGTCTAGCTGCACTTCTCCCAGTAGCTCCTATCACAGTTATAGTCTTCCCCGAAGGCGGAGCCACCATCTTAGTCACCACAGAATGTTCAGCACCTGTGTCGATCATGAAAGAACTTCTCTTTCCCCCTATTGCTACATCGACCATAGGCTCCGCTCAACCAAGTGGGATGGAGCCCGGTCGGTATCAATAGTCTTCCATGATAGTATCAGCCAGACCCACAAAATCTCTATCCTCTCTTTCTCTAGGTCTCTGCGTGGGTGGATAGTATCTGTCTCCTTGAACACTTCCTCTACTTTTCCCACCATTCCCTCTAAAACTTCCTCTTCCTCTATAACTACCACTATAACCTCCTCGTACCCTTCTCTCTCCTTGTCTATCACCTTCATACTGCTCTCTCTGTGGACACTCACTCTTCCAATGTCCCTCCTTTCTACAATACGCACATTGATTCCTACTTAAAGGTCCCTTGCTCAGCCTATTCTCGTCTCCTCTATTCACTTCCCTGTCTTTCTACACTTAAGATAGCTACCGCTAGCATATCTGCCTTTTTCCTCATTTTACGTTCTTCCTCCCGCTTTACCTCCGTCTCCCTATTCATATATACTGTATTTGCACTCTCCATTAGCTGTAATATGGACATCCCTACAAATCCCTCTAATTTCTGTAATTTCCTTTTAATATCACCTTGGGCCTGGCTGACAAATGCTGAGTCTATCATTCAGAAGTTTTCAGGGGCTTCAGGATTGAAAGGAGTGTACAATTTATTTGACTCAAGCAGTCTCTAATATGGGACTTCAGCAAGGCTGCTCAATAATAGGTTCCAGTCTAGGAGTAGTAAGATAGGTGTAAGGGGGTGAGCTAATTTTATTAGTCAGCATTTGGTGGATGAAAAAACGTTGTTTTTTAAAAGTGTTAAACCAAAAACCTACCAGTAGGTGTCACCAGAGGGTAATTGTATCAAAATAATCTTTATGGGTCTAATAAGAAAACTTAACTTTTAATATATTTATACATAAAATAAAACCTTATAGCAATAAATAAATTAAAATAGGGTAAGCAATCCTACTTCTATCTGTTATAAACAATGTATTATCAATGTAACTCCCGAAGATGGCCATTAAATAGACTTTAATTAATTATGTCCCTATTTTATTATTACTTATTTTAATCACTGTCCACCCTGATATCTAGGCTTGATTAAATCTTTAGTTCTAAGGTAAATTAAACATTTCAGTTTGTAGTTTAGTAAAAGGGGACATTTTGGACAAAGCTGGGAGGGGCCCATCCAGTAACTAAAAAAAAAACAATATACCATCTTATACCATTGATCATTGATTAGGGGGAAGGGGAGTAGTACAGAAACACAAGAGTTTGAAACACAGGAACAGATAGGTATGTGGGTAGGCGGGGACAGTAGAGCAGGGGGAGTGCAAATACTGACTATACCAGTTTTGGGAGGAAGAAATGGGCGTGGCTACTCTAGCTCTGGAGGATGAGTAGGGGGGTTGGTAATCAGATGCCAGGGGGGGAGGGGATGTCCAAAGCAGTTGTAATCAAGGCCTTAGTTCTGACCACCATATGGCTACATTGTTTCTCATATGACACAGTTTAACTCACCAAGGCAGTTTTTCAACAATCAGTTTCCAACAGTCAATATATGGAAACTGATCATAGAATTCCGGCCTACTAGTTACAGCCACATGTACACCCTGCACTAAATTTAAGTGAAGACTGCTACATGGAGGCCATGCAGCCATCAGGACAGGCTACTCCCTACTTTTTTTTTTAAAACATACAAGACAAAGGACCAACAGCCTAGTGAATCAGAAGATTATTTCAACAGAATGTCTGATTCAAAAAGCTGTACAAATATACACACAGTTTCAACAGTCACACCAATCTCCTTACTAGGCCCAAACACACACATGCACGCACACACAGGATCCTCACATGCTCAACAATATCACGACGTCGCACACACGAAATTAAATCAAAAACCCACCAAAGACTATACACTTATCAATGTAACTATTATTCAAACCATACAATTATTCACGCTATTAATCCATATAAACTAACCGATCACATAACATTTCAACAATTTCATCTCTACAATTATCCGTACTATAAATCAACTTTTGACTAACCAACTATATCACATTCTAGTAACCTCATCTTTACAGTCAGTGGTTATGGTACAGTTAGTAAGTGGTTATAATACAGTTTTAAAGTCACAGATCAGTTAGTAACAGTTATGGTATTATACATATAACATAAAACAGCAATTGTTAGTAATTTTACACAATGTCAGTGGTTATGGTACATGTCAGTAGTTATGGTACCGTGCGCTATTTTACAGTTATACACACAATTTACACTCCCACTAGACAGCAGAGCTCTAACTTTCTAGTAGGACATACAAATTAACCAATTCACCAACTACAATATATTTAACAACATTTACAATAATCCCAACTATTCCAACTGGCCAGCACCTCGAGAGCTTTCAATCTATTTATACACCACAGATTCGATAAGTTCTTCGCTGCCCAGACACCACGTATAGCGAACTAGAGGGCAGAATTTACACCAGTACCCTTTTAGTCTATGAAACCATCAATAATCTAGTGGCTGGATTTACAACAGAGCACACTTAGTTAAGATAGGGTGAAATCTAGCAAACTATAATAAACAACAGAGTATGCTAGTCTCCCGGTCCCCCCGACCTAGCGAACAAAATTTACACCCTAGATACGCTAGTCAAGACAGGACACCGGTGTCCGACATGAGCTATTTACACCAGAACTCAGTCTGACAATACCACCTATATTAGACGGGCTGACTACAGAGTGTCTAATGTCCAGATAAGCAGTGCGCCGTTGCTTCTTCCATCCCTTAGGACAGGCAGATTCCAATAACCGGTTCCAAATATAAAACCCCTTGTGGGTCTACCGCTCTAACGGTATCAATCTTACCTGTTAGTTCCTGGACCTGGGTTCACTCATAGACGGAACAATCCGGGACTCACTGCGCAGAAGCCGATGATCTCCTGGACAAAAGGCCAGTGGCGCCGAGACGAAAGGAGGTCCACGCAGTAGAAGTCCAGGATTGTAGCGTAGAAGGTTTGGTAAAAGTTTACCGTCTCAAATCTCTGCGCCAGCTTCCGTGCGATGAGGTTCCCACTGCCAATGCACCAGGAATGTTGCAGTGTAAGCATGCAGAAGCCAAACACAGAGATTTGGACACAAGTCTTCAGGAAGTAAGAGGCCTTTATTCACATTACCGATCGGGTCTCAGATGAACTCCTGTTCCAAATGATCTGAGAGACCAACACATAGTGTACATTCCTTATATAGCACTATAACTCCTCCCATTAATAGCTACACCCACATATACCTTTAACCAATCAATGAGCAGAATATAGACTTGTACATCTAGTCAAACCACATGGCTCATCCAAGACAAAGGAAATAAGTGCAATTTCAGTTCCTGCATTCCTGCACATGCTCAGTACACTGATGACAGTATCCTAGCTACATGTAGCTAGCCAACTGACACAACATACACATATGCCACATGGAGATTTTGGCCTACTAAATTTTGACCATGCTGGAATCCCATCACAATATGATCTGTCATATGAACTAGTGCCAGTGCTGCACACAGTGTGTGTTTACATTAAAAAGCCTGCAGAGACAGACTGTAGACACCAGAACCACTTCTGGGGACTATAGTGTCCATTTAATGTGAGGTAAATTAGAGATTAGTGTCACTAATAATATACTAGATTGCCTACTTACAATCAGATGATGATGGTGATGGGCTCTGGCTGCAGTCTGGCTCCACTGGTCTGGTGTAGAACAGGATCTCTGGAGGCTGTTTGTAACTGTGGTCACAAAATTCAATGTTCTGGGAGAACGGGAAGCAGCTCCATTTTTGGGGGCCTCTTACATAGCTCAAGGTCTGGGCCCCAGGGCCTGACGGTGAGTATGCCCATAAAGCCCACCCATAAGTCCACCTACATGTTCCACCCATGAACTCACAGGGAGTAGAGTGTGTAGGGGATGTGTTATGTGTTACTGTAGAGGATCTAATGTGTGTGCTTATGGAATGTAGTGTATAGGGATACCAGTTTGTGTAGGTGATGCAGTGTGTTTGTGTGTAGTGGAAGCAGTGTGTTTTTGTGTAAGGGATAGAAAGCAGTGAGTGTTTGTGTATAAGGGATGTATTGTGTGTTTCTTGTTGTGTGTAAGGGATGCATTGTGTGAATCTGTGTTTGTATGCATAAGGGATGCAAAGTGTGTTTCTGTGTATGTAAGGGATGCAGTGTGTGTGTCTGTAAGGGGAGCGTTGAGTGTGTGTAAGAGATGCATTGTGTTTCTGTGTGTGTGTAAGAGAAGCAGTGTGTGTGTGTTTGCATGTGTGTGTAAGGGATGCATTGTGTGTTTCTGTGTATGTAAGGGATGCAGTGTGTATGTCTGTAAGGGGTGCATTGAGTGTGTGTAAGAGATGCATTGTGTTTCTGTGTGTGTAAGAGAAGCAGTGTGTGTTTGCATGGGTGTGTAAGGGATGCATTGTGTGTTTCTGTGTATATGTGCAAAGGATGCATTGTCTTTATGTGTAAGGGTTGCATTGTGTGTTTCTCTGTATGTAAGGGAAGCATGTTGTGTTTCTGTGTGTATAGGGATGCATTGTGTGTGTGTGTGTGTGTGTGTGTGCGCGTGGTGTGAAAGAGCTCCCTGTCCTGCCCCCTGTCCTAAAGAGCTCTCCCTTCCATCCCTTAGAGATCTCCCCTGCCCCTTAGTGGTCTCTCCTCTCCCCCTCACCTCCCTTAGCGGTCTCTGCTCTCCTCTGCCCCCCCCCTTTCCATTAGTGGTCTCTCCTCTCCCCCAACCCTCCCCTAGTGGTCTATCCTCCACCCTCCTCCCTTAGCGTTCTCTCCTCACCCCCCCTCCCCTAGTGGTCTCTCCACCACCCCCCTCCCCTCTTTAGTGGTCTCTCCCTCCCCACCTTCTCCTCAATCCCCCCCTCCCCTGTGTTCTCATCTCCCCGTGTTCCTCTTCTTCTCCCATTATTCTCCTCTTATTCCACCTCACTGTGTTCTCCTTCTTCCCCCCCCTCCCTGTGTTCTCCTCTTCTTCTCCCCAGTCCTGTAATCTCTTCTTCTCCCCCCCCATAATCTTCTCTTCTTCTACCCCTCCCTGTAATCTTCTCTTAGCTTCTCCCCCCTCCCTGTAATCTTCTCTTCTTCCCCTTCCTCCCTGTAATCTTCTCCCCTCCCCCTCTGTAATTTTCTCTTCTTCTCCCCTCTTCCCTCCCTGTAATCTCTTCTTCTCCCCCATAATCTTCTCTTCTTCTCCCCCCTCCCTCCCTGTAATCTTCTTCTTCTCCCCACTCCCTCCAATCTTCTCCACTCCCCCCCTCCCTATAATCTTCTTCTTCTCCCCCCCTCCCTCAATCTTCTCCTCCCCTCCTCCCTGTCCTGTTCTCCTCCCATGATCTTCTCACCCCTCCTCCTGTAATCTTCTCACTCCCCCTCCCTCCTGTAGTTTTCTCCACTACCCCTGTAGTCTTCTCCCCCCCTCCCTCTCTGTGATCTTCTCCACTCCCCATTGATCTTCTCCACTCCCCTCCTGTAATCTTCTCCTCTCCCCATGTAATCTTCTCCCACCCCCCACCTCCCTGTAATCCTTCTCCCCCTCCCTCCCTCATGGTTCCCCCCTGTGAGCCTTCTCCGCTCCTCCTATGATCTTCTCCCCCCCTCCTTCCTGTGATCTTCTTCTCCTCCACCTCCCTTCCTGTGGCGTGGTAAGCTCCTCTCGGGTCCATGACCGGCCGGACTGACAGGGAAGTGCACACTCAGTGGGCTGTGGCGTTTTAAAGGGGCCGGTGATGGGTGTTAGTAGTGGAGGAGGTAGCGGTGGTGGCAGTAGTTCAGAATCGGATGCAGTGCCAGTGGACTTGCTGTCTGCTCTAGTACTAATACTGAGAAGGAGGTGAGGTCAGACGGAAGAGGGCTGTAATGTCATCAACAATGTTGCCCCACAAAAATTCAGCCCCACCAGTAAATTATTTAATGTGCAATGCAGAATATTATAATTAAAGGAACACTCAAAGCAAACACCACAACTACTACAGCACACTGTAGAGGATATGGTTGCAGAGGTGCCCTGGTTACTGCCAATGTTAGTTATCAAATAATTTTAAATGGTTTGACTACTTACCTGGGGTCCACCGAGTGCTGTTCCCCACCTCAACTACTTCCGATGCAGGCCCGAAAACTCCTAAGCACTGCTAAGTTTAGCTCAGACAGACAGCTTCTAGCTCTCTGTCGGAAGTAGTGGATGCAGGGAGTGGAACCCAGCGGACCGTAGATGAGAAGTGAAATTTTTTTAAAACAGTTTGTCTACATACACTATAACCACTACAGAGTGTTCTTTTAAGTGGAGTAAATATTTCAACTTTTTTTTTTTTCAATGTACAACCTTTCAAAGTGATGAAGGTGTATTTGTGTAGTATCGCAGTTCGTGATACAGTTGGTATGTAAGCAGGGCCGGCCCGTCTATAGTCTGCAGTGGAGCCAGGGCTCCAGGCGGCACTCTGACAGGGGCACCATTTTGCCCCCCCTGTCAGTGGCAGGCTGGCGGCTCTCTAATTAGGCGAGTTAGGCAGTCGTCTAAGGCATCTTGGCCGCCTAACTCACCATAGGGCAGGCAGACCGTGTCAGGGACCGAGGACCCGACACCAGTAGGGGGGCCAGGTGGCTTGCCCAGTATGACGCTGGATGTGAGGCCACTCCAGTCTGCCATGAGCGGCAGAGAGCCAGCACAGTCTGCAGCTTAGCCAGATGTGAGCTGCAGACTGCAGTGTCTCGCTATCTCTGGCCAATCAGAGCCTTGCCGCGGGTTGCCACGGCAACGCTGTGACTTCTGGATATCGCGAGACACTGCACAGTCTGCAGCTCACACCCGGCGAAGCTGCAGACTGTGCTGGCTCTCTGCCTCTCAGGGCAGACTGGAGAGACAACCCACCTGACCACCAGGGAAAAAAATAAAGGTATTTTAAAAATTACAATCCCCTCCTTCACTGTCACCCCACCCAACTGTGTCACCCCCTCCATCCCTCAGTCACTCTGCCACCACCTCCCTTATTGTGTCAACCCCTCCCTCCCTCAGTCACTCTACCACCTGTCACCCCCTCTTTCCCTCAGTGACTCTGCCATCCCCTCCCTTACTGTGTCAACCCCTCCCTCCCTCAGTCACTCTTCCACCTGTCACCCCCTCCCTCAGTCTCTCTGCCACCCCTTCCCTCCCTCAGTCATTCTACCACCTGTCACCCCTCCCTCACTCTGCCACCCCCTCCCTCCCTGAGTCACTCTGCCACCTGTGGCCACCTCCTGTCACCTGCACCCTGTCACCCCCTTACTCACTCTGCCACCTGTCACCCCCTCCCTTACTGTGTCAACCCCCTCCCCAGTCACTCTGCCACCTGTCACCCTCCCTTACTGTGCCAACCCCTCCCTCAGTCACTCTGCCACCTGTCACCCCCTCCCTTACTTTGTCACCCCCTCCCTCAGTCACTCTGCCACCTGTCACCCCCTCCCTCACTGTGTCACCTTCTCCCTCCTGCATCCACTATACACACGCATACATTGCATCCACTATACACACACTGCATCCACTATATACACACACTCTGCAACCACTATATACACACACACTCTGCATCCGCTATCCACACACTGCATCTATAACAAAATATACACACGCTGCCTCCACTATACAAACACACAATGCATTCACTACACACACTGCATGCAATCAACAGACACTGCAGCCACTGCATCCACTACACAAATACACACTCTACATTCACCACACACACTGCATAACATAATGGGTGTGGGCGTTTTTTGCTTGGTGTGGTTTTGTTGGGGGTGGGGGGGCATTTCATCCTTTGATCCAGGCAGCACAATGCCTTGGCCCAGCGCTGTATGTTGCATGCATTTTTGCTCTACTGTCCTTTTCACTATGCAACTAAATCCAGTCTGCTTTCCCATGATCCACTCTGCTCACTCAGTGATACAATCTGCTTCCACTCCCATACTGTCTGCTCCCAGCTGCCATACAATCTTACCAATTCAATTGACGCTGCTCCCTCTCCTACCACTCTGCACCAATACCTCTTTAATGCTCACCGTCAAATGTAGCGGAGTGGCACCTGGCAGACACGAGATAAAAATATAGTCAGGCCATTCTAAAACTGTATACAATGGGGTAGAGCTAGGGTACTCATGGCACTATAACTACTACATCAAGCTGTAGTGATCATGGTGCTTGAAGTGTTCCTTTTAGGGAATTATTACGAGACATACAAGAGATTAAGGGGGAGGGAGGGCGATTGAGGTACACACAATGGTGTAAGGAGGGATTGAGAGACAAACAATGGGTGTAGGGGGGCACTGAGCTGTAGTATTGAGAGATGCACAAGGGATTAAAGGGGGATAAGGAGAGATATATAAGGAAGTAAAGGAGGGGAAACACAAACAAAGGGGGGAAGAATGACACACAAAACAAAATTACATTTTTGTTGTGTCAACTGGCAATTTTACCCAGAGTGCCGAATGACACAGGTACACCTCTGGTGTATTTGGCAAATATGTATTTTTGTATTTTAATTTCATCTCTGCTAGGGATACAACTTGTCCACAGCTTTATGTAAGGCACTAATACTTGCTCTCAATGGCAAGCGAGGAAAAAAAAAATACAGTATATTACTTTTTAGGAACCTAGAAATGGATTTTAAATTGCATCCCTGGTGTGCTGTAAACAGAAATGAAACACAACATCCTACACACAGGTGTGAAAGTAATGTTTAGCATTAAACTATTCAAGCCAGAATATTTTATTTAATAAAACTTGTTCTCCTCTCATTGCCTACCTTTCCAATGATGACCAGCTCTGCCAGTTTGGAGAGTAATAGGTTAACCATTCTAATTTTACATTCTCATTCAGTGTGGGCTGTCTCTGTAGCACATTTCTGGTTCTAAGCCTGTATGTAGCCTAGCTGAGCCCCATAGCTAATGCAGTTTATAAATCTTTGGCTAGCCATCATTGCCCTCAGTCTAGCAGTGTATTGGTTCATACAGCTGATTTAACTGGTTTAACAACCCTCCTTACTCTGCAGCAGAGAACACTGTGAACATTTAGGAACCTAGCCACTCAATTGTATCCATTCCATGCACATGATCCACCCAGGGGACCCCATTCTTCTCTTAGCCATGAGCACCACAGCATTCTGCAGGAGGAGCCTTGGATTATATGGGAGGGCGGTGAGAACAGACGGCCACTGAGAACGCGGCTCTCTGATTGGCTGGGGCCGCCTTCTATTGGCTATGTGCGCTTGTCCCCTGCCTGTCACTAGAACAGACTGCCTGCCAGAGGAGAGTGGGTGCATGGCTAGTGAAGGAGATCCCTCACTTACCCGGGTAATAACGGGACAAGGGAGACGGGGAAGCCACGGTCTGGAAGCCAGGACAGCACCTCTTCACAGCAGGAGACTCCCTCACCAGCAGAATGAATGGTCCATGAACACCCACAGCCAACAGCAGACCTGGCACACTGTGAGTATACCCAGGGCTCTCACTTATGGCTTGTTCACCTCCACCCCTGGGTGCTGGGTAGCCACAGATCCTAATGGGCTGGTGATAAGTGGCAGTGTGTCCCCTGTCCCTTTGTCACAGCTAGCTGCACTGGCAGTTTGGAGAATGAGGGGATGGAACAAAGGGGAATGCATAGGATGGGATTACAAAGAGCCTGGAACAAAGGGGGACAAGGAGGGATGCCCTAGTGCTGGCCATTCTATTGGGCACATTGCAATAAGGTTGCTTAATGCCCTGCTGTGTGTTTTTTTGCTGATGGGGAGTTAAAGAGCAGATCAGATTTTACTGATCTATTGTCTCCTAAGCCCTTGCTAAAAGTATTTAAGCTATGTAACTCCTTCACTGCCAGTGGGTGTACATTCCAGGTTATCCCCAGCACAAAATAGAGCTAAATACAATTATATATGCATCTCATTATGTAACTATATATTTAGCATCATATTTCATTTTATATCATTAAAGTATATTTTTTTATCATATTAAATCTTTTTTTATATATATTTTTTCAATAATGAGAATTTCCAATTTTGCCTCATAACTGCATTTCCCAAAGATATAATTGCAAGGCATTGTCACATTATAATGTTTCTGTGTAACTATCCCATATCCTTGCTCCCAGTCCCCTTTGCTCCAGCCTCCACCTGCCAAAATGTTTAATATGATACCACAGAGTAGACTTTAATAAGCTGGGGGGAGACAGTCCAAAAATAAAGTAGTCTGCTTTATTTTAAACCAGATACAAACCTCTTTGGTAGAAGGAGTTTTAAATCCATGCAGCATGTACAGATATTTTATTTTTTGTTACATCTCTCTTAAAACTACAGATAGATTTCAAATAATTTAGGATGTTCTGGCTTCCAATGTCCACTATGTACAGCTATTAATAGACAATATATCCTCCTTTATAATCTTCCTTTCTGTTCCTTCTCTATTAATAATGAGCAAGGTTTGGTGCATACAAGAGGATTTCTCTATTGTATGTGTTCATCATCCTAGTCATTTAAATAAAATGTAGACTAGAAAATGACTTGGTTTGACCAACACAATTTCTGACATCATGTCATTTTTTGGCATTTAAGCGGAGGTCGTGTTTTATAAGGACAAATTTGGAGAAAATTTGGAGCACAGTTCTACATTCGGAGCAATCAGCATAAACATTCCTTTGGTTTCTATGGTGATTGCACCATTTTTTTAGCTACTTTACAGAGAATTGCACCAATCACAAGCCTCCTATCTGAAGCTGCAATTGGGGTCAATGCAAGAATATCCTATCTGCCTGCTTTGAAAATATGCTCTATCATGCAGACAACCTCTTAAGAACCAATAACAATCTATGCCGTCATAACAATCAGCTCTTTAAGGATTCCATTCCGAAGTGGAATGCCTCCGGGGCTTTAGAGTATTTCCAATGCTAGAAAAAGCGGATAAACTATGTAGGAATAACAGTATTTGATGATGATGAATGAAAAATTTGAGATGTTGCCATAACGGGTTAAGCAGCTGTCCAAGAGCCCCATGGATCCTTTGGTAATAAAGCTACAGAACTTTCATAAAAATAAAAAATAAAAATAAAAAACAGATATACATAAATGGTTGCATCACTTCTGTCAGGGACGGCCAACATTAGTAGTTATATTTAGGTACCCCGGTCAATCAGCCATGATTGTTCTAATTCCTTTATAATATGTCTTCATTGTTTTAGGATTTAATGTCCACATGGCTGTTACTTGACAGTCTGATGTGTTTTTGATTTCAAAAACTTCAGTGTCACTTGCAGTGACGAGCAAAGGTCCATGGGAGTTCTAGTTCACCGTTAGTGGAATATACAGTCTTTGAGTTGCCCTGTTACAAATCACACTGCGGTGAAACACACATTTTGGAGGATTAAAAGACATTTGCTAGTGTGGGCTTATCGAGTCACTCCAATATGACTTCCTGTACAAAACAAGGTCCTTCTGTAGAGGAATGCGCTCTGTAATGCACCCACACAACAAAAGTGTAAAACTTAACATTTTAAGAAGCTTTAAATCATTGATATAAGATCTTTTTTTTTTTTTTATCCCAAAAAAGTGTCTGTCTAATCATTTGCAACTTAAATTCATATAAATGATTTAGCTCATGTGTGAGCAGCAGCCATTGGTTTTTATGAAATAATTAGTGATCAAATCCATATTTGACACCATGCATCCATTTATTGCACAACTTGCCTCTCAGAAACCAGCTTCATTCATTTCCAAATGCTGAACTGCAATATTCCCTCAACCCTTGGCTCAACTTCCCACCACTCTGTACCTTGGTATCCTGGCATCACCACAACAGTTGTATCATCCTAACTAATTTTATGTGTATTTTCACACATAATGGAGAACTCCAAACTAAAGCACTTGAGCGTACAGAAGTGCTTTAGGGCTTAATAAAGTATCCCCCCAGCCTGATTTTTAAAAAGTGCTTATTTTAAGAGAAGTTGCTGGTGCAGTGCAGCGATTGTCACGTATGCGCCCTGCTTCCCATTGAATTGAATGGGACATTGGCATTGCTGAGTTGGCGGCTTTGAGGGCTGAATCCCCAAATGTGAGACTCATTAGCTGTAGATATCTACAGGTAGTGGAGGGGGCAGGTGGATATTGTTTTTTTTTCTTCTAGTTTTTAATTCTACATCTGGCACCTGCTTCTCAAAGCATTTAGATATTCTTTGTAATCCAGCCATGCTACCCAACTAATAGAAGGGTGTACAGGGGTGTTATATCAGAAACCTGATGTAAAAAAAAAAAAGATCATTAGTATAGTGCTCTTCAAGAGTGCTAAGGGGGTTGTTGCTCACCCAGGTGATGGTAGAGAAGGGGGTGCCAGGTGACAGAGCTTTTCTGCACACCCCTCTATTAGTTCAGTAGAGTGGCAGGATCACATTACAGACATGGCTGGGGCTCTTGTCTCTGGTTGTGCTTTCATTGAGATATCCCCAAGAGATGATCTCCAAGATGCGGAGTGGAACTATAGCAAGGGATCCTCTGGCTTTAGAATTAGAGGTAAGTTACCTCTTTTTTTTAGGGGAGCACGGCTTTTAGGGGCCCTAAATCTATACAGTGTTCAAAACATTACAGTTTATAAATAAAGGTATTTATTTATAAAATGCAGGAGTGTTCCTTAATCACATGTACTTCTACACTAATCTATTCACCTATTAAATATTGATAAACAAACTAATTTTAACACCTATCAAAATTAACCGCTTTCAACAGTATAACAAAAATAGACATCAAAAGTTATACCAAATTTACAAAAGAAAATAAAGATTAAATAAAGCAAATATTTACATACAATGTATCACACATTTTTGGGAAGTAACTTTGATGCTGCTAACTCTCAGAAAGTTATATAAATCTTCTGCCCATTGGAGTGGTCTGGGTACCAACTCCCACTGCTCTTAACCCTGCAAGTGTAATTATTGCAGTTTTCATAAACTGCAATATTAACATTGCAGGGTTAACTCCTCCTCTAGTGACTGTCTAGAGGGCACTTCCAGGATTCTAGCACAGGGAGGATTCTGTGCTAGAGCGTCGCTGGATGTCCTCACGCTATGCGCGTGCGTGGCTGATGTGATAAAGGGGAGGAGCAGTGGCGGAGGAAGAAGCAGCGACGAGGGACATCATCGCTGCCTTTGGTAAGTGAGTGCAGGGCCGGCGCGTCCATAAGGCGTCATAGGCGGCCGCCTTATGGCGCACCGGCTCTCGGGGCGCAAAATTCCAGTGACCGGCAGGAGGGAAGTGCTCCCTCCTGCCAGGTCACCTCCTGGATCCCCGGTGCGGCGTGCGGCTGAACTGGATGCCGAGTTGGCGAGGGAGCTCTGATCTCTCTGATGACTTTGCATAATTTGCACGACGATGACATCACTGCAGGTGGCTCAAGGAAAGGTGAAATTTACATACCCAAACCTGTCCCTTGTGGATGCCGCCATTTTCTTCCGGCCAGACCTTGTCAGTGCCTGGAGCCGACGTCGTTTTACTCGCTTATGCACGAGAGTAGAGCATTGAGAACTATCCAACGACATCGTACCACGATAGATGCAGCTAATATCTCTGGTGACATCTGGGAGATTCACACTTCTAGACCGTGGTAGCTCCGCCCACGCCCAGTGTCTATAAATGTCAGGCGTAGGAAAAATACGGAGACAAAGTAATCCCTAATTCTCTCAAAATATATTTTTATTGGAGTTTGTAATTTCAGGGAAATTTCAAAACAGTCAGTTGGAGTATTTCATGAAGATTTTATCTTTATAAAATACTAATTTTGCTGCTTTAACCCCTTAAGGGTGTCCTTAAGGGGTTAAAGGGACACTTTAGTGTTAGGAATGCAGACATGTATTCTTCACGCTATAGGTTTAATCTAACTATTCTAGCGTCCCCTTTCCAGGAAGACAGATAATAGAGGTAAGTTAACCCTGCAATGTAAACATTGCCATATGTACTAAACAGCAATGTTTTCATTGAGATTAAGTGGTCTGTGGGCCTAAATAGTCCCTTTAATTGTCGATCAAAGCCGTAGCCATAATTAGATGTTTTACAGTACCAATTCACAGGTAGCTATAATCCCAAAAGCAACGGTAAAGCTGCAGCACAATATATGTAGAAAGTTTAAAAAAAAAAAAAAAAAAAATATATATATATATATATTTCAAAGCTGCATTCAGCAAGCAGGAACATACGTATCGAAACTCCAATATTAATTTTTCCTGTAAAATGACCAAATAAGCAAATTACACAAACTAAAGTGTGATTTGGAAGTGAATTTAAAATTATAAGCCAAAATATCCCAACTGAAAACATAGTTTTTTTATATTGTGGATTTAAACCTGATATTCTGTTTTAATTTGAAAATACACACTTTTTTTGTGAAACCATGTCAATATATGTTTGTTAGATGTGAAATTGGGTAAAGCTGCTCTAAGTTTTGCATGGTCAATCTTAAACTTTCGTTCTCTCTGGGATCCTGTGTCCCATCTATACTACCATAACTCTTAGAATGCTCACTACCTAACACTCTCAACGTTAAATGCAAAAACATCAAGTTAAAAATGTACAAGTCTAGAAATATCTATGTACGTATTGTAGTTTCTAAAATGAGTCTCTGAAACATGCATTTAGAACAATGCTTAATACATTCTATTAAGCTGAACTCAGCACTTTGGATACTATTTACAAATCTTTGACCAGGTTTTGCTGACAAAAGCAGCATTTTGACTCTCTTTTCATGCTCTTCTGCTTACAGATAACAGCACTCAAGACATTTATTTGAGGCACTGAAACCAAAACAGCTGGTTTATGAAATGGATACTGGAAAGTAAATGTAAAAAATTTGAAGATACAACAAGAGAAGACACGGCCTATCTTAAGCTGAGGTCTCATCAGTATTAATGGCACTTTTTTGTTAATTAGCATCTTGTCCGGATGGAAACGTCAAAGGGAGAACAACACGAGGACAGCAACCAGGCTGTTTTTGTGTTGAGTAGACGAACATTTGTTCTACAACCAGCTTTGTCCACAAAGAAATTTAGATGGACATCATAATACATATGGTTAAAGATCTCTGATTTCTATAAAAATATTAATTATTCAGTCTCACTCATATCAAAATGGAAAAATCCTAACAGGAAAAATGGAATGGAATATGATATAGAGATTTACATTATTTCACATAGATCTTAATTACTGTATTAGTTTTAATAAAAAGGAATATTTGCACATGATGGCTTTGGAAATTCAAAAATCCCAGGCTCTTAGTGTCACCTATCACTCTGATGGTAATTATCAGGAAGAACTAGGAGAAAAGATGCATGGTTCCAGGTCTCAGAGTTTACCAGTCTTAAATGGTTTCTGTAAAACATCTTCTCAAGGAATTGCATCAAAAGTGGTGGACACAACACGTTCAACTGCAGTTTTGGCACAAACTAGTTTTCAAGGAGTACCTGATCTGAGAGATGGCCTGGCCCGAGACGTATCATATGAAAGTAATACACTTTCCTCTAGAACAGTATTTTCTTTGACAACACCTAGCTGTAAAGGTAGTGGAAATCCTGAAAAGACAGAACCTAATAGAAGCACGAGCAAAAGAAAAGGAGTGTCTCGGTCAACAACATTGTCTACAATAAGAAGTAGTAAAGTTTTTGGAATAGCACTGACCGACTCGCGATGTTTTCTGGTTTGTATGTGCTTATTGACATTCATTCAATCCTTGATGGTCTCTGGTTATTTGAGCAGTGTGATTACCACTATTGAAAGGAGGTATAGTTTGAAGAGTTCAGAATCTGGACTTTTGGTGAGTTGTTTTGACATTGGAAGCCTTTTGGTGGTGGTTTTTATCAGTTATTTTGGTGGACGAGGGCGGAGACCTCGATGGCTTGCTGTAGGAGGGTTGTTCATTGCTGTTGGAGCTGCACTGTTTTCTTTACCTCACTTTATTTCGCCACCATATCAAATTCAAGAGTTGAACTCCTCCATTGCGAATGAAGGGTTGTGCGTGGATAGCAACAGTACCAAAAATTCCTTAGATTCATGTCCAGGGGAATCAGGTGGGAAGGATCACTCCCTGTATGTTGCTTTATTCGTGTGTGCCCAAATTCTTATTGGCATGGGTTCCACACCTATCTACACTCTCGGACCGACCTACTTAGATGACAACGTCAAGAAGGAAAATGCATCACTCTATCTTGGTAAGAGAGGTCAAGAATATTTGGTTTGTGTTGTCATGTCAGTATTAAAACCATTGCTTATGGCAGGGCTCAAAATTTCCAATCGCCCACTAGCCTTTGCATGTGCAAATTAAGCCCTACTAGGTAGAAATTCAACCCTGGTGAGTGTCCCATGGCCCCTAAAGACTTACATTGTTGAGTAACTTTAAAGTGACACTCAGTTGTCCAAATACAAAAGCATAAATAAATTACTATTTAGTAAATATACCACCAATGAAAACATGTAATCATTTAATTTCATATTTTTATTGGAGGTACATGTAAATACAGCTTGCAAAAGCTGTATATCTCTTCTCTGCAGCCTTTGTAAGCCATCCCCTTCTTCCCCAGCCCAGACTTTCTGTGACTGTCCAATCACAGACTTCCCAATGTAGCTCACTGAGAGGTCTTTGCAAGGCAGGTGCTCTCGTCAGTTGCCTGCCTCTTGAGGTTAGCTCCACTGAACTGAACTGAAGAAACCAGGAAGTAACAGGACTTGTCTGATTGACATCTAGGAGGTGTAATAAGGTTAATTTATAAGTCTGCATATTTCTATTTTAAATCTGCACTTTTGGAACAATGAAAAAACAAGGACACACTCTTAACACATAAAGCACTTCAAAAAGCTAAATTGGTCCTTTAAGATCTTTCTAGTAGTTTAGGGTTTCCACAGAAATGTTACTGACGTTTACTGTAGCTCCTCCTAGTAAATATTACCAACAGTTATGCATCTTGCATTCTTGTTCTTCAGTCTTCTGGATGCACAGTGTAAAAGTGTTTTTATAATGTTTATGATTTATTTTCAAATTCATGTTTTTTTTGGTAATACATATTATAAGATTGTGTGCCTCCTCTTTCCTTTTGTGTATAAAACCTGTCCATTAAAGGAACCCAGACACCTAAAGCACTTTATTTTACTGTGAAAGTATGTACTGAGAAGAGTGTGTCACCTTGTTTTAATTTTACAAAAAGTTCAGATTTTAATATAAATTGGCACTTCTATAAATGAACAGTGTCACATTGGGGGTATAAGTAAAAAATAAATAGCCTAGCTACCAATCAGACAACTGCTCCTGTTACTTCCTGGTTTGGTTTGCTCAGTGGAGCTAAACTCAACAGGCAGGCAATTGCTCAGAGCACCTTCTCAAGACTTCTCATTGAGCTGCATTGGGTAGACTGTGAGTTGAAGACAAAGAAAATCTGGGCTGGTTTAGAAGGAGAGAACTTGCAAAGGCTGCAGACCAGGGCTATTTATTTTTTACTTATACCCCCAATTAAAATAATACATAATTAAATGCAGGCGTGTTTTCATTGGGCTATATCTGCAAAATAGTGATTTCGTTATTATTTCTTTCTTTTGGGCAGTGGAGTGTCCCTTTAAGCATAAGCACAAACTGTTAGGGTTATTCAATAAAGATAGAAATACTTAGAATTCAAAGTGAACTGAAAGTTTGAATTTCTAAGTTAAAACAAAACAGCTAAACTAAAAACAGAATATTCTCCATTTTGGTTATTTTAGCAAAATTTTGAAATTCCTATTGAATTCCCAACAATTCTTACTTAAGTTAATAGCCCTGTACTATTTTTAAAAAGCAACTACAGTGAAATGATAATTTTCCTATACTTTGTAGCATGTATTCATTTCTTTTAAACTAATTCATCATTACTAAAGATATTTATTTTATCATCATAGTTCCCCTTAAAAATGCAACCCACTCCGATTTAAATTTGTTTGTTTGTGTTCTTCTTGTTTCTCTCTGTACAGTTTTTTTGGAAACCTCTTCTAAATTCCTATGTTTGAAAAAACAGTTTCTACAAAATGATAATTCATACGCAGTTCATTGTTGCACTTTACAACTAGGATAGGCATGTGCCTAAAGGGACTGTATCAAAGCCATCTCAACAAATGTGTTCCTTACTGACTTCCATAAAAACACCGGCATTATTTTTTAAAAATTAATATTTGTCAGATTTGTTTAGGGTTTTTTGATTTTTAGAGAATATCTGTGTTATTCCACAAAAGGTAAAGGAATATATATTTTTTTTAAATATGAACATCCATGTGCATTATGTACACCCAGCAGCAATCCTTTTATTCTACTGCATGGGGTTAATCTTTTGACATTGTAGTGTTCCTTTATCAGTATGTTGAATGGTGTGTCTGACATGGGCTGTCAGGCCACTTTGACAATGCTTTATAGAGTGATGGATCAGTAGCATGGATTTCTGTATAGTAACAAGCTCTTCAGATATATTCCCAATTATATCACAACTGACCTCGATTCCTTTCCCAGAACGTTAGCCACCTTTTCTACCCCAATGAGATGCAAAATTATTTGTATCAGAAATGTATGATCATATCAGTGGTTCCCCATAGGCATTTTTCAGCAAAATAAAAAAAGCTTATTATTTTAAATGCACACAGTCACGGAACTGTAAAATTGAGACTAAAATAGGCAGATTGGATAAACTCTTCAAATGTATTTCAGATCTTATTTTGGCCTCTGGTCTCCTGGGTCAAATTACAATAATCCTTCTATTAATAATTCAAATAATTAATTCCTATCAGTTTATATTGAAATGAACAGTTATTCCAAAAATCTGTGTACTATGCGTCCTGTTTATATATCATACTCTTTGGATGTCTGCACTTGTTTACAAAGAGCCAGTAAAAGTAGATGTGTCTGTGAGTGTGCATTGAGCAAGGTTTATTGTTAGTACTGCATCATGAATACCGTATTTATCGGCGTATAACACGCACCGGCGTATAACACGCACCTCATTTTAAGAGGGAAATTTCAGGGAAAAAAAACTTAAAGGACCACATACTCGTTTTCCTGGCACTATAGTGCCCTGAGGGTGCCCCCACCCTCCGGGACCCCCTCCCGCCGGGCTCTGGAGAGAGGAAGGGGTTAAACACTTACCTTTCTCCAGCGCCCGGCAGGGAGCTGTACTCCTCCTCTCCTCCTTGCTCGCGACGTCATCGGCAGGAGCCGCGCGCTCATTCAGCCGGTCGCATAGGAAAGCATTTACAATGCTTTCCTATGGACGCTTGCATGCTCTCACTGTGATTTTCACAGTGAGAAGCACGCAAGCGCCTTTAGCGGCTGTCAATGAGACAGCCACTAGAGGCTCTGGAGGCTGGATTAACCCTCTCTCTGAAACTGCTATGTTTATAAAAAAAAGGGTTAATCCTAGAGGGATTATAAAGTGGTCTGGGTGCCTAGAGTGGTCTTAAATTTCAAATAAAGAACTTATTTTCCCCTTCCCCCTCTTACCCCTTCTTACTCCCCCTCCCCCTCTTCTTACCCCCCTTTCTTACTCCCCTCCCTTCTTACTCCCCTCTTCTTACCCCTTTCTTACTCCCCCCCCTCCCCTCTTCTTGCTTCCCCCTCCCCTCTTACCCCTTTCTTACTCCCCCCCTCCCCTCTTCTTACCCCCTCCCCTCTTCTTACCCCCCCTCCCCTTTCTTACTCCCCCTCTTCTGCCTCCCACTCCCCTTTCTTACTCCCCCCCCTCTTCTCCCCCCTCCCCCCCTCTTACCACCCCTCCTTCTCCCTGCCCCCTCTCCCTCCCTCCTCTTTTATTCCCCCTCTCTTGTTCCCCTCCCCCCCTCCCTTCTTACCCCCCTCCCCTCTATTCACCCCCTTCTTACCCCCCTCCCCTGTAGCGTGGCCGAGCCGCTCTGCTGTCCGCGGTGGCCGGCCGGAGTGATAGGAAGGTGCACGCTCAGTGTGCACCTTCCTGTCAGTCCGACCGGGTACAGGAAACAGAAACTCCTGTTCTGCGCGGAACAGGAGTTTCTGTTTCCTGTACCCGGTCGGACTGACAGGAAGGTGCACACTGAGCATGCACCTTCCTATCACTCTGGCCGGCCACCGCGGACAGCAGTGGGCTCCAACTGCAGCCGCCTGAGCGCTCTTGACAGAGCGCTCAGGCGGCTGCAGTATTTAAAGGGCCGGCGTATAACACGCACCCATAATTTCTCCCCTATTTTCAGGGAGAAAAAGTGCGTGTTATACGCCGATAAATACGGTAAATCAATCTGTGGTCCTTTATATGAGGATGGATCAAATTGTATAAGGAAATAAAAAATATCTATACAATTTGCCCAGGTTTTGCCTGTATCCCTATCCGATGAGAACTGCTAAATGCCTACATTTTGAATCATTTGTGTTTCTTGGTGTCTGGGCTGGGGCCCATTGATGACGATATCGACCGTTTTTCTCTGGATCTAGAAAGAAACTAGCTGTACTTTAGTGATGATGCCTATGTGATTAAAAAGTGGCTCTTAAGATTGTTTTTATCTCTGCTTTTTAGCAGAGACAGGCCTAAAATTTTGAACATGGTCGTGGGACTGGTCTGATAGGCACATGGAAAGGGAAACTGCTTGTTTGAGGACACAGCAGCGATGCCAGACCTTATCTATCCTATCATGCTTTTTTAAAATAAGGTTAAAAGGACACTATAGGCAGCCAGACCACGTTATCTCATCGAAGTGGTCTGAGTGCAGTGTCCCTATCCCCTTAATCCTGCAATTGAAAACATTGTAGTTTTAGAGAAACTGAAATGTTTACATTGCAGGGTTAGGATAGCTACTAAAGGCACATCCTGGCCTTTCACAGAGGTTAACTCTGTGATACGACACTGGACGTCCTCACATTTTGCATGAGGACGTTCAGTGTCTTAAAAGTCTCCATATCAAAGCATTGATTCAATGCTTTCCTTCATGGAAGGACTAATGCGCCACTCGCTGCGCATGCGCATTAGATCCCCCCTCATTTTTGACATAGGAGGAGGCAAAGAGCAATCTAGGGATCTGAGCATGCTAGGAGGGGCACAGAGTTTTGTATTCCCAACACTATATTTTTCCTTTAATTTTGTCCTTTTTTTTTTGGTGTTTTCGTGAAATTTAAATTTTAAAGCAAATATGCAAAAAAGAGTAGGTAAAATAAATCAAACACCTCGTGTGTAGGTTTAGATTTAATTGACCATGTTGAATGAGTCAGGCTTGAACTTTATTTAACCTCTAACAAATCCGGTAGCCTAGAAATCCAGAAGCCCAAGGGTATTAAGTTGTGTCTTTTGTCTCGTCAGGGTCTCATCTGTAAATACCCAGATCTATGCGCAAAACATCAGCAGATTAGGCTCAATTTATAGTAATTAATCATTATCCTGATGGCTAGGATCAGATGTAGGAAAACATGTGTACACCTGGCATGTATAGGCAAATTATTTGTTGATCTATCTCCATCACAGCCATACATTTTACAACGTAAATCAACATCTAGGATACATCAGTCCCTTTAATAAAAAGGTAATATTTATTTCCATATTATTAAATTATTAATATTATCTTCTATGTGAAGTGAATAAATATAAAATAAGTGAACACAAACATAAAATAGGGTGAAAAGACATTTTCTTGTGAGCGTATGCAGTTAATTTGTTTTTTAATAAAAACCTATAAAGGGATGATTTAAAAAAATATCATGAGTACTTAAAATTACACATTGCGAATTAACGGAATAGTGCACTTGTGTGTTTTTCCTTCTCCAGGAGTTCTGTTTTGTCACAAAAAAGCCCTTTGTCTTCATTTTTCTTAGATATCTAATTTTTCTGGGGTTATAGCACTGTATGTATCACTGGGATCAATGCAATAAGTGGCGCAAGTCCTGTAATAAAGTTAAGAATTATGGCTGCAATTCAATGGAGTATATTTGGAATGCTCAGAATATCTGTTCACATTTTTTAGTATTCCAAAAGCTTAAGTATTCCCCTACATCGGTGTCCAACCATAAGATACCTACGTAGGTCTCCGTGGAGCCGCTCCGCATCCTTTGTTGAAATCATCAGTCTTAATGCTCTCAGTCAATCCAATGCTTCCTCATAGGAAAGCATTGGCAGGCAAGTGCGCATGAGTGGCAAAAAGCCACGCTGCGTCAATCAACTCTCTAGAGAGTTATTTGGGCTATAACTGAATTTCAATTATTACAGCCAAAGCGACTCTAGTGGCTGTCGGGAAGACAGCCACTAGAGGAATGTTAGAACTGCGAAGAAAACATTGCCATTCCTGTAAAACAGCAATATTTTCAGCTGGGGGTTAAAAAGACAGGGGCATGGCTCCCTGAGATGGAGTGGCACGTGTACAGTCTTGTTAAATGCATTAAAAGTACAATGTTAGAACAAAACTGCTGTGCCCTAAACATATTGAATTGGATATTTGCAGATAGCATTGCTATTTGTGGATAAAAAATCCCACCCACACACCCCAAATAAACATGTTCTTGGCAGTTCAAACCGGTAATCAGCTCCTTATAATACTTTGTAACAGAGACCCTCCATTCTTTATCTATTACAAGGTATTGTGGTCAGAACCTGTAGTCCAAGTATTTCTAATTATTGTAAAATTGTTATAAAGGGATTTGAAAAGTGTAGTACTTCATTAGACCAAAATATTTGCACATTTAAAATTAACTGAGGAATCACTTTTGACCCATTCACCCGTGCTAAGTTGACAGAGATGCCTGTTTCAGTTCAGTCATGTTGAACGTGTTAATGCTGTATTGATAATGTAAACAATAACGAGCAGTTGAATCTCCCATTGTGATGCCTCCGACTGAGAGAATGAGCTTAGTGCGTTGGGGAATCCTTTGTTTGTTGTCAAATTGCTTTGAATCTGGTTTGGCAGAACTTAAGGGACTTCAGCTGTAACCTCCTAGCACTATAACCACTACAATAAGCTGTAGTGCTTATGGAGTCATTATAATTCTTTCCCTATAGCCCAACCCCATTTTTAGCTCCTGCTTACAGGGATCCTTCTGTTAGTGTGATCCTGATGGACAGTTGACAGTGGAACACATATTAACAGATGCTCACTCCTGAAGCTGTTACGAATATGCCTTTAACCTTGCAGACACAGGGATACATGCAAAATATGAATCCAAAGGGTTCTGATTATTATCTTATAAAGCTACAACCATCAATAAAAGCCCTTATATAAAAAACAATGGTGGGTGATATTAACACAGGGCTTGACAAATTTGCTTTGAATCTAGGAGCCAGCTCAAAAATTTAGGAGCCAGGATTTTTTAAATCTTACAAAGCTTTATTTTTAACAACAAAAATATTTGTTAAAAATTACTCTAGTGTCACCAGGACCGCTACAGCTTAATGTAGTTCTCCTGGTGTCCATAGCTTGTCCCTACAAGCTTTTTCAATGTAAAGACTGCCTTTCCAGAGAAAAAACAGTGTTTACGATGCTGCCTAGTGACAACTCTAGATGCAGTCACTCAGATGGCCACTAAGTGCTTCCTATCTGAGTGCTGTACAGTGTGCAGCACCTACATTCTACGTCTCCACACTCTGCATGGAGGTGCCGAATGCTCCCAATAGAGGTGCATTGATTCAGTGAATCTCTATGAGAAGATGCTGATTGGCATAGAGTTTTGTGACGCATGTGCAATAGCTTCCCTATACTTTCCTATGAGAAAACATTGGATTGGCTAATATAATCAAGCATGATAATCTCAGCCATAGAGGCTGGGAGACCAGCACAGCATGGGAAAAAGGTGAGTAAAAACACATTCCAATGCGATTGGAGGGGGGCTGGTTACCTAAACATACACACTCACTGACAGACACATACATACTCTGACAGACAGACACATATACCATGAGACACACACACACAGACAGGCATACACACAATTATTATATATTTTATTTAAATTTAAATCCACCTAGCCTCCCTACCTTTGAGAGAGCTAGAGTGGATCGGCTTTTCCTGAGGTACAGTGGGCGGGGAGGTGGGGGACAGTGGAGTCGGGCAGTCGGCTGTGCGTCCAGTAGGCAGGCGGCGAGGTAGCTGTGATAATTACAAAGAGCCCCTGGATACATAATCAGTTTAGCCAAGTAGTGACATGGCTCAGCCAAGTATTAAAGGGACACTATAGTCACCAAAACAACTTAAAGGACCACTCTAGGCACCCAGACCACTTCAGCTTAATGAAGTGGTCTGGGTGCCAGGTCCCTCTAGGATTAACCCTTTTTTTTTTTATAAACATAGCAGTTTCAGAGAAACTGCTATGTTTATAAATAGGTTAATCCAGCCTCTAAAGCCTCTAGTGGCTGTCTCATTGACAGCCGCTAGAGGCGTTTGCGTGCTTCTCACTGTGAAAATCACAGTGAGAAGACGCCAGCGTCCATAGGAAAGCATTGTAAATGCTTTCCTATGAGACTGGCTGAATGCGCGCGCAGCTCCTGCCGTGCATGCGCATTCAGCCGAAGAGGAGGATCGGAGGAGGAGAGCTCCCCGCCCGGCGCTGGAAAAAAGGTAAGTTTTAACCCTTTCCTCTCCCCAGAGCCCGGCGGGAGTGGGACCCTGAGGGTGGGGGCACCCTCAGGGCACTATAGTGCCAGGAAAACGAGTATGTTTTCCTGGCACTATAGTGGTCCTTTAAGCTTAATGAAACAATGTTGGTGTATTGATCATGCCCTTGCAGTCTCAATGCTCAATAATCTGCCATTTAGGAGTTAAATCACTTTGTTTATTAACCCTAGTCACACCACCCTGCATGTGACTTGCACAGCCTTCCTAAACACTTACTCTAAAGAGTCATCTAATGTGTATCCTTCCCATATTGCAAGTTCTATTTAATTTAGATTTTCTTATCCCCTGCTATATTAATAGCTTGCTAGACCCTGCAAGAATCTCCTGTATGTGATTAAAGTTCAATTTACAGAGCAAGAGATACAATTGTTTAAAGGGACACTATAGTCATCAGAACAACTACAGCTTAATGTAGTTGTTCTGGTGAGTATAATAGTTCCCTTCAGGCTTTTTTCATGCAAACACTGCCTTTTCAGAGAAAATGCAGTGTTTACATTACCTCTAGGGACACCTCCAAGTGGCCACTCCTTAGATGGCCACTGGAGGTTTTTCCTGGGTCAGTGCTGCCGAAAAAGCAGCCCTGACGTTCAGCGTCCTGAATTTTCCTCATAGAGATGCATTGATTCAATGCATCTCTATGAGGAGGTCCTGATTGGACAAAACGGCATTTGCCCCCCCTGCCGATTTTAGCCAATCCAATGCTTTCCCTATGATGATGTCACAATGAAGGCGGAGCTGCGCAGCGCTGGAAATAAGGTGAGTTTTAAACTTTTATAGGGGTGGGGGCAAGGGGGGGCAAGCCACCTAAATTGTGGGTTAAACACTATAGAGTCAGGAATACATGTTTGTGTCCCTAAACCTATAGTGTTCCTTTAAAGTAAATTACATCTGATTGAAAGTGAAACCATTTTTTTTCATGCAGGCTGTGTCAATCAGAGCCAGGGGAGGTGTGCAAGGGTTATTAAAGGACCACTTTAGGCACCCAGACCACTTCAGCTTAATGAAGTGGTCTGGGTGCCAGGTCCCTCTAGGATTAACCCTTTTTTTTATAAACATAGCAGTTTCAGAGAAACTGCTATGTTTATAAATGGGTTAATCCAGCCTCTAAAGCCTCTAGTGGCTGTCTCATTGACAGCCGCTAGAGGCGTTTGCGTGCTTCTCACTGTGAAAATCACAGTGAGAATACGCCAGCGTCCATAGGAAAGCATTATAAATGCTTTCCTATGAGACTGGCTGAATGTGCGCGCAGCTCCTGCCGCGCATGCGCATTCAGCCGAAGAGGAGGATCGGAGGTGTAGAGGAGGAGGAGAGCTCCCCGCCAGGCGCTGTAAAAAAGGTAAGATTTAACCCTTTCCTCTCCCCAGAGCCCGGCGGGAGGGGGACCCTGAGGGTGGGGGCACCCTCAGGGCACTATAGTGCCAGGAAAATGAGTATGTTTTCCTGGCACTATAGTGTTCCTTTAAACAGAAACAAAGTGATTTAACTCCTAAATGACAGTGAATTGAGCAGTGAAAATAGAGAGGCATGATCTATACACTACAATTGCTTCATTAAAGGGACACTATAGTCTCCAGAACAACTACAGCTTATTGAATTTGTTCTGGTGTGTAGAATCATTACCTTCAGGCTTTTTACTTTAAACACTGTCTTTTCAGAGAAAATTCAGTTGTTTACATTACAGCCACCCCACCCCATGAGGAGAGGCTGATTGGCCAGGGCTGTGTTCGAATCATGCTGGCTCTGCCCCTGATCTGCCTCTTTGTCAGTCTCAGCCAATCCTATGGGGAAGCATTGTGATTGGATTAGGCTACCACTTCTGATGATGTCAGCAGACTGCTTAGAGTCTAACAGCATGCAGAGTTACAGCTTCTTGCTTAAATACAGTAAGATTTTGCTATATTTATGGAGGCATGAGGGGCCCAAGGGGCTAGATGGTGGTTTTAACACTATAGTGTCAGGAATACATGTTTGTGTTCCTGACCCTATAGTGATCCTTTAAGTTAACGTTGTTTTGGTGACAGATAGTAGTCTTGTTGCCATCCAGACTGTCCTTGTTTACCAGAGGAACAGCACCTCCATTGGCCAGTAAAGCACTTAAGATCTGTTGATACCCTACACGTCCTGCCATGTGAGTAACAAAGGAGCTTAAAGCAACACTCCAATACTGAAGCTGTCCCCTCTTGCTTATTTTAGAAAAGTGTCAATAAAACACATTTTGAAGGGTGGGTGGTCCATTCTTCAACCAGTTAATTAATATCTACAGGTGTCTTTTGGAGCATCATCGCTGGCACTATGGTGCATTCTAAAGAAACGACATGATATGACATTGGCTTAATGATATTGAGAAAACCTAAGAGATCTGTGTTATCAGATCTTCCCGGTCCTTCATTTTACACCATCTGAAAAGAACACAAAGAATCCAAAAATAAAAATTAGGCTTACCTATTGATGAGTGCTGGCTATTGATGTGTGCGGGACATTTTCTTTTTGGATTATTTATTCATTCTGGAACCAGAATCCATTTTTGCTCCTTCAAGGAGTGTGTGTGTGTGTGTGTGTGTGTATATATAACCAGGATATGTATATATCGGTAATTACTTATATAACTCCTAAGTGTCCCTATTTAGGACATGTCCCTCTTTTAGGAGCTCCATATTGTTGGCGTGTCTGAGTCACAGTAATAATAGTCACAGTAACATGTTTTAACTACAATATATGTGTTTAGAAATAAGTCTTCGTAAAAAAAGATATGCTGTTCTTATTCTTAGTCACAGTTTAGTTACATAAATTGTCACCTAGAATTTCTAGGAACTTCCCCACCTCTGACCACACCTGCAGTCAGACCTCTAAAATCAAAGTGTCACTCTTGTCCATTTGAAATATTGGGGGTGGGCGAGGGTGGAGATGCAGTTATAACACAGCTGTTGTATTTGTTTTTTAAATATAGCCTTGCCTTTGAGGTAGTATCTAGAATAAGCAGCCCAAGCTGAGCTGACAGTCACATTGAGGTGCTGGGATTGTCAAGCAAGCTAGATATCTTTTAAGGTGACAGGTCCACATTAATCATACAGGTACTACCTGTAGTCTCTGGTCTGTATGTTACCTTTCATTTTACAAATCTAAATGTCCATCTGTCCACCTTCCTCTGGGTGGGTAAGGAGTCTAGAATTTGTAGTCCACAACAACTGTTATTCCAAGCTACACAAAATATTTAACTACGTTCCATTCCACTTTGCTGCAGCTATTGAGAATTTGGACTAGTGTTCTCCAAAACGTGTGTGTGTGTATGTGTATGTGTGTGTATGTGTATGTATATATATATATATATATATATATATATATATATATATATATATAAAGAAAATCACAGTATAAGCACATCCAATCAGATAAACACATCAGTGGACAACTAATGAAACAATTAAAATATTTCTGGAATTAGAGCATAAACTCCGTTATTGTTTATTAAACATTAAAAAAAATCTATAAAAAGTGTTTTAACCCCTTAACGACGAGTGACGGTCAGGGGATTGCCATAACGACGAGTGACGGACCTTGTCTGTCACCCGTTAAAATTAACCCCGGATTTCCGCTATCGCGGCAATCGCGGGGTTAATGGTGCTCCGGTCTGCCTCTGTATTAGAGGTAGACCGGGAGCACCCGATAGTGCTGCCCAGCACATGTGCTCGCTCTGACAGCACTGTAGCTTCACGAAATAGTGCCCAAGACATAAAATGGGGGTGTCATTTTACTCAGAAGACTTAGCTGAGCATAATTTGGGGGGTTTGAACTTAGTGGCACATGTGAAATATACAAAATGCCCAGCAAAAATGCAATCCATGTGTAAAAAACGCACAAAATTATTTTTTACCACATACTTTGGCATATATTGGTGAAAAAATGGGGCCATGTTAAGGCACAATATGCACCTTATGAGATACCTTGGAGTGTCTACTTTTACAAATGGTAGGCCTTTGAGGGCTTTTTTGAACAGTCAAACTGTTATAATACCCCAAATGGAAGCATAGGCTCATTAAATCCGTCTCTCAAAATGCTACTGTGAATACTGAAAAGGACAAGCCTCCTATATGGCACTGTAAGTTCACGAAATAGTGCCAAAGACATACAATGGGGTGTCATTTTACTCAGCAGTTGTAACTGAAAACAAAATAAAACTTTGTACAGGAATAGTACACATGAGAATTTCTTTGTTATAAGTTTGTGTGCCAAAAACCAAAAAAAAAACACAATTTTACTCCAATACTTAGCAGAGGTTGGCGGTGAAATGGCTACGTAGAAAGTGTCAAAACAACCTTTGGTAAATAGCCCGTGATGTCTACTTTATATAAATATATACTTTTGTGTGGCAATTTTGTTTTCTTTTATGGCTATTAAGCTTACAAGACAAACATACCAAATTCTAAAATCGCTCCACATTAAAAGTTTATTTTACTCCTTGTGCTTTGTGACCTGTAACTACCAAAAAAAACTTAAAATCCCAGACACATTATATATTCTGTAAATCAGAACAACTAAATGAATTTATTTTTAATTACTTTTCTTAACCTGCACTAATTGTGCATACATTATTATTGCAAAAACTGTAAAAAAAAAACGCCAGAAATTTTCATTTTTTTGCATTTTTCTGTATTTTTTTTTAAAATAATAAATAAGCATTTATATATATATATATATATGTCTTACATCAAATTAAAGCCCTTTCTGTCCTTTAAAAAAACGATGTATAATATGTGTCGGTGCAATAAATTAGTAAAATGCAAATTGCAGTTGAACGCAAACAGCAAAAAATTTAAAAAATGCTGTTGTCATTAAGTGAAAGACAAGCTTCTGAAGCTCTGTCCTTAAGGGGTTAAAGGCTTTCCCCTTCAGTTGTCATTGTTTACTAAACTATAAAGTAGACTATGTTTACTTACTTGCAGTTTAATTATTTATTCATTTACCCACCTATGTCAGTGCTATTGATAGATTGTTTTTTTTTTTTGTTATACATAACATATGTATGAAGAAAAAAAATCTTTTAATTTCAAAAGCATATCTTGTGACCTAGCACGCTAATGGGTTTCGTTTTATGTGTTGTGTTTGGGAATAAATGTTTATGTCCAACTTTTAACACTAATTAATTTATTCCGTGCAATGTCGTTTAGCTATTTCTCAAGGGATTATTATCTCTATGGATTTTTATATAAACTGTAACCTAGCAACAGTAGTTACTTATATGTTCTTAAATTTAAATGTATTAATATTTTTCAAGGGCAGCTATTTATTTACTCCAAATTAGTGATGTTCCCTTAAATCAGGCTTACCCAAACTCCAGCCCTCCTGATGTTGCTGAACTACAACTCCCATGATTCTCAGCCTATTTCATTCATAGAATCATTGGAGTTGTAGTTCAGCAACATCTGGAGGACCGGAGTTTGGGGAAGCCTGCCTTAAAGTGTTGACCGAGTTTGATGTGTGTTTGCTTTTATTATTTATATTAGAATTTTAAATATTCACTCTGTCTTTGATATAAAGTATCTTTTTCATGTATTAAAATGCTGCCAGTTGCATGCGGTTTAAATGAGACCATTCTTTTTTAAATCTATTATTATAGATTTTCCCCTTGCAAATTTTGTACAGCTATAGGATTTTGTTACTGAAGTTCAGGATTCTCTATTAATCATCTGGAATAATGTCAGGTGCTCATAAGATAAAGGTCAGTGAGGGACAATGTGATTTTTTTGTGGTTTACTAATGACCAGCCTTTAGCCAGTGTGCTGCAGGTGATCATTGAATAGGCGCATCTCTGTATTGCAAGAATCATTTAAAGGTGCAGTCCTGGCACCATAACCACTGCAGCCTGCTGCTTAATTAAAACAATATTCAGATATGGACCACATGGAGTACAAACTGCTATTCCAAATCTCGCTGCAACATCCAAATAAGTCAGCAGATAAGGAGAGTGTTCTAGCAAGGCTTTTTAAATTAATCAACCCCCATAAACTATATGCTGTATGCCTTTCAAGCCATGAGAGATCTTTATTAAGCGTCTCCCTTTGCCTCAATGCTGCAATATTTTTAGTCTGCTTGGTAGAACACAAGGATTCCCAGTAATACTGTAAAGTTGGCAGATATAACATGTCTGTTTTTGTACAGATGAAGTGCTTACCAGCCTCAGGTAACATGATGTGCATCCCTGAAATACCTTATTGATAATTATATGTTAGGTTTTGATGCTTAGTGATGCGACTTGTCTCTGGAGATACAGGTTGTTGCTGTACTGGTCACACCGTAAACACTTACAACCTATTGATGCAATTCAATCCTCACAATATAGGCAAATGTTATAGAAATATATTACATGATCTGTGCCATTGTTTCCCCCTAATCAATGGATACTAATTAACAGATCACCTCCATGCAGTCTACATGAGCAGCTCAAAATGTATATGTCTTGATCTGGCTGAGATTAGTGTGGGCAACACTCCCAAGTGCAACCCGCTGCATCCTTAACTCTAACTCCTGCTAATCTCAGGCAACACAAGGACACTGGTGCCTTTACAGTAAAGTCCTCTCCTTAACCCTCACACTATTCGAACACACTAAACATTAACCTCTTCATTACCTTAACAGAACTCAAACATGCTACACTACATATAAACCCCTACATTAAACTATCACTAAACATTAAACACTGTAGTACATTATCCCTCCACTAGCACTAAACACTAAAGTACCCTAACACTAGCAGTTAAACCTAACTTTTATATATCAGGTAATATACAAAATACATAACATTGATCTGTGTATATTGATAAAAAAAAAGTTTTGTAGGGGTTCTAAAAGCTTCATAATAAACCACAAGACTAAAGCTTGAATGGGGAATAAATCGCCAGAACCCCAAGATCCTTTGTCTAGTTTGAAGGTATTCACTATTGACCCAAGACCTCTCCTCGAGCTAGGAGGTGACCATGCCTGACTATTACTCCAGAGTGAAGTGCTCTGGACCCTATCTGCACTGAATGAGAATGCATAGCTAACGTGCTTTCTATCTGATGAAAGCTGTCTTTTGTAGCAGGTAACGAGCCGCCTTTTGTTGCAGGCTTTCTCTAACGATGAGGCTCTGAAAGGCAGTCAGAATCAGTTTTATTTTTAGGTATTGAGCTGGTATTAAAAGTTCAACCTTAACATCAATAATACATATTCTCTTCCCCCAGTGTTTTGCTATAAAGATTACAGCTTGCCGTTACACAGGTAAGACGATATTTATTTAAACATGAATTGGTAGAGAGATAATGAGAGAGAGTGCATGACTGTGAGCACAGACTCTGGGAAATGACGGGGTTCTAGAGATATCATAAATCACAAACCAGAGAATTGCGGATACTTAAGAGTAAACTTGAGAAATATAGGCCAAACTTGTTGAACTGGAAATATCCATTAAAGGACCACTATAGTGCCAGGAAAACATACTCGTTTCCTGGCACTATAGTGCCCTGAGGGTGCCCACACCCTCAGGGTCCCACTCCCATGGTGCTGAAGGGGGAGGAAGGGGTTAATCCCTTACCTTTTTTTATAGTGCCGGGCTCACTCGGCGCTGGGACTCTCCTCCCTCTTCCGACGTCCCTGGCTGAATGCGCATGTGCGGCAAGAGCCGCGTGTGCATTCAGCCAGTCCATAGGAAAGCATCCTCAATGCTTTCCTATGGACGCTGGCGTCTTCTCACTGTGAAAATCAATGAGACAGCCACTAGAGGCTGGATTAACCCATAGGTAAACATAGCAGTTTCTCTGAAACTGCTATTTTTACAGCAAAAAGGGTTAAACCGAGCTGGACCTGGCACCCAGACCACTTCATTAAGCTGAAGTGGTCTGGGTGCCTATAGTGGTCCTTTAAAGCTGAGCTGGAGGTATTATTTCCAGCTATCTGGGCTGTGCTTACCCTCCTGGTCTTCCTTGATGTCCCTGTTGGTCGCAGTCCTTGTGACTTCCATGGTATCGCACATATGGCCATGCCATGTAGGAAAGCCCCAAACCTCCCAGCTAGCCAACTAAAAAGATGGCATTGGCTACTTTTCATTTGTAAGCTTCAGGCATTTCGCTAGGTCTTATACCAGGTGCACAGTGGACAAAGTCTCTTCTCACTGTTGTGCAAATACACCTTTATTCCAATAAATTTTGGAGACATGTTTGCAAGATTCATTTTTTTGTTTTTTTTGTAAATGCTGTAAATGTAATTTACTGTGCTATATTATTTTGATATTGCCAGCCTCCTCCCCGGTGACTATGACTCAGGTTTTAACCCTTCAGATGTAAACATAGTAGTTTCAGAGCAGGGTTCCAACCTCTAGTGACTGTCTTCCTGAGAGCCACTAGAGGCGCATCTGCGACGCTTGATGCAAAATTCGCATCCAGCGTGCAGAACGTCCATGGGAAAGCATTGAGAAATGCTTTCCTATGGTCTGTTTGAATGCGCGCGGCACTTGCCGCGCATGCACATTCCACTCCACTCGGGAGCTGACATCAACGGGGGAGGAGAGGTCAATAGCGCAGAGGGAGCCCGGCGCTGGATAAAGGTAAGCTGCTGAAGGGGTTTTAACCCTTTCAGCGCCAAGGGAGGGGGACCCTGAGGGTGGGGGCACCCTTAGGGCATGATAGTGTCAGGAAAATGGGTTTGTTTTCCAGACACTATAGTGATCCTTTAAAGTCAGGGTCAACCATTCCATTGTAAAATACAAAACAAAAGAAACAACGCTAGAGAAACCAATACTAAAAAAGGGGCAGCAGACCTAAGGTAGGGTTCCCACTAAGCCCTACTCGTAGGAATAATACAAAGATAAAAAGGGGAAGGGTTGCACCAAAGACAGAAATACGTATATAAAAGTATAAATATAAAAGAGTCCAATACTGATGTAAAATCAAAACACAAAAGATACCAAAAGGAGTCCTAGATCAGATCTTGCCAGGGGAAAGCCAACAGTCTTATGGAGAGAATGTTTTCTGTAACAGTCGGATGAAAACAACGTGAGGGATCCGTATGGGGAAACAGAGAAAAGGTGATAGTGCAATAAGTCCAATACGGAAGTGGTCTAAAAGCAATATGGCCTAATGTAGTCCTACTCACGTTTAATAGAGCTTGAAACCAGCTCTCGTATGAATGGCATACAGCGGTACAATCCCCACTTATAGGATACTTGTTGAGATGTAAATATGCAGAAGTTTGTAGACCATAAAAACATAAAAAGAGGAGACAACTAATAGTGCTAACTGCATAAAATAATATAGTATTTTGATATATTTGATTTTACATCAGTATTGGACTCTTTTTATTTACACTTTTAAAAACGTATTTCTGTCTTTGGCGCAACCTTTCCCCTTTTTACCTTTGAATGAACCATTCCATTGTCCTGTTCAACCTTTCACGCATCCGTGTTGGTGTTGTTTATGTGAAAGAATCTAAAAATGCCACTTTGACAGATATAAGGTACTCACAAGGTACTCATCTCTGTGAATTGGTCATAATGCCTGGATTACAATGGCACTGTCACTCTATACAGTGTTAAACTATTTCCGAGGAGAGGAACACTAAAGGACAGGGATTGGACGGGAGAGGTAAAATAAATATTATTGAAAACATAAAAAAAAACTGACTGGCATGTATATTTTGTGCATTAACCACTTAATAAAAATACTTATGCTTGTAAGTATGGCCTTGATTTGATATTTTTAATTAACTTTTAAAATTATTTAATATTTTTAAGTTTTTTTCAAAATATTAATGTATTAAAAAATATATAATATATCATTTGAAAAGCTTATCCTACAATAAGTTGACACATTTTCCAGGTCATCAGTTTTGGCTTAACATTTGTATTTCCCTTGTCAATTTGCAGTACTTACCAGTGGATAGTAAATGAGCCTATATGTTGCGATGACTTTTCCCCAGGTAAATAATTACCTACTGTGTGCCCACAATTGCTACATAAGCATTGAATACCTATTCTACTAGAGAGTGCAACAAACGTATTTCTGAGCTCTTACAGTTATTACAATTCTTACAGCTAGGACTGAGTGAAAACGAAAAAAATGTTTTATTCTTGTGGAATCCCACATTTGAGGTTATTAATAATTTACATAGTTACATAGCTGAAGAGACTTGCGTCCATCAAGTTCAGCCTTTCTCACATCTGTTTTTGCTGTTGATCTAAAAGAAAGCAAAAAAAACACTTTGAAGTGCTTTTAATTTTGCAACAGACTAGGAAAAAAATCCTTCTTGATCCCAGAATGGCAATCTTTCCTTGGATCAAGAAGTTATTAACCCATGTAGTGGAGCTCACTGTACCCCGGCTGGTAGCTCCACGAAGGACCGCTTCTCAGCGCTTCTGCCCCAGTCGTCGTGTATCAAGGCTCACAGCTGCACCCGATTGGTGCAACCACACTGACAGGTTTAGGAGCTTACCTGTACAGCAGCAAACCGGGATCCGACCCGCTGGGGCATCCGTCCCCTTCACATGCGGGATCCAAAATGGCGCCGACCACGAGGTAGCGCCCATTTGTAGCTCCGCCTCTAAAGGTCATGCGAACGTCTGTGTGACGTCACGATGTCGATGCACGCGCACGTTCTGGGGTCAGAGGCCAAGCCCTGTCCAATTACAGCCCAAGGAGCCATATCTAAACCCCTGATTTTTCCTAGTTCACTGCTCTGTCGTGGATTCCGTTCCTCAGAGTGCGTTTTCTTGTCCTTTTTATTGATATTCCTGGTATTCTGACTTTGGCTGTTCCTGACTATTCTGATCTCTGGTTTCCCTGACTTGACTTTCTTATTGATCTTGTGTATTTCTGGCTTCCTTGTCCTCGGCTTTCCCTTGACCATTTTTTGTCTTTCAACGTATTAACCCGGCCATTCTAATTACCGGTTTACGTTCTGTCTAGTTTTCTATTCTATGTAGATGTTACATAGTTTTGCGTGTTGGATCACATTAGTAGTCGTGACACCGTGGCTTGACTGGGGTCCTCCTGGAGCCTCTCCGTCCTGGAAAAGCATAGGGGACTAGCTCTATTCCCTTCCAGGGACTGGATGACACACAGTCCTGGGAGCTCTAGTCCTTACAAGGGCTTTCCCTGCCGAATCCTCCACGAGCTGGAACAAGGTGCTGAGCAGTGATTATAGCCCTTCCCCTCCCAGTAACTAGACAACACATAGTTCTGGGAGTACAACTGATTTTAATGAGCCGTTTTCCTTGCACTATAGGGTTAATAGGTCCCCCCCTCCCTCGCGCCCCCCTCCTGTGGGGCTGAAAGGGTTAAAACCCCATCAACCACTTACCTGAATCCAGCGCCGATATCCCTCGGAGCTCGGCCAGGCTCCTCCCTCGTCGACGTCAGCCGATGGGGGAGACATAATGCGCATTCGCGGCAATGGCCGCGTGCGCATTAGACCTCCCCATCAGAAAGCATTATTCAATGCTTTCCTATGGGGAAAATCTAACGCTGGAGGTCCGTTAGGATTCCGGAAGTGCCCCCAGTGGCTGTGTGGCAGACAGCCACTGGCGGCCGACTTAGAATTGCAATGTAAACATTGCAGTTCTCTGGAACTGCAATGTTTAACATTGCAGCAATAAGTGCAAATGTGTCACAGGACCCAGACCACATCAATTAGCTGAAGTGGTCTGGGTGCCTACGGTATCCCTTTAAGTATTTTGTCGTCAGAAGCACCACTGATATGATAGAAAACCCTGTGCAATGTTTCATGTTTGAGAGCCTTTATCAAGACTTTTAAAGGTTGGTGAAGGCTCTCAGTAGCTGAAACATTACATGTTATAGCGTTATAAATCTCCATGGGATTATATCCAAATTGTGTGTTTTGTTTTGTGGATTGCCGGGCTACTAGACACACTCATGACGGGTGAATTTCTATTCACTTGGACAAAATTTTCACTCACCAGTGGCTAGTGGCAATAGGAAATTAGGACCCCTATATATAAACTACTAACAATCACTGCAACTACTTAAAGAGTGTCCGATTCTTAAATTATCAGTTTTAGGAATCCTTAGTAAAAAATCATTAACACCGACTGGCCATATCAACAGAGAAAGCACAATCCATTAGTTTAAAGGGATTCTATAGTGCCAGGAAAACAAACTTGTTTTTCTGGCACTATAGATTTCCCTCTGTCACGGCCCCCTCCCGCAGCACTGAAGGGATAGGCAACTTTCGGCACTCCAGATGCTGTGGACTACACCCCCGGAAATGCTCTTACACCCATAAAGCTGGCAAAGCATCATGGGAGGTGTAGTCCAAAACATTTGGAGTGCCGAAGGTTGCCTATGCCTGCTCTAGTGGCTGTCTGGTAGACAGCCACTAGAAGAGGAGTTAACCCTCAGAGGTAAATATTGCAGTTTATAAAAACTGCAATAATTACCACTGCTGGGTTAAGGGTGATGGGAGTTTGCACCCAGACCACTTCAATGAGCTGAAGTGGTCTGGGTGCCTACCGTGTCCCTTTAAGATGCACACGGAAAAGCTGAAGTTCTCCCACCTTTCTAAAACAATGTGCATTTTTGTTTCTTGATATTAAAAAAGTTTGTTTCGTATAGCAAATACATTTTGTGTATTGTGTTATTTTCTTTATAATCATGTTGCATTTATATGTTCATTAAAGACAATGCGTAGGAGAGGGTGGTAGCAATGTATTAACTACCATAGTAAGCCAAATTAAAAGAGATTCACATTCAAACTGAATATTTATTGAGTAACGCATTTTATGTTTATCACATAGTCCCCAAAGAACCTTGTTCTAAAATAATTCATGCAAACCAGTGGCATAAAATGGAAATTCTTTGTGAATTGGGCCAGTGATGCTAAAGACGATATATTTTAAAAAGCGCAGCTACTTCTATGTTTTAATGTGCGTTGCTCTTTATTTGAGCAATCATGTACACTAATAAATCCCAAATGATTGCTCACTCTCCACCGAGACTAGAAGAATATATTTATAATATGAGCCAACAAATTAATTGAAACATGTTTTGATAATAAGAACACGGCTATTAAAATGCAAAACAATTTAAATGTATTTCACATGAGCAGATATTTTACAATGTAGTCAGTGTGTACTGATAAGAGGAATGTTTGTATAAATGTATATGGGAAATTACGTTTACTGCATATAGAGGAAGTGATCTAAATGTATTTATATTTTGACAATCTTGAGGCAGTCTAATCGTTTATTTATTTTTTTAAATGCATTATTTAGCTACCTGTCAATCATTATCCTTTACATCTTGCATCCAGATTAGAGAAAGCAGAGAGAACAGGGACAATTAAACAATGATTCTGTCACTTCTTTTTTAATCAATGGTCTCATTTCCAGAGAAGTGACAGTTTCCTTATAAGTATTGTACACCAACAGGAGAATGCACACATGAAAATTGTTGATCCCCATAAGGGTGCTCCAGGAAGGGAAGGCGAATCCCGAAGGTGCACTAGTAGCAGAGAGATCCAGGCAGTCTGGATTGAAGAAACAAGGCACAGAATCATTTTGACTACGTTTCAGCTTATATACAGGAGCCGAAATGATGTACCCTGGCTCTGTCTTCTACTAGTTCCCATATAAGATAAGACATATTACACATGAATAAATTACCACACTGTTATAGGATGGCTGATACAGAAATTTCCAAAACAAATTAATAAGAAGAGCTAGTTGCCACAAACCGTTAGACCTTTTTTGTGTCTAAAATTGGCTTTATTGTTCAGTGATCAGTCACACAGAGTTATTCACTAGACAAACAAAATTGGCCTTCAAATCGCAAAATTCAGGTTTTTACAAAAGACACAGAATTTGAATATTTGGCAAACACAGAACATAAACTGTATTGCTTCCCATGGGGGACAATGTGGCTCTTTTTATTCTGTCAAGATGTAGGTACCATAAATATTAATTATTCATCAGCAATGCAAGAGTGAGGAGAATGGGGACCCATTGAACTTGTTCCCCTAGGTATATATTATGTTCTTTGTAGACTACCAATTTTTATGTAACCTGCACAGGCACCTCCATAAACCTGTCCTTTGGTAATGGGAATACAGCCTCTGCTTAGGATCTGCACTTCTGTGGGCTTTGGCCTTTTGGATGGGTTCATTATCAAACTTGTTTACAGTTTACCTTATATTTTCTTCCCCATAATTAAGAGAATCAGTAAAGTTTAAATCTGTAGATGTGTGAGTTTACTAGGTACTGAGGATCTTGGCAGTTCATATTATTCAGACGGGCACAATACAGCATTCAGAGAGGTGTGCACCAATGCCTGACGCAGAAAGACTATATAGTTTTGTCCTCCCACTTTATAGCGGGGTTCCTATTTATTTTCTTTCTATAAATTAATTAATCTATTAATCATCTTGTTGAAATTTGACTGTTGCCTCTTAAGGGTGTACCAGGATCTAAAAGCAACATTCTATAAAATATGCGCTTTTCATAAAGAATTAGTTTAAAAAATATTTATCATAAAATATCTGGTAAAAACAAACCCAACCATCATACTACTTTAATTTAATTGTTTGTATAAAGTTTAAAGGAGATTCACAGTTATCTCTGACTGTTCTCATTTCTACTAAAAGCATCACTAGTGCTGAATCGACACTATTTTCTATTGAATCCTTCGCCAGATGACCTTTATTAGTGACAGCTGGTAGGGAAGATATACCATTGAATGTGTAGCCTCACACTATTATCATGATAAGGGAGATAAAAAAAAGCCAAATAACAGTAGCCACAGCATAAATTAAACTGGAGGATTACAGGAATGTTGTACCATTTGTGTAATTCATTCTTCAAAAATCAATATATTGGATTATAACAAACATGCTTTTTTATTTTAAGAATTCATTCCAAATCTTTACTAATATCATATCGTAAAGTCATGATTTTATTTAGACACGGAGGCATATTTTATGCTGAACTCTTTCTTTATTCCCTCAGCAGCAAAGAGAGAGAAAATAACGTTTGAAACTTCAAATGATATGATATAAGATAAATATTAAACATTAGACAGTGTCACAGCCAATCAGAACATCCCACATATATAGATGTGTGTATCTGCCATCCTGGAAGTTCGAGATGAAGTTATGTCGCACTAAAAGAAAAGAAGAAACATACAGTAATATGGAAACTTAAGAAAAGACACATTATCACACGTATCACAAATGTATTTAAAAAAACACTATCGTAAGAACGATCAAAAATCAATAAAGCATTGAGAAAGATTATAAAAACATACACATATAAGAAAACCTAATTTCCTACTTACCAGATAAAGCAAAGATTGGGAAGGAAAAGAAAAAGGTAGCTACAAAAGAAAACAAGAAGGGTCTTAATAATCATGACTTTACATCATGATATTAGTAAAGTATTGGAATTTTAAAGACACGGAGGCTCATATTATGCTCTTTTAATATACATATTAAGTAATAGCGCACACATAAAAATACAGTTTGAAATGTTATAAGGGTACTTAAAAATCGCCTATCTCTGCAAATAAATATAGGGATTCAGTTCCCCATATAATCATATTGTGGTAAGCCCATCACTTCTTTGTAGTACCCTAATATCGGTGGATCCTACACTAATTCCAACATGGGAGACAAATGAAATAGCGCTAGTGCTAAATAAGCTAAACTGTATTTTAATAATCTGTTGTGAGATAATTGTGATGTATGTAATGCAAAATTAATGTGATAAAAAAACAGGATATAAATAAAATGCTGCGTCAAAAATAAACAATTAAAGTGATAGTGCTTTGATGTATTTACTAATAATGCATAGCATATATCTGCTCGATATCAAATGACAATTATAATTAAAGTGACATTACTATCCAAAACCTTCTCAAATTTATACTTTCCTGTGGTCACCTCCAAAGGGACATCTGACAGACACACTCACTGACACACAGTCTGCTGATTTTACATACACACTGACAGACACAAACACATTCACTGACAGACAGAAACACACACATACACACACACACACTTATAATTACCTCTGGGAGAGCTGGAGTGGATCCTTTCTTTGGGGTCTAGCGTGGCTCTTGTCATCTTCGTGGTCTTTTTGCTCTGCTCCCTTGCGACCTCCCACTGTTGGTGTGTGTTTACTGTGTTGGTGCGTGGGGTACGTTTACCACAGGTTAAGAAACCAGGATCTAGACTACCCTTTAGTAAAGTTATATAATTGTTTATAAAGTCTGTTTTTTATATATCTAAAAATACATATATGTATTTAAGTATTTACTGAAAAACTACATTGAAATGTACTTTGTTTTTCAAGTATCTCCCAGCAAGCACAAGAAATACACAAACATTGTGCTTTTTCCTACTCTTAACCAACCTAGTAAGATGTAAATACAACTCAATATGGGAACATTAATTGCTCTTCAAAAATGTTGGCTGGCATTATTTTTCATATAAAAACATTTTCAAAACATCATAAGTACTTCTCTATTAGCTTTTGAAGCAAGGACTGAGTGCCGAGCACTATGCATTTAAATTAATCATGTATGTATATCTTTTAGCAAACTCTAAAAGGTGTTGAAAAGCTTCACCTTGTCTGAAATCAATAGGATGTCTATTCTTCAAGGTATTGGAATTGTGCCAGTCCATTGCTACTTGAAAGCATTCCAGACTTTCTTGGATGGTTGAACATTTCTTTACCACATCCTACATGGCTTCATTTAAGGGAACACTCCAAGCACCATAACCACAACATTGTGCTGTAGTAGTTATTTGTTAACAGAGTGCCCTGGTACTCCAAAGATAAGAATTCACTCCATTTGTAAATGGTTTAACAACTTACCTGGGATTCACCAGTTGCCGATTTCATCCTCCAGGAGAGCCTGAAGCTCATGCAAAGAGCTTGGCTCTCCTGAAGTAAACACAGCTGTGTAGGGCTGGTTCATTGACTGAGAGTGCCAACTGATCTCTGTCAGCCAATGAGCTAAGCCCTGCACGCCTTGACTAGTTGAGAACAGAGAGCTACTTGCTTTCACTGGAGGGTGACTGCTGGACCCAAGGTAAGTAGTCAAACTACTTTGAGGTGCACTTTGAGGGCCGTCTTGGCACTATAACTGCTGTGGTGAGTTGCCGTGTTTATGTTGTTTGGAATGTCCCTTTAAAATTTGAGATGTGAGAACAAACAAACTAAAATAAACAGTAATTAGCCATATTTTTAGCACAAATCCTGAATAATACTTGTCTTGCCTAATGGTAAGTAACCATTCTTGAAATACTAATACACAGATGCTTAAAGGACCACTATAGTGCCAGGAAAACAAACTCGTTTTTCTGGCACGATAGGGTCTTTAGGTCCCCCCCACCCTTAGGGTCCCAGTCCCACTGGGCTGAAGGGGTTAAAACCCCTTCAGCCACTTACCTTTCTCCACTGCCAGGCTCCCTCGGCGCTGGGGAACTCTCCCCACTCCTCCAACGTCAGCGCCGAATGCGCATGCGCAGCAAGAGCTGCGCGCGCATTCAAACCGCCCATAGAAAAGCATTTCTCAATGCTTTCCTATGGATGTCCAGTGTCTTCACTGTGATTTTCACAGTGAGAAGCGCGGAAGCTCCTCTAGGGGCTGTCAGTGAGACAGCTACTGGAGGCTGGATTAACCCTCAGTGTAAACATAGCAGTTTCTCTGAAACTATGTTTTCAGCTGCAGGGTTAACACTAGAGAGACCTGGCACCCAGACCACTTCATTGAGCTGAAGTGGTCTGGGTGCCTATAGTGGTCCGGGTGCCTATAGTGGTCCTTTAAATTATAACCACAAAGGCTAATCCAAACATAAAAGTAACCAGTCATTTATATATTTGGTACTGCACTATTTTGGTTTCTCTGTGTTTGGTTCTTCTCCATTCAAGATCAAAGTTCCAGATACCGTGTGGTAGTCAATTCTTTCAGTTGGGAATATTTCCCTCTCCAAATGAGGCATTATTACCCAGAACAAGAATTTGGCTAAGTTATCATGCATACATTTGTTGCCATTGTTGGAATCCTTTTTAAGCCTCCATTTAATACAGCCTTTGCATAAGCACTCTAGTACTTCTCATTATTTGTGATTTGTATATTACTGCTTTAAGGTATCCAGTTTATAATGAGCTTTGACTGCTGCTTCCTACTGTGCTGTTGTTTCTCTGGCCCTATCTTCTGAAAGCTAATTTATAGACCCACATAGTGATCTAGTGTTTATTTTATTGTCCTATGTACTTCTTAACACTTTATTTTTGTAATATTACAGTGGGATAGGGTTGATTTGGGAAGAGCAGAAGTTATAAGAAGTTGAATGTAATGGTTACTCCAAGTATAGTAACTATAGCACGCTGTAGAGATTATGTTACGAGGAGTACCCTGGCCCAGTTTACCAGCAATGGGCTAAACCAGTGGTTCCCAAACGTTTTAGGTTCCAGGCTCCCTTAATATTTCAGTATTTTTCCAAGGCACACCAAGTCACAATTTCTAGGTTGTATATCTGTACAGCGCTGCGGCATTTACTGGCACTATAGTGTAATGTACAGTGTTGGTGTTTGAAGGGATGCTTGTATATAGTTATTGTGTTTTAATACAGGGGTGTGTTTGCATTTAATGTTTGCGTTTGATTGCAGGGGTGTGTCTGAATGTAATGTTCACTTTTAAATGTTGTACATTTGTGTGAAGTATTTGTGTTTCAGTGAAGAGATGTGTTTGTTTTTATATTTTTTGTTTGAATGCAGGGGTGTGTGTATGTAATGTTTGAGTTAGATTGCAGGACTGTGCTTGTATGTTGTGCTGGTGTTTGACTGCTTGGATACATACACTATCTGCACATACACTACCACGTACATACATACTTACACAGATATTCATGCACATTAACACACAGATGCATATAGATACACACAGACACATACACACACATAGATACACACCGACATATACACATATGCACCCTGACACACACAAATATTGATACATGCCCACACCGTGACACAGATACACACAATGACATAAAAACACACACCCTGACACACAGAAGCACATACACAGATGTGTGCACAGACACAGAAGCACACTGACATATATATATGTATATACACACACAGATGCACACCCTGACACACTCACAAACACCCTGACACACACACATACTCATTCTCACTTACACACTCATACATACACACACACACACAGGTCATGGTCTTAAAGGACTGTGGCACCTGACCAGGCCCCTGTTCATCAGTAATGTTTCCCCGGTGCTATAATCCGAGAAAACATTCCGCGGCACCCCTGTGTGCCCTGGGGCGCCGAGGCACACAGTTTGGGAACCGCTGGGCTAAACTGTTTAGCAATGCCCCCTTACCTGGCTCCCTGCTGGGCTCCGATACTCCGTGGTGATTCGGTGGTGATGCTGCAGTGGTTGACATTTATTCTCTGAAATAATCAGTTAACCAATCTCAACCACTCTCAACCAGCGAGCCACGAAAGCGGCACAGAATTGACATTAGCCAGCCCGGAACGCTAGTTCTGATCTGGCTGATGACACCCCTATGACACTGCCATAGGTAAAGTTACACATTTGGCAGCAGAATCCCTGAATATGCAGAATTTCAAAGAGAAACACTGCACATACAGACTGCAGCCACTGTGACCACTGCAAATGACTGAAGTGGTCATGGTCCTTGGGTTAACCCTTTAATTTTGTTTAGGTATAAAACATATAAAACTTGAAGACGTTGATAACTATTAATGGAACATTCTCATAATAATATTAAAGCTTTATTCAACTAATCAATGAATAAGCCTCATTATAATGTATACAAATTTCTACTTACCAACTCAATACATTACAGTTTGCTTGTAACAAGCATAATATAGCAAATATTAGACTTCTAAGTTTGTTCCAAAGCGTATTAGCAATAAAAAAGTTGCTATTTAAATTCCAGTGACTTAGGTCAGCAACTCGCAGTCGATTTCATGGTTCCTCTGGGAGAACAAATGGAGCGTAATTGCAAGCATTGCAGAACCAGGATTTATATATCTTGTATTAACAGCAGGCAAAGTAAAACAACATTAACTGGAGTATGAATATTAGTTCTATATTTTATTATACATTCTATGATGCTGAGAAGCCAATAGAAAAACTGCAATTGACAGCAAACAGGAACACAATGCTTTCTAACGCTTATTATTTATTGTGATATAATATTCCAGCCTGTTTCTCCCATTCATTCATGCTGTGTAATATAAAGCAGTGTCAAACATTAGACAAACTATGACATAAAACAAAAACATCCACACTGGGACAGATGCTCTGATCTTGTGAGCTTACAATCTAGCGGCAGGTTGACAGTGATAGAGACGCGTGTTACGGACAGTAGGTAAATAGACTGCAATAGTTAATGAAAACATGCTTTCAAGACGTGGATGGATTAAGTGAAAGCCAAATAAGGGAAGTGGCAACATGGGGTGACATTAGCCAAGGAAGCTTGAGCTGCAGGGGTGCCTGGCCTTGGCATTGGTACAGAGGTAATATTAAGCTATTTTTTGGGGAGGGAGAAGGGGCTTGGTACCAGCATAGGTAGGCTTATACTACAACTGCTTTTTATTAAAATAACCCTTTAAGTGGTTGGCATAGTGGGCTTGGAAGACCAACCATGTAACTCTGTGTTTGCCACTTTTTAATATTTTAAAGGAAACCATGGTATTTACCAGGGCCATACCTGACCTGCATTTAGGGAAGGAATTCTGCAAAAAAATCAGATCAGTCTGATTACAAAATCCTGTTGCATGACCAGTCTGTTGGGTTGTGTTGTGATCGTGAAGACAAAAGTGTCCGAGTTGCTGCTTTTTGGACCCAGTTATGGCAGATGATGGTCTCACAACTATGTGGAGATCATAATCAGACCTTAACCGAGGCCTGAGTCCTGTAGTTGAAAACCAGTCATTGCTTTTTAGCCGCGAAGAGGTCTCCCTATCATAAAGTACTCCCATTGACTCTGTCACACACTCTTCTTTTCCTTTCTGCCATTCATTCTTCCCTGTCTTCACCTTGCAAATAGATATCTCCAGTGACATTCAAGGTGATAGATATTGCTCTTTTCTTTATTTTGCATGTTTTTTTCCTTTCAGGTTTCATCCTTATTTTTCACATTGCTGCTGGCTGGATGTTCCTCAGCGTGCCTTGCTCTGATCATTTAACCACTTATAGCAGAGATTTCACTGGTTTCAAACTCATCAACATTTTATTTTCACACCTTTTATATTTATAGTGCAATTAAACCTTTGTCCTCCAAATCGTTCCATAGTTTTCTCTCAAACTACTAACAAAATGTACAAACCTTTGAAAACCCACCTATTCATAAACGTATTCCTCCTCCCTTAACAGCCCACTATCCTTTTTTGACCACAAGCAATATCCTCCACTTTCCATTCAACTCATCTAATTTCCTAATATTCTCCTTTGTTCCATGCCAATACCAGTATACCCATTGACCTGCATTCTACTTGTTTACCCCCATTAATTAATCTTTTTTTAAAAAAAAAAAATGTATTAGTGTAATAGTGGGGAACTATATTATGGGCCCTGGAGAATAATGCTATATATGTAATATAAGTAATATAAAGTATTAAGTATTAAACACATTACATTATTTCTCCCTAAATCCAGCTTCTTACCCGCACATGTCTAACTCCAAGACCAATTTTCCAATAGTTCCCAAATACATAGAGTTGAAATGGTAACATTTCAAATACTCTGTTTTGACATTTGCCATTCTAGAATTGCCATTGCAATGGGTGATGTCCCAAACCACTGATATTGAAACAAAATTGTCTCTCCAGGTTTATATGAAAGTGTTCGTTCTTTATGATTTTCATTCCTTCTCTGTATATTGTAAATTATTTAATTCATTTATATAGAAAATGGTTTTTTTTTTTTTTTTTATAGAGTAGTGTATTATTGGGAATTCTCTTGAGAATTTTGTTTTTTTATGTTTAATTGGTTTCATAGACTACTCATCACAGACAAGTCCATATATAAATAATTCTAACAATGTTCTAATCACATTTTATAAACATTAATGCTAAGTTAGAATGTTCTCCAGTTGTTAATATTGTTCTTGTATGTACAAAATGTAATACACTTAAGGAATCCAATTAATTACTCAATTGATTTTATTAAATGCTATCAATGAGATATATATATATATATATATATATATATATATATATAAAAATATAGAAAACCCCTGCACTCCAACTATAACAAAACAAAAGATACCTGGTGCTCTGGTGGCTGAACCATAAGAGAAGGAAAAAAACGGCACTCAAGGATTTCCATATGTTTAAATCTTCATTTATTGCGAAGAATAAATCGACGTTTCAGCTCCTCTAGGGAGCTTTCATCAGGACACCTGATAAAAGCTCCCTAGAGGAGCTGAAAACGTCTATTTATTCTCCGCAATAAATGAAGATTTAAATATATAGAAATCCTTGAGTGCCGTTTTTTTCCTTCTCTTATATATATATATATATATATATATATATATAATTACTAAACTATTAAATCATTGTAATCGCTAAGCATTTATTTAATATGATACATATATTCATAAAGAGGTTACATTTTGGTTGTTATATGAATATATATATATATAAATAACATACAATTATTAATGTTTTCTGCTGTCTATTGAGTCTGACAAGTTTGGGAAATTAACAGAAAGGAATATTGTGTATTTTATCTGTTCTCCCAGAATGGGAGTGTTTTCATACTGTACAGCATGTCAGTAGGTATCACATCAAATTCTTATTTAATTACACTCTCCATATGCTTATAATGTTTTCATTCCAGCTCCATGCTGCATTACCATTATTTAATGGGATACTACTCTTATGAGAAGAGTCTTACTTTAAGCTGATAATAATGTAATCTATGCTTGCATGCGGAATGGGCAGAAAATCTATTAATTGCATATCATTTATAAGTTGTTACCCAATTTACTGTTTAATTAGATTTATGGAAATTTAGTGTGCATGAGTGTTATTAGACATCTTCTATAATACATTGGCCTATGAGTTATTTATTGATTATAATCATGTGGGCTGTGGCATACACATGGAACTAGAAAATGAGATATTAACTTTGCAATCAATGTATTTTCGAGCCATTTTAGGTAACAGAATGTATACATGACATTATTAACAAATGAAAATACGACTCTGTCTCATTCATGATACAGTATGTTAAAGAGATACGCTAAGATGTTGTAGTGGTTGTGGTGCAAGGATTATTTAGGTTACTGTCCCACTTGCTTTTTAATTCAAACTATTGTTGTTCTGTTTCACAAAAAAATGGGTATCTCCTGCTACCCAAAGTCTGGCAAACCTGCTGCCGATAAAATAATATGGAAGTTGTACGTCTGCATTATAGAAGTACATGGATGTTGTACATCTGCATTGTAGATGTCTTACGAGATTTTGATAACAATGATAATGAACAGCTTAACACCTTAGTCAATTTGTGATGAACAAAAAAACCTTGATTTTTATTCAGCCAAAGTGACTGAATCAGTAATATTTTGACCCTGGATGGGTCTTGATGGGTTGCAACAATGAGGGTGGCGTTATATGGATTTATACAAATAACTTGTAAGTGAAGCAATCAGGTTATCTGAGCAGCAACATATTGGCTGGGCATTGGTTTCCAGGTGAACCCGTTTTTTATTGGAGACTACTAGAAACGGTCAAGATAAAAACAGAGAGGTGGAATCCAAATATTTCTTGCACTGTTACCACTAAAGTATTCCACATGAGTTCTGGTGCTTTGAGTGTCCTTAAACATTCATATTTAATAAGTTGCTTTTTCATGTAATACATAGTAATTTTCATCATCTGTGAGCATTACATTTCTTTCTATAGTTTCTCTTCCTTTTGCATTTTCACAGCGATCATGTACGTCATGGGAGCCCTTGGTCCTGCCGCAGGATATTTGTTAGGAGGGGTCCTTATTGGTTTTTATGTAGATCCCAAAACCATTGTCCATATTGAGCAGGGTGATCCTCGATTCATTGGGAACTGGTAAGAGCAATATTTCATTACATGTACATACCATACATTAACCTACGGTTTATTTCAGAAGCAAATCTTCATGCACCCCCCAATTATGATACAATGATTTTGGTTGATCTAGTTAAATAATTTACAGACGGTAAATATGCTAAGTGACACTGAAAATACTCAAACGCCAGTAATAATGTACCTTAACTAACCAAACTATGAGCGTGGTCTCAGTTAACATCCCCCCCAAAACTTCAACATATTATGGACAAAGGAATAAACAGATGTTCTCATATCGTGACATGCTCAACTTGACATTGACCTCCAAATGGTTAATTCATAGTTCATAAAAGCAAAAACGTTTTCCAGTCTAATGACTTCTTAGCCTGTTGTAAAAGATTCATAATGTGCAATGAAATCTAGAAAATGTGAACTGTACACTTCTAAATCCTAGTTCTATGGACATGAAATTTGTAATTAAAGTAGTAATGTGTTAATAAAAAATATATTTTTTGAAATTCTTTATTCATGAGAGCCAATCAGAAGACATGTATTACCTATCAGAAGACATGTATTATATGCATTATAAGCATAAACCAAGACATTCGTTATCAAGCCTTTGAATGTAAGCTGAATATCTATACAAAACATACAATATATTTTGTAGCATATCACAACTTGAATATATATTTTCTGAGAGCTCCAGCACTTACAGTACAACCCGTGGCAACTCTCTGGCATTAAAGGGTCACTCCACTGCCCAAGAAAGCAAAAAAAGAAAGTCTCTATTTAGTAGATATACCCCAAATGTATGCATTCATGCATTTCTATGCATGTATTCATTGGAGGTATATCTTAAAAGAGTGTATATCTTATGAGCTGTAGCCTTAAAAAGTCCTCCCTTTTCCCCCCCCAGAAGAGACTTTCAGTCTTTTCATGAGGAAATAACCAGCTTATCATGCACACGCGTACGTCTAGTCTGAGGCCTAGAGGAGCCGGGTGAGCTGATCTAAAGGCTGTGGGGGAGGTGGCATGCGTGCCTCCCCCCTTACAATATACATCCCCCACATACCTACATACAGAGTACACCTCCCCATACAAATGCAGTACACCTCCCAACACACTTTACCTGCACATAGTTGATCTCCACACACTTCACCCCTATACACAGACACTACAAATCTTCTATACATACATAACACAACAGCTCCTTGATAGAGACACAGCGCAGCACATAGAGCACCCTATATGTGCGCACACACACACACACACACACTACAGCTCCTAGTTACACATTGTACACCACAAACAGACACCTTTACACATTCATTTACCACAGTACACCACAAACAGCCCCTTCTAGACACCAGCCCTGTCCAATTTGATATTTGGCATCCTACTTATAGGGACACCAGAGACAAGACACCAGCAAACACAATGCAAGTGTGTCATTAAATATGCTTGCGCTGTGCAAAACAACCCCAGAGTATTTCACCCATCCCCGAGTGGTGTAAGCCTTGGGTGAATTCCCACACTTTTCCCCCTAGGACTTGACCTCTGATGAAGACAGTTTTATTGGGGATTCAGTCAAGTTGAAATATTTAATAGTTTGATTATTGCAGTTCACTAGAGTTAGGTATTATGCAGTACTGGTATTGGAGAAGCCTTCTACCGTGATAATATTGATACTGGAGAATGAACAATAAGCAATAAAGTCCTTTGATAGATCGTTTCATGGGCAAACTGACATGAGGAACATTTGTAACAGGCGATTAGGCAGGGATAATGAGACTTATGTATACATTGCAACACACCACATTGAGAAAGGAGTCCTTCTCTATTTTGGACTACAAAAAGCATATGAACAGTCATTAAATGGTATGTCCCTCCAACATGAAATGGTATGTCCCTCCAACATAAAATGGTATATCCCTCCAATAGGAAATGGTATGTGTCTCCATCATGAAATAGAATGTCCCCCAGTATGAAATGGCATATCCCTCAAACATTAAATGGTATATCCCTCCAATATGAAATGGTATGTCCCTCCAACATAAAATGCTATGTCCCTCCAACATAAAATGCCATGTCCCTCCAATATGAAATGATATGTTTAACATGACAGCAAACAAGGGATTTTAATTCAGGAAGAGTAGAGCTTTCTTACTTCTGGAGTAACCCTGCTGGCAGTCAATGCAGTGCTCTGTCGTGTACCTGCAAGAGGTAAGAGATGCACACAATATTTCTTGGCATTTGGCTTATTAAATGGGCTTGCAGTCCATCTCTGATACAGTATAGATGTGCCAAACATATTATATAGCATATGTATTGGTATGGTTTCTTAACCACATGTTTGAGATGGCATAAATGAAACAATATAGGGCAAGCTACCACTTGGCATGCTGAATATTCAGCTAGTGAGTATTCAGCTTTTTTAAAGCATCTGGCAACACCTATTTGTGCAGCCTCCATAGGCGTGCGCACGGGGTGTGCCGGGTGTGCCTGGGCACACCCTAATCCCCGTGGCACGCCTATGGTTTGAGTCCTGCTGGAACGCTGTTCCTGCAGGCACTCAGCGCCCCACTCACCTCTTGCCCCTGTCATGGGGGGGCAAGAGGTGATGGATTCCTCCCCCCCCCCGCTCTCCAGCTCAGCCGCAGCTGCTGTCTGCTCCCTCTCGCAGCGCGCTGATGCCGGGAGTCGGATTATGACGTCATATTCCGGCTCCCAGCTACAGCAGACAGCCTGCGCGGCGAGAGGGAGCAGAGCGCAGACAGCTCCCTCGCCGCGGCTGAGCTGGAGAGAGGCGCCCGCCCCACTGGACCCCAGGGAAAAGTCCACTCCAGGTAGGAGGCTGGGTGGACATTGTTTTTTTTTTAAATATAATAATTTGTTCTTGTGTGTGTGTCTGTGTGTTTGTGTGTGTGTGTCTGTGAGTGTGTGTTTGTGTGTGAGTATTAATACACTAAAAACTATAAAATAAGGAAAATGTATAATAGATAGTCCAAATACTTGGTGTGCTTATGAAAAATTCCAATGGATAGATGAAAATCTCAGTACTTTGTGTCCATCTCTTACTGTTTACGGCACAGAAGTGGTGTATTCACTGAAAAACTTGATCTTCTAAAGTAGATATAGATGTAGTCTTGATTCAATGGAAACCATGAAAAATAAAGAGAGCAGAGAAAATCCAATAGTGTAGATTGTCTGTAGATAACTGAGAATATGAAGAATAATAGGGAGGTAATACACTCACCTATTTCAGAGCATAAACTCGCTCTAGTATATTTGGCATTCAGTGGCGTTTGTCCCCCACTGGTAGGATATAGGTGAAGACGGTTCCTCCGTATGAGAAAAGTACTGAGATTTTCATCTATCCATTGGAATTTTTCATAAGCACACCAAGTATTTGGACTATCTATTATACATTTTCCTTATTTTATAGTTTTTAGTGTATTAATATATATTATAGTTTTCAGTGTATTACCATATATTATATTTATTTGTTGTAGCGCGACCTATTTTTTCTGTTTTTGCCATTTCTCTTTTGAGGATTTTAGAGGGAACCTCATACCTATAGGTTGCAGCTATCTACCTGTTTCTAGCCTCCTAGTATATCACGCAGCGCTGATCCATTTTCCTTTTGTGTGTGAGTATGTCTGTGTGTGTGTGTCTGTGTGTGAGTATGTCTGTGTGTGTCTGTGTGTGTTTGTGTGTGTCTGTGAGTGTGTGTCTGTGTGTTTGTGTGTGTCTGTGAGTGTGTGTGTCTGTGAATGTGTGTCTGTGTGTGTGTGTGAGTGTGTCTGTGTGTGTGAGTGTGTCTGTGTGTGAGTGTGTCTCTGTGTGTGTGTGTCTGTGAATGTGTGTCTGTGTGAGTGTGTGTCTGTCTGTGTGAGTGTGTGTCTGTGTGAATGTGTGTGTGTCTGTGAGTGTATGTATGTGTGTGTGTCTGTGAGTGTGTGTGTGTACGCATATATATAAATATATATATACACACACACACACAGAGCAGGCGCTATCTGAGTGCCGGCTCAACTCTAAGCCTCCATGGGCCGGCGGGGAGACCAAAGATCTACCTCACCGGCCCACAGCAGCATGGAGGGAGGCAGGAGAAGACCCAGGGAGCTCTAGACAGAAGCTCCGCCAGGTTCCTCTCGCGATATCTGAGCGTTGCTGCGGCAACGCTCAGATCTCGCGAGAGTTAACTCTAGCCCCGCAGGCTAGAGTTCACTCTCCACTGGACCACCAGGGATGGCACATGGCAGCAAGGATTTACTAATCTGCCAAATCCCTCCAAACATACAGCACACACACATACAGCACCTACACACATACAGCTCACACACACACAGTACACTAACCGCACCCTCACAAACACACACAGCACCTTTAAAAAAAAAACACAACACCCTCACACACAGCACACTAACCCACCCTCACAAACACACACACAAACAGCACCCTCACAAATACACGACACTCACACAAACAGCACCCTCACAGGACAAACATACACACACAAACACCCTCACACACAAACAGCACAGTCACAAACACACACACACACAATACCCTCACATCACACTAACAGCACCCTCACACACACATCACACTAACAGCACACACAGCAGTGTATGTGTTTGTGTGTGTGTGTATGTATCTATATATATATACATATATATATATATATATATACATATATATATATATAGATACATACACACACACACACACACGGCGGGTGTTTGTGCTTTAGGGTGCACACCCTAATGCAATAGGCTGCGCACGCCTATGACAGCCTCCAATTGATATGACCACTCATCCAGCTTTATGATTATTATTAAAAGCTCCCTGTTACCCACTGAGTAGTTAAGAGTCCCCTGGGCTTTATAACTTTGTAAGGGATGCTAAAACAGTCACTATAACTAAGTAGTTAAGAGACATTCCAAACCCCTTCATCACTTTAGCTTGCTGAAATCCTTTCTGTGTAAAGAGTGTGTCTTTTTCATTTTACAAAAGTACAGATATCAACAAAAACTGGCACTTTTATCAATTAACATTCTTACACCTCCTAGCTTTCAATCAGACAATCGACCTGTTACTTCCTGGTTTGTTTAGCTCAGTAGAGCTAAACTCAAGAAGCAGGCAATTGCCCAGAGCACCTGTCTTGCAAAGACTTCTCATTGATCTGTTTTAAAATGTCTTTGATTGGACATCCACAGAAAGTCTGGGCGGGGTTAGAAGAGGAGGGATTGCAAAGGCAGCAGACAAAAGATCTGCAGCTTTAGAGAGTTATTTTTACAAATATCCAGAATTAAAAAAAAATGCTTGCCCCATGTTTTAATTTTGGGTATACCTACTTAACAGTGTCAAGTAGGCGAGGCGCTGACAGACCATCTTAAAATGATATAAAAACTATCTGTTGACTCACCAGTTATTGTGCATCACGTAAGTCAGGAATAAAATGCCGGATTAAGAAGACTTTGAGACTTTATTGAGTAAAGTGCTGTTCCAAAGAAATCTTTTATAAATATTACTTGTGGTAAATGCTTTTGCTTGCAGCCCTATAAGAACCTGTAATAATCACATATTACTTATACAATATTACATCTGCAAAAATATTTCTAATCTTTCATAACAGCTGTTACACACATATAAAGGAAAATATGTGTAGCTGTCTTTGTATTGTGTACAAGACCAATCTCCAGTTACATAGCCAGTTAGGTACATCATTAGTTAGGTTACACAAATGCAAAGTTCATTTGGTTTAACCTTTCCAAATATCAATATTTGTTGATTGAATAGTATACAAAGTATTTCTATATAGGGAAGTCTTGCATTGACCTTGAATATACTTGTTATTGTAAACACCGCTCCCCAGTGATTAATTTTCTGCAGTGTAAGCACTTGCGATTCGAAAGCTGTACCTCATAGATTCAATATTCAGTTTATTTAATTATTTTTTTCTCATCTGTGGTTGCCTTTCTGTATTATATTGTCTGTCTTGTGAAGCACCATGCTTTTGTGCTTCTACTAGATAAACCTTGTAGAAGGGGCAAAGTAGGCATATGTTCTGCTTTTGGTATGTTCTTGGTTCCATTGAGTTTATCTTTTCATTGGGGACTTTAGTAAGTTCTAAGAGGAGCCGCTCTTTGGTTTATGGAGTGATACGATCAATTTAAGATTCACGTTCAAGGATATTGTGATGTGGGAGGGCACAGCCCAGAAATGGACATCATTCATTTAAAAAATATACATATTGAGGTTGGAGTTGAGGGTCTGAACCTCCGTCATCCCAAGAAAGCATGCTTGATGGTTTTCCTTGAAAAAGAAAAAGCTCAGACTCAACAAATGCTGGGGAAAGGTTTGAGAAAATTTTCCTCCTCAAAAAATGGGACAATGTAGGGGGCGGAGCCTAACTGCCGAGCCGGGAGGTTGCAACTCGCCTGAGCTCCGGCAAAAAAGTGCCCAAACAGGGGTAAATACCACTTGCACCGAGCCCATCCACAGCCAGGCTACTCACCAGAGGCTGGAGAGACACCCGGTGAACGAGTACACCGCGACGAAAGTGTCGGCTCCGAAATCGGCGGCAACTCAAACCGCGGCCTACCACGTGTACGCAGACGGGAGGTGGCCAGCCCCGCCGATCAGGTACCTGAAGGCTTAAAGGCGAGTGTTGACCCCACCAGAGACCACTGCACCCCCCCCCCACGCCGGCAGGGGTAATTGCTAGCACCCCTAACAACTTACAGCAACTATGGGGCGCAAACACAAGAGGCTAATGCAGATGGAAAGGCAAGCACTTCAGGACATAAGGCTATCCTTCGAGAGAGCAAACCCGCCAGAACCCGCAAGGGTGGCACTGGCACCTGACCGTTACAGTGAGCAAGGGGCCTCAGACGACTCCCCTGGAGAGCTGGAATCCAGTAACCCTCCCTACCCAGCTGGTGTATACCTGCAAGCTGACTCAGATGAAGATTCCTCCCCATCCACAAAAGGCGACATTAAAAAGTTACTAGTGGACCTAAGGGAGGTGTGGAAGTCAGACCTCCGAGAAACACAAGCTGACATAAAGGCCTTGCAGCATACAGTATCAGAGGCTGAGGTCAGAGAACAAGCTCGGGATACTCAACTCAAATTGACTACACAACGGGTGGAGTGTCTCGCCTCACAGGTCAAACAACTGCACAAAATAGTGACCACACTGGAGTCCCGGCACCGAAGACGAAATGTGCGCCTGAGAGGCATACCTGAACAGGTAGAAGGGGGAGACATACTGTCATATGTCCAAAAGCTGATTATCTCAATGGGAATTCAAAAGGCGACAGACACCCCATGCATCCTAGCTGCCTTTCGGGTGCGCAAAGCTGCAGCGGCACCAGCGGACGCACCAAGAGACATTATTGCAACTACCAAAGATATTGCGGTGCGATCAGCCATCCTGAATAAATCCAGAACAATGGGTCGAGTACATTTCGAGGGCCATAACCTATCCATCTACAGTGACCTCCCATTCCTTGTTCTAGCAGAAAGGAGGCAGCTGGCACCAGTGGCTAAGAAGTTGCGTGACTGCTCAGTCAAGTACCGCTGGAACGCAGAAGGCTCTCTGGCCGTCACACGAGGCGCGGACACATTCACCCTGACATCCTCGGATGACCCAGAGACGCTCTATCATAAGTTAGGCCTATCGGCCACCAACGCGTTAGAGGGTGCAACCAGGACAGATACTCCACGTGAAAAAAGAACCTCAGGAAGAGCACACCAGCGGAGAAGTCCGACTAAACAACAAGTACCTACCGTCAGGGACAGTTCGGACACTCCATAGCGATTGCTAATAGCCGGACTATAAACTAATTATACTGACTTATGTGGTCAACCGCTACGCCCAACCTAAGGACCAATGCTATTGTTTTTGATTGACGCCTTTCATTTGTCCTTTGTCCCTCTCACTTGTCACTTGTCTATGCTCTACATCTCTTGCTAACATTAGTGTGTTTGCTGAACCACACTGAACCGTATACTCTCTATTTGTTTATCCCTCGCATATAATGGCACAGAGATATACTTGCTTATAACTCTAATAAAATATAAATAAAAATAAAATAAAAAAAAATGGGACAATGTAAAAAAAACGTCTAGATCTGATCATAGACCTCATTGGTGTAGATACTTGGTGACCTTAACACAGGTTGGTCTTTATTCTAGAGCAACCTGCAGTCCTTTGTTATATCTAATAGTGTATCGTAACCATCAAAACCAGTTAATTCCCAAACTAATAAAAATATATTTTCTTTTTTTTTGTCTAAGGTGGAGTGGATTTCTACTTTGTGCCACAGCAATGCTTCTTGTGATATTCCCAATGTTTACATTTCCGAAAAAGCTTCCACCACGGCTGAAGAAGAAGAAAAAAAAGAGTAATTCATACGATGTTTCCTCTGATGATGATGTACTAAAGGAGAAGACGAGCAATAAGATCAAAGTAGATGCTGGCACTGGTCCATCGATTGGGTTTGGAAAAAATTTTCAAGGTAATAGGCACTGTTGTAATTTTGCATCTGTGATAATTAAAGGATTTAATCACTAAAGAGATGCACTCAAGTCCACTATATTCAACATTAAGCGGCCTAAGTCTTGAAAATTAATTTTGTATTTTTAATTTACATCAATTCACTGAGGAAGCACTGATAGTTAATAATATAAAAATAATTTTATAAAATAAAGTGGTATAAATAGAAACACATATAATAAAAATATTTAATAAAGTGTGAATTGTCTCGAATTCAAAGTGAGTTTAAAATTTTAGGCAAAAATAACTGAAAAAATTCTCCATGTGAGCTGTGTTTTCAGATCAGCTATTTAGTCATTAACTTTAAAATGCACTTTGAATTCCAGACAATTCACACTTTTGTGCATAACACTGCAAGTGTCAAATAGCATTCCTTTGCCAGCATGATCCTACAATCCCCCCACTGGGAGAAAGCATCTGTTTACATGTGCTTGGCTCAATGGGACAACCTACGTGTATAGTTTATGCTCCATGCTGAAAAGAACTTGACTGGGTCCAAAATAATTAAAGTGAAATTTTAATGTGCATTCTAAATTCAAGGTAAAAACTGGAAAGATTCTATCAGTAGGTGCTATCAGTTCAGCTATTTTGAATTCACTTTGAATTCTCATTTTAGTAAATAGCCCTGAATAACGTATCTATGTCTGGAGAATGTATTGATTAATTAATATACAAATGGACTTGGCAATTTCACTTTGTAGACTAAAATATTAAAATTGAAATCCAATAATTTTGCAAAGCTGGGATATTTTGGCTCTAACATATACAATGCCCTGGCCGATTTCCCCAAATTCTGATTAAATGAATTGTCCTGATTGTTTGCTAAATCAGTGAAGGTAATCAGAAGATAAAGACATCAAGCAGGGTTATTCACAAAAATTTGGATTGCTAGAATTTCATTTAGTACATTTCAGCTCTTTTTGAGAATTTTTCAAATTTAGCTATTTTCGCCTTAAATATAAAACGAATTTTGAACTCACTTTGCACTCTCAACAATTTACACCTGACCGAATAACCCAGTATGCGCAAACTGCTGCGTGATTTCTTTAGTGTAGAAAGCTCTTATCCTCTACAGAAGCTCTGTCTTCTTTTAAAGCTGCATCTCATGAATGAGGTAGGAACATTTTGAAATCACTTTGGAAATCACTCTGGAAATTATACCACTGAATAAAACTGTGAAAATCACTTATAACTTGTGTTAACCTTTTCTTCATGTTCTGTTTTTTTTATTTTTTTTTTATTATGAATGAAAAAATTTAGCAGGTGGCATCACAATCCAGTCAGAGCCAGGGTACACATCGCAACTTGGTTTCTCTTTCTCCTTCTCTCGCCAAGCTAAATGACTGGTTTTATACCATTGTTTGACAAATAGCACGTTAATGATAATTTGTAGATTGGATGTAGATCGGCTGTAGATTGATTCAGATGAGTTTGGAATATCAGTGATTTCGTTATCTGAAGCAATGTTACAGAATCTGTCAGACTGACTGAATTCTGACCGCATATGGCTTTACTGAAAAACTAGAATTGCTAATGCAATTGGAATTCAAACGGAATTTGGACCAGGCACTGTAGCAACTCTGAAAAAAGAGAGAGAGTGATAGGCGCTCACTATAGTGATCAGGCAGCAGTATACAAAACAGGAGTTCCCCAATCCTGTGAGTGAATAGCAGAGAGAAAAGAGGGCGTATACCGCGCCTAGTAATTATTTTATACAGAAAAATACATACATATATCCTTGGATATTCCAATCAGTTGTAGCCTCAAAAAAAAATAAAAATTAGAATAAAGAATAATAGTGCAATACAGTAGATGGAATTATTAAATATAAGCAATTATTGCTATGTACAGTCCACTCACATTTGAATGAGCTATAACAGAGCTCTACTGTAAAGCGCCTGGACGGTACAATCCCCGTCTTAGGATTCGTAGTAGTTGCCACGGATGATCTCAAGGTGCAATGTGCATAATAAATATAAGAAGAGATAGCAGCAATATGGTGAAGTAAGTACTAATGGTATATTCAGTAATAAAAGGTATTGTACTTACACTTTTTAGAGCATATAACTTGCTCCAGTATAAACAGCTTAGGTGGTATAATCCCCACCAAGGATATGCAGGATCCAGGAAATAAAAAATACTATATATAAAAAGTAACTTTTAAAAATAATATAAAATTAAAACAATATAGGATAAAGGAATATAATAGAATGTCCCACTTAACGCGTTTCACCTTAACAGGCTTCTTCAGAAGTGTGGTAAAGAGTCCAAAAAGTCCATTTTTATATCCTGGTTAATGAAGTGATGGTTTCCTGGTGTGTAGCTTCCTGGTTCCGGGCTCCGGTTGACATGCACGCGTCATACCGGAAGTGACACGCACGCGTCATACCGGAAGTGACGCGGCACGCGTGTCATACCGGAAGTGACGTGTCGCTCGCGTCGAGCTAGAAAATACTTGCGGCATCAACATGAAAAATAATAACAGTATTGTGGCGCATTGGGACGCACGTATCACCAATATATGGTGTGCGTGACGTTCCGAGCGCTGCACGCTCTAAAGCCTCATGGAGTGAGGTGTGGGCATATAGTGCTATGTAAATAGCTTGGCGGCCATCTTTATTTTGGGCAGCCATAAACAAAAGAATAAAGTGAACATTAAGATATTACCTATATGTAGCAAGTGCAAAAAGGGCTATACTTCAACAAGCTATATACCTCTATTACAGGAATAACATAATAAAGTATCAAGTCAAATGATAAATAGTATTAAAAAACAAAAGGTCAATACTATTATAGCACTTAGAGAGTCTATAATACGAATATAAATAGTAAATACCAATGTAAAATAATAATAAGATATTTTAATATTTAAAATATTTTAAAAAATAGTATCAATATTAAAACGTATCTATTATATAAAATTAATTAAGACTTATACAAAAAAATGAGTACAATCTCTAGGCATATACATGTATAACAGGTTGATTTACCGGAGATGGTGATAGGGAAGATGTACAGGTGAGGGAGATGGGGTGTTGTGCTGGGAAGAGTTTTGGGGAAATGCAATGGATGCAAATGCAAAGAGATGTATAGCATTATCCTGGGGACATGGGTTGATATACTTAACGACAGGCAAGGAAGTATGCGTGCAAATTATGTGACTGGGAAGATGCATCGAAGATGGTAACGAGAAGATATATTGGGGGAGCGGTGGGGGAATGTACCGCTGGTGTGTGTGGAGATGTACTGGAAGAGTTGTGGTTGGGGTGAACATTCTGCGGAGATGTAGGTAGATAAACCGGGGTGATATGTAGGTAAAGGTGATGTATGGTGGGGTATTTTGGCTTAGGGGAGATGAATTGTGTGATATATCTTAGACAGATGATTGAGAGAACATGGCTACGGAAATATATTGCATACATGTAGATGGGAGAGATGAATACCTCTGGTGAGATGAATCAGTGATAGATCATTAGTGAAATATGTCAGTGGTGCATGCAATGGAGAAATATACTGGATATTCAAGAAGACTCTGGAAACTTCAGATGACTTCAGAACACTCCAGAATACTCACAATATTTCATAATACTCAAAGATATGCAGGCTATTTCAGTGTTTACTTACTCAGCCCATGCAAGGGTTCCGATCATCTCTTCTTGTTGTTTGTTACACAATGCTTCTTGCTTTATTTCTACTAACCTCTGACTTCACTGTGACTTTTTGTGTCTTTATTCTCTCTCTCTCTTTTCACGAGCTTAGTATATATCTCATATATATGCAAATGCAAATTTGAGTACATAATCAGAAATGACTAATATTGTGCTTTACTTTTTATCAAAGTTATATTTTGAGTTTTTGCGTGGATTTTGTATTTTATTGTGTATTATAGTCTATGAGCAAACAAGTGAAAGAACAAGTTGTGCATTTGTCAAGATTATAGGACTAATTCCCTTGTATAAAGTCTATTTGCCCAGCAGAAGCGAGGATATTCTAGAAAAATAGCATGTGCCATTGACATCAAACTCATTTGAGAAGTGGTGAAATCCAAATAGTTTGCCTGCCTTAACATTTTCATTGAGCGTTCTTTTTTTGTTTTGTATTGTTTTTTATTTTTACTCTTGGTGGAGCTTTTTGATTAAACTTTGGTCATCACAGTGATTTTGTAATTTTGTTGATTGTTTGGTAACCATGTTTGCATAAGTGGGAACTTGTTGGATTTCAGCTGGAGTGTCCTGGTCCACCCTTTTTATCTGGCTGTTGACGAAGTGGGCAGCCTATTTATCTTGTAGACTCAGTCTCGAATCTGGTCGAACAACAGTTTTGCGGGATGGACAACTCCCTTTTCACCAGAACCATTTATTCCATTCACATAAGTTGAGCTGTTTAGCAAGGGGATCTGATAAGTTCCTACGTATGCTACATTTAGAACTGTATTTATATTCCTGAATAAACTGTAAGCTTAATGCCGCAGAACGGGCAATCTGTAAACAAATGGTATCTTGGGTATCCATTACACGCTTCTCATTTCTCAGGACATACATTGTTTTTTGTTTTTTTCATTTATTGTTTATAAAATCCATTTCTTGTCATTTCTATAGACCTTCCAAGAGCAGCAGTCAGAATTTTAAGCAACATGACATTCCTTTTTGTGAGTTTGTCATACACAGCTGAAAGTGCCATTGTCACCGCTTTTATTACCTTCATTCCCAAGTTCATCGAATCACAGTTTGGCATCCCAGCTTCTAGTGCCAGCATCTACACTGGTAAGATCATTGTGGCATGGTACATTAAGGGGTACAATGGTGCAACATAGAAAAATGAGTCATGTAAAGTGAATTTGTGATACAATGAGCAAAAGCAGATTGTTTACCCAGTATGATTTTGATTCCGATTGCCTTTTACACCATAAAACAAATTATTATATAAATTGTATGGATATTATAATTGCGTAAAGTTTCAACACATAAGACGTCAGTTTGATGAGTTGGATGTTTAATAATTACCGGCTCTAGGACAAGATTCATGTGTGAAAACTTGGCAATGGATTTAACGGTAAGTTCAAACATAACATACTTTATATAACAAACCATAACATGTCTAGATTTTTTCTAAGAAAGTATAACAAATGAGGTTCACTGTAAAGCCAGCACACTGCTGGATACCCACCAATGGTTGGAATTCTTCTAGCATCCTGTGAGAAGCAAAAGAAAAGCAAAGGATAATCCAGTTGATAAAAGGTAGAAATATATTTTTTTAGACAATAAAATAGCACTAAAATATAAAATAGGCACAAAACTAATTGGTTATGCCAACTGCTCAAACATAAGCAATGGCTCTAACCATCTTGGCTCGTTATTAGAAATTGTCCTCCATCATGGAACAAAACCCTGATAGGAACATGGACATGCAAGATGGAAATCCGAGAGAGAACTCTAGAACAACACTTAAACGATATTAAATTAGTCTTCTTTCATCTCATGAAACCGCAGCTTCCTCGGGTTGACAACAATAAGACAAGCAGACTAGCCGTCTTTTAAAAAAGTCCCATTAAATTTCTATTTTATTCAAATTGCAGAGACATTTGTGCCACACGTTTTTCCAAGACCTGGATAGACTGATTGAAATTGTTTCTGGCATGATCAATAAAAAAAGTGTGAATGTAGATTTCCCAGTGATTAATTATTATGATCTATGTGTCCAAAGTTCAGTCCTTCAAAGTAGACTGGTATTTTCTAAATTCATATTACTGCATAAAATGAAAAAAAATTATGAATAAAAATGTATTGATTCTAGATGTAACAATTGATTGCATTCCAAACATGCAGAATAATTTAAAGGGACACTACTGGCAAGAGTTGAACCACGTCCCCATTTCCAGTTTTTCTGATAATGACTTTAAGATTAATCGTGGGAAAAAAAAAAAAATAGAAGAAAGAAGACGAAAACATCTGCAGAGATTCTCTTTACAAACCTTCTTCCTTGTTTTTGCAAACTTGGCAGGAACATGGTATTGGCTAAGCATGTTTCGTCCAATCAGTGCTTTCCCAAACAAAAAGATGGAGCAACACTAAGAATTTATTTTCTGTGGAAGTATGTACAGTAGTTAGAGAGAGTATTCCTTAACTTCAAATTAGCCAATGGCAAATATATATATTCAGAACAGTTTCCTTCTATAGCTCTCTTATGTATTTGCCATTAGTTACCTTATGGCACTCCCATGCCATTCCATAAATACTGAGGAGGAATCATTTCGATTGGTTAGTTTCAGAGCATAATACACATTGGGCTCTCAGTTCATCTCTTTAGAAAGCTCTCAGTTCATCTCTTTAAATCAGAAACATTGCTAGAAATATATTCCAGTGTACAAGAAAACCCATGTGATTCAAGACACACTTTCGATGTATACATAGGCACTGAACTTTGGAATAGTTTAGAGATGTGTCCTTTGCCATATTATTTATTTATTTATTTAAATTATTTTCCAGAAATGTTCTTGAGGAGTGGATTTATGCTACGCAAGGAATGCTATAAATTTAACCTATTTAAGGGTATTTTCTTTTTTTGGTTTGTGCTAATTTAAGAGAAATCCATAGATTTATATTTGTATGTAAGCCGTTTATCCTTGCTCTGGCGATGGTCGGGGTAGCTTTATGGATTGGTAATCTGGGAGCTGTTTGAAGTATAGCTCATGGGCACTGCCAGCACAGTGATATGAAAGGGTTCACGCACACACAGTGCAATGTAGAATGGAGTCCTGTAGTGCACTCACTTATGGCACATATTGGGCATTTTGATTGATAACCCAGAGAATCACGTATATAACTAGGGACAGAGATATTACCAGCCTGGGTTTGGGAATATTGAGACTCATGAACAGACTCAACTAAAATCTTGATAAATGTCCACCATTGAAGCCATTCCCATGTTATTAATTTCTGACAGTGTATACTAGGACAGATAGTTGAGTGTTGGCTAATCCTAGTTACCAATTAATTTACACAGTAGACGAAGCCAATTAATATTTTTTACAGGGCCCTTGGAAAAGAAGTTTGTGATTTAAATAATCCTTACAGCTACATAATAATAACATAATGAGTGCCGATAGTAAATAACCATCCTATCCCATTATATGCTGTAAGTCCCATGAAACTCACCCACTAGTCCTTGAGTGCCATAGCATGCCTGAACGTAAGGCACTAAGAACTCATGAGTGTCTACTTGATAATTCTCCATTTTTATAGTAGAAAGTATAAAAGTATATTTTTAATTACCGCTTATTGATATTTTGCTCCAAAAGAACTGCGAAGCTGTTTGCTGGGTTTGATTGAAAAAAAGGTACATCAAAACCACAATCTATCTCTTTAAATTGAGAACAGAGCCTTTCTGGCAGCAGATTGTATCCATCAATATAATAATAAAATCCTGGTAATCTGCTCAGTCATCTGGCATTTTTCTATAATGTGAAACATGCAAACACAGGCCGAAACCAGAGATGTTTGCAAGGTTGTTATTCAATCTATAAAAACTCTATCTCTTCAAAATATTACTAATCAGTTATAATATAGAAAAAAAATCATGATAATATATGGAAAGATGTTTTTCTGTGCAAGCAATTCATCTTTTAATCTTAAAGGATCACCATAGGCACCCAGACCATCTCATTGAAGTAGTCTGGGTGCAATGACCCTGTTCCCTTAATCCAGCAATGTAAAGAATTGCAGTTTTTCAGAAACAGCAATGTTTACATAGCACGGTTAAGACTGCCTCTAGTGTTTATTTACCAGACTGCCACTAGAGGTGGCACATGCAGTTTTTATGGAGTTTGAAAACAACATTGGGCGTCCTCATGGAATGACGTTGGACGTTCTCTCTCTTTGCATGAGGGCCTCCAGCCTGTAGAATAACTCAAATTGAAAGCATTAAGCCAACGCTATTCTACACGTAAGGCCTAATGCGCATGTAGCGCTCGCCTTGCATGCTTATTAGATTCCTGGATTGAACAGTCGTCGGTGGAGGATGAGTCTGATCCAGCGCCAAGGGAAATCGTCGCTGGAATAAAGTAAGTGTAAATAGGGTTTAACACTTCACATGGCTTGGGGGGGAAAGGGGGAAGGACCACAGGTGCAGAGGGACACTATAAAGTATTAGGTATACAGATTTGTGTTCTTAACACTATAGTGTTTGTTTAACCCCTTAAGGACACATGACATGTGTGACATGTCATGATTCCCTTTTATTCCAGAAGTTTGGTCCTTAAGGGGTTAAACCTGATGGTCACTAATTGTCAGAAGCGACTGAAGAGCATTAAAATATATGACAAATTACAAGTTTTGGATTCTGTTAAATATATATATATATATGTGTGTTAACCTGCAAACAGAAAATAAAATAAAATGACGTAAAATGTCTGTTTTAGATTTCTCTTTTTTATTTTTTAACCTTGACTATACTCTTGAGTGGGTGTATTCAGCATTCAAAATTATTTCTCAAAAAAAGTAATTCTTAGTTGTTATATATATATATTTTTAATATAGATTTTTTAAAAGGTATCAACTGCGTAATATTTGTAATTATGATTTCTACCCATTAAAAATATAATTTAGACCCTACATTGTCCTCAGCCAATGCTTGTCATTTCTAAACTGTAAAAAAAAATTGTGCTGTAAGTTTTCAATATACCCCTGCATAGAACTGCTCATTTATTTAAAAAAAAATATCACATTCAATACCTGGAGTGTTTATTACAAAATGAAGTTGAAAATTGCTGCATATATCATACTGATTATTATTTTATTATTTATATAGCGCCATCAGATTCCATAGCGCTGGCTATGTATAATGTTATGTTATTATCGAACCTTTAAAGGGGAAGCCCAGGATTTTTAATATTCTGTTTACTTAGCTCCTATATTTAGAAAATATGCTTTTGTTAGATCTGATAAATAAAGCTAAATATAAAAATCCACATATATCCTGGAACTGGGCACCTCCATCTTTTCTCCTTCTCATAGTTGTAAATGTTGCCCGTTTTTTCCTCTTGAACATAGTTCGTAGAAGAAGGAAGACTGAAACAATGAGGGCATTTATCAATGTTCTGGAAAGTGTCTTTGAATTTTGGGGTCTTATCTGTTTGTATTTTTATCAGCTTTTCTATGTCTAAATTCTGCTATTTTTTTCAAATATCAATTTCAGAAAAGGTTGACAAATTTACAGTGGTGGAAATAATATAAGTGAAATAGAACACTTTTCAGGTGAAAAAAAAGCTGAAATTTGAAATTTATAAATTCATTGTGTTGCTGAGACAAATCGTGTACACTCAAAAGAGCAACAGAAACACAGGTGAAAACACCTGACAGATCTAATAAATTGTGCAAAAAAAAAAAATACAAAAAGAAAGGAACAAACCTGTCTATCACACTTTGATCAATCTCCTCCACTGTTTTTATTCTCCTCCTCCTCAGAGTGTGCTCTGACAATGTTTGGGACCGAAGTGGATTATGCTGTCATTGCTGAACCCTAATATCCTTAAAAGGACACAATAGGCACCCAGACCACTTCAGCTCATTGAAGTGGTCTGTGTGCACTGTCTCTGTCAGTTTAACCATGCACTTGTAACTATTGCAGTTATTGAGAAACTGCTATGATTACATTGCAGGGTTAACTCCACCTCTAGTGGCTTTGTACCAGACAGCCACTAGAGGCGCTTACGGGTCTTTAGGTGACTTTTGGTTGCCTAATTAACGCTGGATGCATGAGGACATCCAGTGTCAACTAAAACTTCACAGGAAACATTAATTCAATGTTTGGGGTTGTCTTAATGTGATTACCGCGCATGCGTATTAGGTCCCCGACGTAGGGGGAGGAATAGCGGAGGGAGAGCCTGGCCCAGCGCCGAGGGACATTCAGGATTCAGATAAGTGAATTAAGTGTTTTTACCCTTTCTGCACTGCAGGGGGGAGTGGGTGAAGGAGGGGGTGGGGGTCATGTGAGCAAGGAGGGCACTATTGGGTACTCTAGTGCTAGGAATACAATTTTGTATTACAAGCATATAGTTTCCCTTTAATGTACTTTGAAAGAGAATTGAGCAATACATTAAAAAAAGTTAAAAGAAATTATGGATACATTTTTAATGTTTTCTTCAATAGTGTCATTTCTTTAGAATTAGCTGTTCGGCTTTAAATCCAATAGCATTAATTATGTGCTTTCGTAGTATTTTATCTTGTAACATGTGCGAAAAAAACTAATAGAAGAAAGCATACTTTATTAACTAGATACTTTATTAACTATTATTTCATTGTGTCACCTAAATCTCTTTTAATACTGTTCCGATAGAGCTATCTGTTCTTACTTGTCAGTGAGTTGAGTAAAAATTGATGGTTTTTGTTTTATCTATGGTAATTGCTACATCCTGAAGAAGTCTTAATGCAGTGCTCGGGATGTCGATATACTGTGAAAGCTTTTAGTGGCTCTCCCATTAAAGATATAAATACAAGGGATTGTATATTTAACATGAATATTGAATCAGGAAACGAAAAGACTAACCTATTTATATACTGGAAAAAATGCATTGTTTTGGCAGGAGATGATTGGGTTAATTGGCTTGCATCTAGTTAAACTCCGGTCTCGAACACTAAGACTAGATCACAAGGTTCCCCATCTGATGTTGTCATCGTCTGTAGACGATAGCGGTTTGCCCTTGAAAAGTCCTTCTGCATCAAGTTACAATGTAATACTTGAGTGTGAGTTCTATTTATAATGGCACATGTCTGGGAATACAATCATAGCAGGTTGTACTCTGAATTCTTCATCTTGAATACATTATTTTATTGTGCCGTTTGATTTGTCTGCCCCAAAATTTTCGGTTTTGTTGATTAACAAACTCAAGAGTACATATGGGTTGACCTCCCTCTTGAATCATCCCTACCAAAATACGAGTATTATTATTATTATTATGTTATTATTTATATAGCGCCAACAAATTCCATAGCGCTTTACAGTGGGTGGATGAACAAACATGTAGTTGTAATCAGACAAGTTGGACACACAGGAATAGAGGGGTTGAGGGCCCTGCTCAATGAGCTTACATGCTATAGGGAGTGGGGTAAACCAAAAAATAGCCCCATTATATTGTCTGATTGCCTAATTGCGTTATTTGATTGTTAGCTGGCTCCCAGTTCCATCTTGAACAGTTACCCTTCTCCTTCACTGCTATGCTTTTACAGGTACATCCAGTGATAAACGGGGAAGAAAATCTGCTTTAACAGATAATTCTTTAGTCATGTGTTCAAACACCAAAGTACTTACACTGAAATAATGTGCTCTATGCATTATACATTACATTTAGATAAAGAATCAATATAATTTGTTTTTATATTTTAGGTTTTTCATTGCATTCCGCAAGTTTATTTTCCATGCTACACTAATTTATTTTTAGTACAAAAGTAACATATTTTAGCTGTGCTGTGTACAAATAAAATGCATAGTTCAGTAATATTTATGCATTAAAAAAAATCACTTATCCTCAAACATTTGTTGTACATGCTGTAATGCTGCTGTAGTACTTATGGTGCTAAAAGGCTGCAGGAGCTGCCCTCCTTTTTGTAGCCAAATTACATTTGAGCTGTGACCTTGATTTTCGAAGGTCTTTATATTCTGCATAATCATGTATAGCATGATGATGCTGCATGCATACAATGGTAAACAAACATCAGATTGCATCCTATGTCCCCAATGCTTCCCTATGAGAAGCAATGGATGGACACTAGCCATCAATACTGACGACTTCGACAAGGGGGGAATAGACTGCCACGACACTGGATTACATGCAAGTTTTATTTTTTTATTTTTAAACCAAGGGTGGTCTGAACACATCAAGGAACACTCTAAAAATAAATATACTCATTTTTAATGTTAGAGTGTACCATTTATAGTTATAAATCACCTTAAATCACCACTAACACAGAATTTGGCTATTGAAAGATGTTTGCATTACGTACAGTTTTATGAAATAATACATTTGTTTTTTAGGTTTGATAATTGTTCCGAGTGCTGGCGTTGGTATTGTGCTTGGAGGTTACATCATCAAAAAGTTGAAACTTGGCGCCAGGGAATCAGCCAAGTTAGCGATGATCTGCAGCGGTGTATCTCTGTTGTGTTTTTCAACACTTTTCATTGTGGGATGTGAAAGTATTAACCTTGGTGGAATCAACATACCTTACACTACGGGGTAAGTTAAAAAAAACCTACCTTGTCTAGAGATCCTTATACGTATACTAAAATCTGACATGATCGTCGCACAGGTACACAGTATTTGTTTGGTCTTTTTAAATAGTTAATAAATAGACAGGTCACACTGGCCAGTCACGGTACCATGATTTGTATGATGAGCAGCCTTTAGTCGAAGTGTAACTGCTTCTCTCTAGTAATTCCTGAACATGTTGCCTAATTGGAGGCTATCCCTTCAATTGTTTCATTTAAAGAAAGTGAGATTAATTATTCTGGAAAAAGAAATGTTTAATTAAGTAAGACGTTAGTTTAAATAGATTTAAAGAGATATAACTCTTTTGTCCAAAACAGCGGAATAAATTTTTTAATTTAGCAATGTTTGTTGAGCTGTTTCGGGGATGGGGCTCTTCCGGGCACCCTGTCCCTTCTCAATCACATTGAGAGAGTAGTCTTTATCCTTTGGCATTAATCGTATGAATGTTGTTTAACTGGAGAGCCATGATAGGCTGAGAGTGTTGGGGGCAGGTGACGGCCATCCCGGCTGAACATTTATTAATATTGATAATGAGGAAATTTAAATGAATACAGGGGTAGTGAGTGCCAGGGAGATCTGTCATGGTTATGCTGGTTAGCCTGTCCCATTTAGATAAGAGGAAAAAGGGTTCCAAATGACGAAAATGAAGGGTTAGCTTGCAATTTGGGAAGTATAAAATAGGAATGCCCTACACGAGGAGCTGGTGACTTCAGATACTTTTCAATGAAGGACATAGATGGACATAGATTCTTTTGGAGGGTCAAGAATTCCAATGTATACATGAGTGGTTCCTGAATCTATGCTTGATAACTAAAGACCCATAAGCCAAAGATTGTATCACTACCCTAGCATGTTAAATGGGAAGAACAGGAAGACAAACTTGTGATCTTAACTTGAGATAATTCAAACCCTAATTCTCAACTTTCGTAACTCTAAGGTACCTGATGATGTTTAGCTGGAAGGATCTAAAGCATGATGCCACTAGTTGTAGTGGATAGTGGAGCTTGGACCCAGGGCTAGAGAAAGACATTTAATTTTCAGGTTCTCATTGCAAATTTGTACCCTCTGCTAGAACTTTCAAACCGTACCTCCTGAAGCCATTTACACAAACAACACATCACACACAAATATAACCGTCAGTTCGCATATATCTAGCTAGTCATACATGTACACACATAAGTAGCCATTTATACACACTTAATTAGACGCATGCATAATTAGCCATGCATATGTAATTACTTGCACACAGATGTAACTAGCTACACTCTTACCTAGTTAGCAATACACAAAACACATTGACATATATACACAAAAATGTACATAAATATATTTTCACACATATACATATGTGTGTGTGTGTGTGTGTATATATATATATATATATATATTTGCATACACACTTATTAGCTTTTCAAGGTATTCACCTTCAGTCCTGTAGCTCACACATGTTGGTGGTAGGAAGGAAGGACGGCATAGGTCTTCTATGTGCTGTCATAGATTTCCCACCTTCTCCTTGAAGCATCACTCATTAAGCAAGATATGGATGCTAGGACATGAGTTCACCTCTAGGCACCCACTGCCTGTCTCACAGTAAATATGTAATGATAGCTACTGACAGTAACACTGCTTTAATAATAAGATAGTGGTCACTCACACCTTTCTAGTTGTTGCAATCCTTTATATTCAGTACACAAAGAAGGACAATGTTTCAGGTAACGTATTTGCCCTCGTCAAAGTCAATGGACCTCACAAATGCTAATAAGTTAGCTGAAACGTTGTCTCTCCCTATGCACTGAAAATGCACTAAGAATTTGTGCTTGACCATTATCTATTTATTTATTTCATATATGGATAACAGATCCTGAGTTCACTTGCACCCTTCCACAAATGTATGTTTTTTTTTGTGAGTGCTCACCAACTATATATTCATTTTTACCTAGGTAAGACTGTTTTACACATTGCTAGCTTGGTGTCAGTCAGTGGTTAATGCTCTACCTGCCATTCTGAGATGCTAGTGGTGTTCCCTGTCAGGCCCCCATGTTCACAGTGGTGTAACAATGTGACAATCAGCCAGCAGTCTATGTGCACTTAGTTATATTGCTGGGAACCAGTGGGTAGTTCACTCACCTAGGGAATGGCCTGTACAGGTAAACAGGTGACTGCCAAGAGTTCCAGTCATGCGAGGTAATGAAACATGATTGTGATTACAAACTAGATTAGCAAAATACCCATCTGAGTTCCTCTAGGACACAATGGACCCACTGGAACCCCTAGGTCTGACCCTGCCCATACCTATCACTATTACTGCTGCAGGTGTGTCTGTCCCTAAAAATTACTGGGGTTTAATCATAAGTATATGTAGATACCATATGTTTCTATGTTAATCCAGAACAAGTAATGTATATTGCATTGTTTAATAATAACTGATTTATGGTATTGATTCTCAATTTTACATAATATGTTTTGAAAGGTTAAAATGTCAGTTTCTCAAATTAAAAGCAACACTTTCATTTGATTGCTTTTTATTCAAGAGAGAGAGGTTCTAATCTTAAATACCTATTGTGGAGATGAAGTTTATTAATTGCTTTTGATTTAATGAATGGCTACACTCTTAACAAGTAGCAAATCAAATTTTAGTCCAATAACTGAATGTAGTGATAGTTCAAAGAGTGAAATGTTAGTTCTGTAACCATGTTCTTCCTATATTCTGTAATATATTTTTTTATTTACTGCCTGTATGTTTGTCTTTCTATTTGTTGCTATATCTAATTTAATTTTTTGTATTTAAGTGGAACTGTCACATTTTGGGTCTTTGCATATCTTCTCGTATTTTGACACCCAGGGTAAGAGATATATAAAAATATATAAAACTTTCCCAGCTCTCAACGCAATCTTTCGATCTCTATCTTATGATATTTTTTATTGGGTTGGAATTGCAGTATATGGGAGTTTTTTCAAGGATTCTATTTGAACTGTAAAGTCAGAAGTGACAGTTGTGCTTAAGTAATGGCTTATGCTTCTTTGTAAAGTAACGTACTTTAACTGTATCTTTTCTAATCTCTACAGTCCCACGCTAACCATGACACACCGGAATTTAACAGGTGGCTGTAATGTTAACTGCGGCTGTAAAATACATGAATACGCACCAGTCTGTGGATCAGATGGAATTACATATTTTAATCCTTGTCTCGCTGGTTGCATCAGTGTGGGAAATCAGAGCATAGCAGTAAGTACACAAAGAGTGCAAACCTTTTAGACAGTGGCTGATTGTGAGTGAAGAAAGACACTTGTATACTGTTACAGCACATCTTTCAGGTCTGTTCAATGGGTAGGAATAACAAAAAATCGAAAAGTTCTATTCCAGTAAGTAAGAAAGAATGAAGCATTAAAAGAGGCATTCTAAGCAACACAATCACTACAACTGCAATGGTTATGTTGTCTAGATCAGTGTTCCCCAACCCAGTCCTCATGGACCACCAACAGTCCAGGATTTATGTATTTCCCTGTTTTATACCAATGGAGATACTGACAAAACCTGGACTGTTGGTGGTCCATGAGGACTGAGTTGAGGAACACTGGTCTAGATTATCCAGGTATAATAATGAAGTGATTAAGAATGATTTGACATAAACTAAGGCTCTTCTTGGACACCACCATCTCCTCATTTGTACTGATAATGCAGAATTTACATCCCCATCACTAAATCACACACACACAAACTGTCAGACAGTTATGGACTGGATGAAACAGGCTTTGTTAATAAAGGGTTAATTATGCATTATCATTATGCATTATCAGTGTAAAGAGGACATGGTACATTATCATTGTGCATTATCAATGTGAAGAGGACATGGAACATTTGGAATTCTCAGCAGATTTCTTTTGGGCTGAGCACTCTACCCTTCCACTTCAGGTGACGTTTTGAAATGGAGCACAGGGTTGCATACATTGTCAAGAGCCTCTTGCAGCAGTTTGAGGAATAAGTACTGCAGTTAGCATGTTTTCAATTTAACTGTTAATAGCCTTCCCTCTACCACCTTGCTTCCTCTCCTGCAACTGTACTATTCAAAAAAGAAAACACCCTTCTCTTACCCTTTGTATCACTTTACCCCACTCCCTCTAACATGTAAGCACATTTGAGCAGGTCACTCAACTCTGTTTCTGTGCGTCCAACTTGTTTGGTTACAAATACTTGTCTGTTGGTCCACTAATTGTACAGCACTGTGGAATTTGTTGGCGTTTTATAAATAGTAATAATAATTATAATAATAATAATAGTGATATGATTAAAGGTACACTATAGGCACTTCATCGTAATGAAGTGGTCTGGGTGCCTTGTCCCTGTCATTTTAGCTCTGAAATGTAAAACATTGCCATTCTGTAGGATTTATATGCCTCTAGTGTCTGTCACTCTGACAGCCTCTAGAGGTGCTTCCATACAAATAACCAAGTGAAACTCGGCTATTTCAATAAGATGGTCTACTGCGCATGCACCATAGTCCTAATATCAGCCTTGGAAGCAGGATGGCAGCACAGAGACTGGCGCTGCAAGGGAGAAAAGGTAAGTAGAATGGATTTTTTTTAATAGAAATGGGGTCACCTCACTAATTAGAAAGGCATTATAGCATTAGGAATACACGTTTATATTCCAAACACTATAGTGTTCTTTTAATGTATGACCCAGCAGTATTACTTTATATACTATAAAGCAGTGGCAGGCTTAAACATGATATTGCCATCTGTTGTGACTAAATCCCCATCATTTTTTGTTAAAATAGGTGATTTTAAGTAGCCTTGTAAGCAGTGGCGTACCTACCATGGTCGCAATGGTTGCAGCTCACTCCAAAGGGCCCGGCCAACATGTCAACCCCGTGACCGAGGGCCGCCATAACTTCATGGTTGGTTGCACAGTAGCACTGGGTGTGTGGTGGCCGGGTGACCATCTGGTGGGGAACGCACAGCACAGCGCTCCCCTTCTGTCTCTATATGTAACATGGCCAAGCGGACCAAGGGTAGAGGGTAGTTTCCTCTACCTGGTCTGGCAGGAAGTGCTCATTAAGAGCACCTCCTGTCAGATCAGGTACCGGGGTTCACTCTGCCATGCTACATGAGTGACAGCCACAAGAGGCAGGTTAACCTTGCAATGGAAACATTGCTGTTCCTGCAGAATGGCAATGTTTTAGTTTACAGGGTTAAAACGGTGGGACATGGCAACAAGTTATCTTCATTAAGATAAGTGGTCCCTTTAATCTGTATTTTGCCTATATTTGAGGTGTTACCCCAATTCCATTTTCTATGTTTATTTAGAATCCTGACCAGATTCCTTTTAGATTGAATACCCTGCCCTTCCACTCAAGCTGCCCCAAACTAGCAAGTTGGAGAACAGCCAGTGGATCCCAAGAAGTATCAATGATCTTGTCAATTGCAATATCTTATGTTACATTATTTTTTTTTGACATTCTTTATTTTTACGTGCTGAGACGTACAAAACATCCTTGTAGTGCCACAACAGCAGGTGCAAGCTTATAAGGATAACTCAGAGTGAACAGTATTATGGCAGCACCTTTTTAAGAATAAGTTTAGCACATTTTATATGAAACAGAGATTTAATACAATATAATACAGTAGGAGAGTTGCTTAACCTACTAACTCACTTGTTCAACATTAACTAATAGTTTGGTCAGAGGTGTGTAGACACAGAAACAAGAGTTAGGACAAGCTGTCTACCTTGTAAGAGTAGTGGTATGTGATTCAGGAAGATGTAAAGCCTTATGGCTGGTATTTGCTTAAAGACTGCTTTGTGTTGTGTCATAATTCCGGCTATATGCTAAGGCACGTAGGCTAAGGTGAGATACAAAAAACAGTAGGAATTAAACACGCTAGACTAAAGTTAACAACAAATTAGCTTAATGGGTATTCAACACTCTTGAAAAGCTCAGAGAGGAGAACAGAAATCCCAATACTGACAGTAAAATAACAGTGAAGTCTCTGTTCATCCGATGCCACAGAGAGGCCTCCAGAGACCGGTAATTTCCATGCTGGGCCATGGCAAAAAGACCAGCTCCATAGCTGTGGTAATTCCCACTTTCATATCCATCAGACCGGGTGAGCAGTGCTGTATGTGCCTCTGGGACTGCAGCTCCATGAATCTTTGGCTCCAGGCCTGATAGGAAGCCCCTGCCTTTAGTCCCTGGATCCCCCTTTCCGTGGTGGTATGATCATGGGTCTGCAGGATTGCTGGCTTCTAGAGAACCCTCGGGTATGAGGTTGCCGGCGTGGAGGTTTCTCTGATTGGGCAACCAGCCCAGAATTGGTACAAGCAGGTGACACTACTCTGTGGCTTCGCTGTGTATCAGGAGTGGGGAGTGTGTCAGTTCTGTGGGCAATTCGCTTCTAGAACCTCTGGCAGATATCATCAAAGTGTGCATTGAAGAGGTCTCTTCACCCCAGGCCCTGAGGGCCCACTTGGCACTGTTGAGATTATTGCATGTCAGCCATCTTGGGCACGCCACGCGGCTTCTAAGGTTAGCCGAATGTCTTGTGATGCGGGTTAAATGTGACCCAATGGGGACCAGAATGACCTCGCCAGTCCAAAGGGGAGGGAATGAGTTGGTAGGAAGGGAGGGATTTTAATTAAAATAAACTACAAAAAAATCTGTTTAGTTTAATGCATGAAGGTGGACGGACTGCACAGATGGTAAGCTTCCCTTTGTATGTATTCTGCCTGCAAGCTGTGCGTGCTGGCGACAGATATAAAATATGCACAGAATTCACAGTAGGCAGCTCAGAACAGAGTTCCAGAAACGCTGCACATCCAGCATGCTTGGCTTTCTGTGGACTTTTTATGGGTCCTAGAAGTGGAAAGCTGAAGTATAATCCAAGGGTAAGACAGGGTCCCAAAATTGGAACTGGTCTGCTAGCCATACGCCATTTGGGTAGTATACATTATGGTGTAAAAGTAAACTAGGGTAAACTGGCTCCAAAAAAATAAAATAAAAAAGTGAAAAGTAAACAGTTTGTTCTTTAAGGGTACACTTCAATAATTAAAGATTTTGGTGCTAGGACTGGTGCAGTCTCAAAATAAGTAGTGAAACAGTTTAAGAAAGGTTTGACAATTTACCTGGGGCGTGCCAGGTCCACTACCACCTTCTCTGTGTCTGGAAGCTCCTATACTGAGCTAAGTCTGGAGGTGCACGGTCACGCTCATTAGCTGATATTAGGGCTTATTTCAATAGAGCTAACGTGAGGGGGCAGTAGCGATGGGTACCAAAGGTAAATTGTCAAATGGCTTTTAAATAGATTGGCTGCTTGCTCTGGAAAGGTGCCAGGGCTGTCCTGGGACCACAACTACTACAGCAGACTGCAGTTGTTTTACTATTCTAGCAGGGTTGTCAGATTACCACAAGCAGGGATTACTGAATACATCGGCTAGTGAATGTATAGGCCACATACAGGTTAATTTCAGAATGATGTCACACTGTACATTTATAGACTCGTATATGATAAAAAAAAGACATTCAAAGTACAATGAGTAGCTACCTAAAATATAGCTTCTACATTGTGCCATTACCCCCATAGTGACTATTTCACTCTTAATGTAAAATGTATGTAAAATGTAAGTTTTAGTTTAATACAATCTATTCATATAAAAGTAAATAAGCATAGAGTGTTGAAAAAGTATTTTCGACTTTTTGTCATACTAGTTCAGTTCCTTACTAATCATATCCTAAGGCCTAGGCCAGGGGTAGGCAACCTATGGCACTAGTGCCATGAACAGCACTAAAGGTGTCTCTGCATGGCACTCAAGGCTGCTACAGCCAAACAGACTCTGGCCTATCAGGAGTCCCAGTGAATCTTCAGATATCTGCTAATACGAAAAGGTGGTGAAGGACAATCCTCAATTTATCTCTCAGATCACTTCCTCCCAGCACTTGTGAATGGGAATCCACACTATAGTAGAGCAGCCTGCAGCTGCTGTTGCAGCTCCTGTCCTTGACCTGTAACTGGCCAGCCTGGTCCCCACTTGAACCCAGGGAAGCCTGTGCTAGATTTACACAGACAAAAAACCCTCCCCTCATACAAATAATACGAACAGCCCACAAACAAACATACATACAATGCTCACAAACGTAACCCGCTAACAATCCACATACATGCACACAACCCCACGTGCAGCCTCTCACATGCAATACCCCAAACAGCCCCCACACATACACACTCTACCAAACACACAATGTGATATCCATCCACACACACAATTCCACAAGCAGCCCCCATACACAGCCCACATTCATATGTATCATACACGATACCACAAACTACTCATGAACATATGCAATATAATAGCTTATAGACGCACAAATACAATGATACAAAGCAATTACAGTATAAATAACACAAGAAGAATACAGCAGCATACACACCTCAATTTGAAAAAATTGGACTGGCACGCTACGATACATCACAATCCTATATCGGCACAGTGCTGCTAAAAGGTTGCCTACTTCTGGCCTAGGCTCTTCAATGTGATTCTTTTATAATTCTATCTTCATACTTGCTCTTTTGTGTTGAGTTTAATGTAGTGTTCATTATTAATTTGACCAGCAGTGCTGCTTATTTTTTCTTTAACTTCTTTTTCCTTAAAATTATCTTTTTGTATATTTTAACTTTGACCTAATTTTAAAGACCCTCCTATTCACCTTCATGTGGCTAAGCAATGTGGTAGCTTCTAGTCCATTATAAATACTCATGGACTTATGCTCAGACACTTGATACCTGGCTTTTTTTAAAGATCCATTTTAGAAGAGTTGACAAAAATGTTTTGCTGATTGAAAATTAGCTCAAGACAAGGAGCTGGGGTGTCCAGACAGTGTATCAATTACCATTTTAGGTGGTGATCTCAGTGCTCGGGAAACAAAATCACAGCGTGTTGGCATTCCATCCTTTCACTGTCAAGCTGATGTAAGATGAGAACGTCAAGTCATTGGTATCATATCTTTCTATGTCTGAAGGTCATCAACGCTGAGGTTCCTTTTACTTTTTTTTCTTTTTGTTTTCTTCTGATCTTAGAATTCTGATTGTGCATTCAAAATAGCAGTGTTTTTTTATCTATAAAATGTGATCTAAATTTTTGTAATCTAAAAATCTAATCTTTGTCATCGTGGTTGCCGATGGTTTGGTTATAGCAAATATATTTTTTCGATATGTTAAATTATATATTGTTCTGAATGCCTAATGCAATCCGAAGCAGGCAGCTGCTCTTTAATATTGAGCATTGCTTGCATGATCTTATTTCCAGTTAGTTGCTTTCTCTTATTCATATAAAGGGAACTGATCAGTGTCATTGATTTAAAAATTTTCTTTGATTTATTTAAAAAAAAACTTTACTAAACAGTTTATTAAAAGCGTCTGCACTTTGAAGCCATAATAACTTAATTATAATTGTTATATGTCAAAAATACCTTTGTTCTAGATATGTCAAGATATTATCTCACTTATTTCCTACACTTCATTGGAATTAAAATATGATATTGTAAGCTGAGCACCGCATATATTGACGGAGCCAAGATAAACTAGCACATCTGTGTGTGTTTGTGTTTGTTTTGAGCTTACATGGTAACTAAGTGCTATAGTACGTACTTTTTTATTTTTTTTTATTTTACTAAATTCCTTCAAGTTTAATTCCATGCTGTAGATAAAATATATTCATACATTACAGATTTGAGGTCAAAATACCCAAACCAGAAAAATTGTCAAGTTGGAAATATTTTTCAATTTTTGTTATTTTTGCCTAAAACCATGTTCTCTAGAATTCTTGGTTTATTGAACAACCCAAACTGGGTCAAGTTAGCATAACTCATTTATGTGCCTTTTATCGAGACCTATGGTTGCATGATGGGAAATGTATTTGCACAGCATCTGATGATCATCCTCGATCTAAAAATGGTTTGGTAATTCTTTTCAATATTATAGGAAATGGCAAAAAAATAAAGAAGGAAAAAAAATATATATAAAAAAACAAAACACAAAATCTTCAAGTTTTGATTGTTTTTAGAATATATTGCGTAAATGGTATGTGGTTTTTTTTCCAGCTTGCTTTATATAAATATATAAATGTAATATTTTAGCACCTCCCTTATGTGCCAGTTGTTCCTATTTTAAGCAAATACTACTAATTACAGCATTTACGTTTTATTCATAGCAACGTTTAACGAATCACTTTATTTTTGCAGATATCTAACTAAACAAACTAAAACAAATATACTATTAAAGAAGCTGTGATACCTATATAATGTAGTAGAATCACCATGTTCTTTTAGCGAGCTGTATAGCATAATGAGTTTGATTCCATTATGAAAGAAAGACAGTGTCAAGGCTTTAAAAAGACTGACAGATAATTACATGGTATCCTGGCAGACTTAAACATTCCCTAAATATTAAATTGTGATGAAATGGAAAATGCATTGCAATCTCTAGTTGTAATAAAGTTGGATATATCCTATATATTGTCTTAAATTTTGCGTTTTTGTTTGTCAGTTTGTCATTAGTCGTTGAATATATCTTTCTAAACTGGTGACACTGTGTACTGAAGTAGCACACCAACAAATTATAAGTACAGACAGTGTTGACAATGTAAACAATTTTGCCGTTCCAACATTTACACTCCTTGTATGTGTTTTTTAGATAAGAAATTATACTGAGTGCGCCTGTGTCCAAAGTCGTCAGGTGATCACTCCGCCAACAGTGGGTCAGCGCAGTCAACTTCGAGTGGTTATCGTCAAGACATACCTAAATGAAAATGGCTACGCTGTGTCTGGAAAATGTGATCGAACCTGCAACACACTCATTCCATTTCTCATATTCCTCTTCATTGTTACCCTCATCACTGCGTGTGCACAGCCCTCTGCGATCATAGTTACCCTCAGGTGAGACTCAGCAGTGTCAAGTCCTAACCACCTGTGGGACAGAGATGTGACCAGGAATGGTGGAAAGGTGGTGAGATACAGATAAACATACGCTTCCTGCTTCCAGGATCTTACATTTTTCATTTTAATGCATGATGATAATTTCCACTGCGAGATGTTAGACTTAGAAGTGTTGTGTTTTTGGAATGTGTGCACATTTTTAAAAAGATTTTTAAAGAAAAAATTTAAGCTCAGAGATATGGTTTGAACTATTGGGATTTTTAAATCATATTTCTGACCTAGCCACGTCTTGCAGTAAAATAGTAGTTGCAGAAATAAATCATGGAAATTAATAGTTACCCGAACAGAAATATCTTTCTTTTTGATTTTATTATAATTTGGCAATACCGAATATTTCTCCGAACACTGCAAGCAATTGTTTTTGTTTAAACATATATTTTCTGGTTTCTACTTTACAGTTTTCCTTTACTTACCCTTTCTGACAAATATATGAAAATCGAGTCACCTTCCATGCTTATCATGTCTTCCCGAGGATATCTCCCTCTATGTGTCTGTCTGTCTTTCTGTGTAGAATAGCATGATGCATTATTCTGCTAGTTAGAAATCAACAAATAATGCTGTTGAAATCATATATTGTTGAACATACTAAAAAATATTTAGGCAAAAGGAGAACTTTATCTATTTGGATATAAATGAATAGATATATGTATTAATAATATGAAGCAGAACAAAGTTGCTTTTCCCTTATCACGTGAAGAATGTGGTGATGTAGAACAGCTGTCTGAATAACTCCACTGATCTCTGCATAGTGTAATGTGATATGACTCATGCAGCTAATAGGAATTATGCATACAGCAACTCTACTTTCACTATAACTAAATAATTAGATCCAGGTTCATAAAGCCACAGTTTATAATCATCAAATTTCCATCTCTTACGTATAGCTTGTTGTTTTGATTTTTCTTTTTTCTTTTTGGTTACTGAAGAATTATTGATTTGATAATTGTAGCAGAACCCTTTTGGCTGTCCAAACTATTCCCTTTTTATGGTTGGCACTTAAGAGTTTTCACTGTGCCTAGATTATACAGGATCACCTACCACCATAGGTGGCTACACGTTGTTACATTCCCTTGAACGCACGAACACTCTGTTGTATTCCCTGGGTAACCACAATTTCGGCAGCCGAACACGTGGCGGCAGCCATCTTAAACCCGCGAACAGCGGTGTTTGGTCGTCGAGTGTCTGGAACTCAAAACGGACACTCGACTAACCGAACACCGCTAAGACCTCCAGGGCTTCAGAAAATACAGATGGAAACGTGCGAACGGCCCGTCGTTCGGTAGGATGAATCTCACGAATAAGGGAATTCATCCGGTTACAACCCTAATTGTGGATGGCAAAGCCTTTCGGGACTTTTGAGGCACGAACAGAGACCGACCGCAGGGCCAGATCTCATGGAACTAATTTTGGCTTCTTTACCCATGAGGTCGGTCAAATCTTTACCTTCTCATAACTCCCGAACCCCTGGTCTGATCTGGGTGATTTTTGGATATGTTCCTCACCCAGATAAGGGCTACCACGGGGTACCATATTTAAAGGTGTATCCCCCATATTTGGGGTACATCTAAGAATTGGGGAAAAGTACGTAATAATTATAAGTATGTATAATTATGTTAACTGTTAATCTAAGGGGAGGAGATGTGTGGGAGATAACGTCTATGGGATTGGTGTAACGGAGTCTTACCTGATAGGGAGTCCAGCTCGCAGAGTTATACGCTCACCCTTGCAAAGTAGACACAGACCAGGGTGACCAGGTAAGACGCCACCTGGCCTGTGAGTCTGTGCACGGGGGCTTTCCAGGAAAAGTGCTCCAAGACTCAGTACAGCAGGGATAAGCAGAAGCGTGGTCAAGGGAAGCCAAAATCAGGGAAGCCAGAGGTCAGAGTAGTCCAGGAGGAAAGCCAAGGTCAGAAGCCAGAATTAGACAAGAATCACTGGAACGCAGGTACAGAGTAACAGGAACCAAACAAGAGAACCAGAGTCAATGAACTGACACCCCTCCCAGGGTGAGGCAGGCTTTTATATCCTGTTAATTAGGATCAGATTCAGCTGGAGAGTTACTGACAGATCAGAGCCTTTGGTGAAGTCCAGCCCCCTAGTGCTGCAGGCAATACAAGAATAAACAGGGAGTTATCCAATGTCCTGAAATGGCTCAGAGGAAGAACAGCAGGACACGGTCCAGGAGAACCACAGTTCAAAATCCCCTATCGGGCGCTTCCGGAGCGACCACGTCTGGCAGACTGGATGTCACGGCGTGAACCGTGACAATTGGTTACTGTAGTAATTATGGTGAGAATCTCATAAAAGCAGGAGTGTTGCCATTAAAAGTCAGTTCTACTCCTGATACTGTGTGTCGTCCAATGATTGGGGAAGGTGATGGGATACTGTTGGATTTTATTGCTGATTGTGCTGGTTACCCTCTTGGATTTACTACTTGTTCCTGCATTCTTTTCATATCCCAGTGGAGTTAAAGCTGTGGGAAATCAGCTCTCCGCTACATTGGTTGGCAGCGTCGGGATCCAGATCCACAGAGGAGCAAGTACCAGGAAAGGCAACAGCACTAATGGATCACGGATGGAGATCGATTACACCACATTTAAGCGATCCACTTTAAAGGACCTCTTATCCCCGCCAGTAACAAGACCAAGGCAGTCCTGGTTACAGAAGTCATGGCGGAATACAGAGCAGAGGAGGGTCCGGCTTTGGTACAGAACAACTCAGCAGAGGAACAGGGGCGGTTGGAATTCCAGAGAGAGCTGCAATTCTGCCTGTCATTCTATGGGGAAAACCCACCAGCAGAGATTATCTCAAGAACCATGACGGAGGTACAGGAGTTCGTGCTAAGACAAAGGGTGCAACAAACTCCAGAGAGGAACCAGACAGTGCCCACGGTACAGGAGAGCAAACCAAAGGTACCGTATCAGGCTTTTAAAACTTATGTAGAAGCAGAGGAAGAAATTGATGCCTTTTTAGAGGACTTTGAGAGACTGTGCCACCTACATAAGATAAATGTTGAGGATTGGGTTCCTATTCTAGCAGGTCGGCTAACAGGAAGAGCAGCTGAAGCGTACCCCATGGTACCAGATGGAGAACTAAGGGATTATCATATTAGCTAGATATGCTATGACACCAGAAGCTTACCGGAGATGGTTCAGGGACCTTAAAAAGACTGGTAAAGATTCTCACACAGAGTGGGTTTGTCGAATACAAAGAGTGGCACTGGGTTGGATACAGGCGAATAAAGGGCAATCCATGGAGGATTTATTGCAGATGATACTTTTGGAGCAATTCTTCGACGGACTGGAACCAGACATGCAGGAGTGGGTGAGGGATCGCAATCCTACAAACCTCACCGAAACAGCCCGAAGGGCGGGTGATTACCTAGATGCCCGGAGACAGGGCCGGACTGGGGAAAAAATTCGGCCCAGGCATTTTTAATTACAGCGGCCCACTGAAAAGGGGGCGGGGCCAGATAGGGTGTGTTTTGTCATCCCCAATGACAAGCATGCCCCATCTCAAAGTGAGCATGTTGGTTCAATGCTCTTCCAGGGCATGAGAAAAGGGCCCTGTATTTGATCTGCACAGCGCAAGCAAATTTAATAACATGCTTGCATTGTGTTTGCTTGAAACTTGTCTCAGGGGTTTCCATAAATGGAATACTCACTGTATTTTAATACTCACTTTGCTTAAAGGGTATCTAGTGTGTTCATAGGGGATCCTGAGTGTGTATGTCAGAAATGTAGTGTTTGTGTAAGTGGTGCAGCGACTGTGTGTAGGGGATCTAGTGTGTGTTTGAAGGACTCAGGAGTGCGTATAGGAGATCTAGTGAGTGTGTGAGTGGTGCAGTGTGTTTGGGGGGTGCTGTGTGTGTGAGGGGTGTAGTGTGCATTTGTGAGGAGTATAGTGTGTGTGTGGGAGGGTGGTGTGTGTGGGGGGGTGCAGTATGTGTGTGTGAGGGTGCTGTGTGTGAGGGCGCTGTGTGTTAGGGCACTGAGCGAGGGTTCTGTGTGTTGGGGTGCTGTGTGTGTGTTGGGTTGCTGTGTGTGTGTTGGGTTGTTGTGTGTGTGTTGGGTTGCTGTGTACGTGTTGGGTTGCTGTGTACGTGTTGGGTTGCTGTGTATGTGTTGGGGTGATGTGTGTGTGTGTGCTAGGTTGCTGTATGTGTTAGGGTGCTGGTGTTAGGGTGCTGGTGTTAGGGTGCTGTGTGTGTGTTAGGGTGCTGTGTGTGTGTTAGGGTGCTGTGTCAATGTTAGGGTGCTGGTGTTAGGGTGCTGTGTGAGTGTTAAGGTGCTGGTGTTAGGGTGCTGTGTCAATGTTAGTTGTGTCAATGTTAGGGTGCTGGTGTTAGGGTGCTGTGTGAGTGTTAGGGTGCAATGTTAGGGTGCTGGTGTTAGGGTGCTGTGTGAGTGTTAGGGTGCTGTGTGTGTGTTAGGGTGCTGTGTCAATGTTAGGGTGCTGGTGTTAGGGTTCTGTGTGTGTGTTAGGGTGCTGTGTCAATGTTAGGGTGCTGGTGTTAGGGTGCTGTGTGAGTGTTAGGGTGCTGTATGTGTGTTAGGGTGCTGTGTTAGGGTGCTGTGTTAATGTTAAGGGTGCTGGTGTTAGGGTGCTGTGTGTGTGTTAGGGTGCTGTGTCAGTGTTAGGGTGCTGTGTGTGTTAGGATTCTGTGTCAATGTTAGGGTGCTGTGTGTGTGTTAGGGTGCTGTGTCAATGTTAGGGTGCTGGTGTTAGGGTTAGGGTGCTGTGTGTGTGTTAGGGTGCTGTGTCAATGTTAGGGTGCTGGTGTTAGGGTGCTGTGTGAGTGTTAAGGTGCTGGTGTTAGGGTGCTGTGTCAATGTTAGGGTGCTGGTGTTAGGGTGCTGTGTCAATGTTAGGTTGCTGGTGTTAGGGTGCTGTGTGAGTGTTAGGGTGCTGTGTCAATGTTAGGGTGCTGGTGTTAGGGTGCTGTGTCAATGTTAGGTTGCTGGTGTTAGGGTGCTGTGTGAGTTTTAGGGTGCTGTGTCAATGTTAGGGTGCTGGTGTTAGGGTGCTGTGTGTGTGTTGGGGTGCTGTGTCAATATTAGGGTGCTGGTGTTAGGGTGCTGTGTGTGTGTTGGGGTGCTGTGTCAATATTAGGGTGCTGGTGTTAGGGTGCTGTGTGTGTGTTGGGGTGCTGGTGTTAGGGTGCTGTGTGAGTGCTATGGTGCTGTGTGTGTGTTAGGGTGCTGTGTCAATGTTAGGGTGCTGTGTGTGTGTTAGGGTGCTGGTGTTAGGGTGCTGTGTGTGTGTTGGGGTGCTGTGTCAATGTTAGGGTGCTGGTGTTAGGGTGCTGTGTGTGTGTGTTGGGGTGCTGTGTCAATGTTAGGGTGCTGGGTGAGGGTGATGTGTGTGTTTGCAAGGATTTTGTATTGGGGGGAGGCAGGTAAATGGCACTATTAATGTTTTACTAAAAAATTATAATAATAATAATAAAAAATACATAATAAATAATAAATACATAATAATAAATAATAAATACATAATAATAATAAATAATAATAAATACATAATAAATAATAAATACATAATAAATACATAATAATAAATAATAATACTAATAAATACATAATAAATAATAAATACATAATAATAAATAATAATAATAAATAATAAATACATAATAATAAATACATAATAAATAATAAATACATAATAATAAATAATAATAATAAATACATAATAATAAATAATAAATACATAATAATTAATAATAATAAATACATAATAAATAATAAATACATAATAATAATAATAAATAATAATAATAATAAATAATAAAAATAATAATAATAATAAAAATAATAATAATAATTAATAATAATAAATACATAATAATTAATAATAATAAATAATAAAAATAATAAATACATTATATTAACCCCCCCTCTATTCTTACCTGTAGTCTGGAAGGGGGGGGGGGGAATCGTGCTCCTGCCAGCCATCCCTGGTGGTCCTCGTGGTAAGTGAACTCTAGTCCTTTGGGGCTAGAGTTCACTCTCGCGAGACCCGGCCGGTTGCCATAGCAACGGTCCGGATCTCGCGAGAGAAACCCGGCGGAGCTGCAAGTTAGAGCTCCGCCGGGTCCTCTCTCCTGGCGGCTGTCTCCCTCCCTCTCTCCCCGCCGGCGGCCGCGTTTGAGCGCATGTGGGCCGGTGAGGGAGATCTTTCATCTCCCCACCGGCCCTTCATGGAACATAGCGGGGCCGGCGCTCGGATAGCGCCGGCCCTGCATAGACCGGCAGGGGATGTCCTGGGATCTCCCCTGCCGGTCTCGGCCCCGCGGCCCACCGGGCATTTCCCCGGTGTGCCCTATGGCCAGTCCGGGCCTGCCCGGAGACAACAGAAACCAGCCTTGGGTAAAACCATAACACAGCCAACTATAGCAACCACCTATCCGTCAAGTGCAACCACTCCACCACGACAGCTTCCACCACCTGCAGTCGCCCAACCACGGTTCAGACAGCCTAACACCATTCAGTGTCATCAATGCCAGCGCTGGGGACACTACAAAAGAGACTGTCCGCAGCTTCGGGATCGCACCAAATGGATCCGGCCCGGTCCACCACCACTTCCAACCAGAGCAGCAGCCCATTGTTACCAAGCAGAGGCCGCAATGACATATGATGCAGGAGTTCCCACCACTACCGTGGGACAGTGAGAAGTACTACATGAGGCAGATCCCCTACAGGCACACGCAGACAACCGCCAACACCATCGGCATACAGTCTACCTAGAGGGAAAGGCAGTACAAGGGCTTCGCGATTCTGGAGACACCATTCCTTTGGTAAAGAGCCACCTAGTTCCCACGGACGCAAGAACCAGCAGAACTGTAACTGTAAGGGTCGCCGGGGGAGCAGTATACCGGCTGCCCACAGCCCGAGTGCATTTGAATTGGAGGGCAGGTCATGGGAAGGTGGAGGTGCCACAACTACCTGCGGAAGTTTTATTGGGGAATGACTTGGGGAAACTAACGTCAGCGTATGAACCTCAGAAACCAGCTGTTGGAGAGGCTCACCCCGTGGTTACACGCCAACAGGCCCGCACCCAGGACTACAACTCTCACCCGGAGGTTCAGGTAAGAGACCCTTCCCCATCTATGGAATGTGTACCCTGGGCCCCACCTAGTGAATTTAAAGCCGAGGTAGCTACAGACCCTACGTTACAGGTATATAGGGATAAGATAGCCACAGGGCTGGCAGGAACAGACGGAGAGAAATTCATATGGGAGGGCAAGTTGTTATACAGGGAGACAGAGAAAAAGGGAGACCCGGTTATTAGTCGTCAGTTAGTGGTACCACAGTGGGACCGATCCGAGTTACTCCGGATAGCGCATGATATACCGCTATCCGGACACCTGGGGGTCAGTCGCACCCGGTATCGACTGACCCAGAGTTTTTTCTGGCCGGGGATAAGTCATGGAGTCCGGAGGTACTGCGGTACCTGCGACACCTGCCAGAGGGTAGGAAAAAGGGGGGAAAGCCAAATTACACCCCCTACCCATAGTGGAGGAACTGTTTAGCCGAATAGCGGTGGACAAAGTAGGTCCCTTAAAGAAGGCTAGCCCCTCGGGCAAGAAATACATATTAACGGTAGTGGACTATGCTACCAGGTATCCCGAGGCAGTAGCGCTAACTAACATTCATGCAGAAACAGTGGCCGAGGCCCTCATGCGGATTTTCTTCCGCGTAAGATTACCCCGGGAGATTATTTCGGATCAAGGCACTCAGTTCACTGCGGGGATCACCCAGCAGCTCTGGAAGTTCTGTGACATTAGGCCGATCATCAGTGCCCCATATCACCCCCAGACCAATGGGCTCTGCGAGCGGTTTAATGGAACATTAAAACAGATGCTCCGAACGTTCGTGGAGACCCATCAGGACTGGGAAAAATTCCTACCTCACCTCCTGTTTGCATATCGGGAAGTGCCGCAGGAATCCACGGGGCTTGAATTGTTGTATGGGAGGCGGGTCCGAGGTCCCCTGGATCTCATTAAAGAGCACTGGGAGGGAGACCACAGCTCCACAGGTACTCCCTTCATACCATATGTACTGGAGTTTTGGAACCGACTAGAGGAATTTACCCGAGCAGTACGGGAGAACCTCCAAGCGGCCCAGACACGCCAACGCACATGGTATGATCGGAGCGCCAGGGACCGTAGCTTTCAGGTGGGACAGAAAGTTTTAATTTTAAAACCTGTTCTGCATGACAAGCTACAGGCCGCCTGGCAGGGCCCTTATAAGGTGCTGGAGCAGCACTTCGACACCACCTATATAATTGGCCCATGTGCTGGCTCGAGGGGGCGACGCATGCTCCATGTGAACATGCTGAAACCGTACCGGGAGCGCTCAGACGAGGTGACAGCCATCTGTGCACCTCCCTCTGAAGAGTTTGACTACCTTCCCCTTCCAGACCTGCTGGAGGACGGATAGTTGGGTAGTGACATAGCCGAGGTTAAGCTGGGGGAGCGGCTAAGTCCCCAGGAGCGTATGGAGATACAACAGTTGTTGAGGGAAAGACAAGAAACTTTCTCTAATGTGCCAGGCTACACGCCCCTGGCCACTCACCGCGTAGAAACCCCAGGCCAGTTACCTATGCGCCAAACCCCGTACTGCATCCCAGAGGCGGTGCGGGCGCACATGCACCAGCAGATCGATGAGATGCTCCAACTGGGAGTCATTGAGCCCTCGGATAGCCCCTGGGCTTCTCCGGTAGTCCTCGTACCTAAACGGGATGGTACCACCCTTTTCTACGTGGACTACCGGCGATTAAATGAGAAAACTGTATCTGACGCCTATCCTATGCCCAGGATAGACGAATTGCTGGACCGGATGGCTAGGGGCCAATACCTCACTACAATTGATCTTTGTAAGGGGTATTGGCAGATTCCGTTAGCCCCAGACGCTATCCCTAAGTCGGCGTTCGTCACCCCCTTCGGTTTGTACCAATTTAAGGTGATGCCGTTTGGGATGAAGAACGCCCCGGCCACATTCCAGCGGATGGTAGACCGACTATTAGATGGGTTCCAGGACTATGCCTGCGCATACCTCGATGATATTGCCATCTTCAGCAATACCTGGCAGGAGCACTTAGCCCATATAGGAGCAGTGATAGACAGGATCAGGGAGGCAGGGTTAACTTTAAAACCGGCCAAGTGCAGTATTGGGATGGCTGAGGTTCAGTACCTCGGCCACCAAGTAGGTTGCGGAAGGCCGTAGCTCAGTGGCCAACCCCTAGAACCAAGACCCAGGTGTTAGCCTTTTTAGGGACTGTGGCGGAACCAGCCTCACCACTGGACATTGGAGAAGCCTGTTTGCCCGCCTCCTGTCTGCTGACTATGGCCCCTGGGAGATTTGGCCCTTTTAATACAGTATTTGGGCATATTGTATTTTATTATGCCGCTGGCCCTTTAAGAACCATCTGGGGAACAATGCCCCTTTAAGACTATGGCCCTTGGAAGATATTACCTGTTAAAGACTATTTTAGCAGATTGGATTTTAAAAGACTTGCTGCCCCTTTAAATTGTATTGGAGCATTTCTGCAGCTTTAAATTGGCACTTCGGATGCAGCCGAAGTAGTCGAAGCTGCCGCCATTCGACAAACGAACACGTGGCGGCGGCCATCTTTAATTCAGCTGAAGTTTTACCTTCTCCAGACTTCAATGCATTCGACAGTTCGAACGCCATTCGACAGTTCATTCAACAGTTCGACAATTCGAATGGTTGTCGTTCATCTGTTTGAACTGACTTTAACATGGGAAATAGACCGACCACACAGCCTGATTCTCTGGAACTGTTTTGGGCATGAAAATGTGCTTGCGGTCGGTCAAACTTGACATATCTATCTCCCGAACGGCTGAACGGATTCAAATGATTTTTGGGTATGTTTATATTTGAAATGTGCTGATTAATAAAATGTTTTTATTAAGATTGGATGTATATTTGGATGTACATATATAAAAACTGTATTTTTCCTGCTTATGATAATTATGTTAACCCATTGTGTACCATAATTAGATCACAGGCAGAGGGGAGGATTTTGTGTATAATTGCTGGGAGTGTTTTCTGTAATGTACGTGTGTTATTGGTTGTTCTGTAAAACCCTGTGGGCAGTACTAAGTTTGTGAATTGTGAATAAAAGGGGCTGTATGTGCCAGTACAGACAGTTCTACTTCACCCTCAATTTGGAGTGCCGTCTCTTATTGGGGGAATCTGCTACAAGGGATTGCTATGCTCTGCATACTCCCTTGCTATATTCACTGCTAAGCTCTTGTAAGAGCTTGCTCCTGTCTTGCTCTCTGGAGGAGTCTACGGTGGTTATGGTGTCGACTGGAGTGCTTGGAGCCCTCAGGAAGCGCTAGGAGCATCCATCAACGGAGGTACCCAGTCGAGGTGCCAGGTGATCCGTTACAGGGACGGCAGGGTATTATAGAAAGTTTGTGCCCAATTATAGTGCCCTGGCCAAACTCCTTACCGACCTTACCCGTAAAAACCTTCCCCGTCAGGTCACCTGGACCCCGGAGTGTGAGCAGGCATTCCAACAGTTGAAGAACGCACTTGTAAATGCTCCTGTCTTGGCAGCCCCTGATCCAACTAAACGCTTTCTTGTTCACACAGACGCTTCTATGTTTGCATTGGGGGCAGTACTGAGCCAAGTCGGGGCCGATGGCGGAGAACATCCCGTGGCTTAAATCAGTAGAAAGTTGTTGCCGAGAGAAGTAAGCTACGCCGCCATCGAAAAAGAATGCCTGGCCGTGGTGTGGGCCCTGAAGAAGTTACAACCCTATCTGTATGGACAGCCATTTTCATTGCTCACGGATCACAACCCGTTAGTATGGTTGAACCGGGTGGCGGGGGACAATGCCAGGCTGCTGCGCTGGAGTTTGGCGCTGCAGCCCTTTGACTTTAATATACAATACCGCCCGGGAAAACAGAATGGGAACGATGACGGGTTGTCTAGACAAACTGAATTGGAAAAATGATCCGTGAGCATCCCTGGACATCCCCAAGCCCATCGGTGCTGGATCTAACTGTGTATGCCGGCTTGTGGGCAAGGGGGAGCAGTGTAGCAGAACCCCTTTGGCTGTCCAAACTATTCCCTTTTTATGGTTGGCACTTTTTCCCTGTGCCTGGATTATACAGGATCACCTACCACCATAGGTGGCTACACGTTGAAGGTAGAAAGATGTAACAGCTTACATGTGAACGGCTATATTCACCATACGAATTAAACTACCGAACAACCGGACCACCCTGATGTGAAGGGTGGCTGTAATTTACCTCCCTGATTGATTTTTACATTCCCTTGAACGCGCAACACTCTGTTGTATTCCCTGGGTAGCCGCCATTTCGTCAGCCGAACACGAACAAGATTCTGTTTTTGTTTTTTTATTTTACACTAAAAATGTAGCAAATTACATCATACTGTAGTTCAGACAAGGCAAAGCCAGGGCAAACATTGCAAATGAAGACGGGGAAAAGGAAACATTGTTTCAGTTCTTCTCTTGTCTGTGTCTTTTATTTATGCCTTTTGCCAGGTACAAAGGACAATGCTTATAGCAATGATTGACAGGGAGCTAAAATGGAGGTGCCCAGCAACAGCATAAAGAAGGGTGGATTTCTACTTTGAATGTAGTTTTTCACACCACACAAGCATATTTGCTAACCATAAACAGGGATAAGTAAACATAATATTAGAAATTCCGGGAAGTGACAGTTCCCCTTTAAGACTGTTCTTTTTATTAGGAATTTTATGTCGTAGTTTGCTATCCATGATTCAGGCATGGTCTTGCACGCAGCATGTGCTTGTTGGGCAGGTATATGCTGACAATGTCTCTCCTCTCCTTTTTCCAGTTCTGGAGTAGACTCCAGCAGTACTTGTGTGGCAGCAGCTTGGAAAATCCCTGCACACAGCTGATTCAAACTGTGAATAGCCTGATAGCAGCCACAGAGTGACCACTGTCACCTCTATAGACAATACCACTCACCCTATGTGATAATTGGAACTACTGAACTACAAGTTCTATTAGAAAAAACAACAGTGCATATAGTAAATATAGATCATTTATGCAACTGACTTGAACAAACTTGCAATTCATCAGATGTAGTGAGTTGCAATTCCCATCACTGTGTGGCTTGCTGAGAGTGTTGAGAGTGGTTTTACTGTAAGCAGCAGTTTAAGGGCGCAGCTCTAATCCATCATTTCTTTTTTACGTCCAGATACTCCGTTTATATTAGTTTGAGGCATGGTATGAGTCAGATTTAATTATGTGCGTCATGAAATGAATGACAAATATTTTAAGCATGTCGCTCGGATGTTAAAAAAAATGTCTAAGATATTTCATATTCGCATTATATTTATAGAATTCCCAAACAGATAGTGAATCGTCGTTTCAGTCTCCAGATGATGCAAATGATAACGTCTGTATGGAGATGACATTAGCATTCTGCATAGATTGCATTCTCATCAATGTCCTGGGAGGCACTCAACCAAATACCGTACTACACAACAGTTTGTTCAGCTTCAGCCCCGGGCTTTTCTGCACTGAAGTGGTGACTTTAATTTGCTGACGTTGCACAAGATCCTGAATGCCGATGAATATATATATTAAAAAAAAAAAATCATGTTTTTGCTAATTCCAGCAGTTTCTTTCAGAGGAATGTAATTTTTCATCTTCTGCAATTCATGCATATAAACCATTCTGCTTTAGCACAAATGTCACATAGTAAAATTGTAGGATATAGATGAATATTCTGTATATACACAGCTGTACAGCAAACTAGCAGCTGCATAGCAGGAGAATAAGCTTACATGACTATTTTCAAGATTCAGAAAAATAAGCGCAACACTAAACTTAATTCCTTTATTCATAGCCCTATCTCTTCACCTAATAGCCCTAACACTTTGCAATCTTTTTTCATTCATTTGACAGTTGACTCAAGTCATCTGATAATTTGCAAGTGATTTGTAATTTCACTAAAATCTAGAACAGGAGGCAAACATTCATTGGCAGCTGAATTTTTCCTCCCTCTTAACATCTGTAACCTGGCTACACGTTAAGTTGTAACAAGTCTCTTCCAGTGCTGCTAAAGCATGAATTATGACCTGGGAGGTACCTAACCATATGAGCTGACACTTTTATATTTGATAAACAAGCATTTGTCCTCCGTGGTGGATATCATGGCAGCCAGATGTCTGTTTTTGCCATTATGCTAAACTAAAGCTTCTGGATGGCTTAACCAGAATATTTAGAACATTTGTCTTTAAAATACTCTGAATGGGTTATAAAAGTGAGTTTTTGAGAAACGATTGCCGAATTGCTTGTGAAAATGGTGGATGGAGGAAAGTTGTTATTGCTTAATATCCTACATGATCCATAGGTATGCCCCTCCTCGTTCCCTCCGCTCTGCCCGTGACCACCTCCTGACCGCTGCTCGCACCCGTACAGCCAACTCGTGCTTGCAGGACCTCTCACGGGTGGCTCCTTTCCTATGGAATAGCCTGCCTACCACCATCAGACTCTCCCCTAGTCTTCAATCATTTAAGAAGAGCCTCAAAACCCATCTCTTCAGGAAAGCTTATGGCCTCCCAGAGTAATCTCTACCTTACATACATGTCTCTTGCCCTCTCCTAAATGGCAGCACTCTACCCTCTCCTCCAGCTCTGCTTCACTCCCACCCTATTTGATATTTCCTGTCCTAACGTGTCTTATACCCCACCTCCTATAGACTGTAAGCTTGTTTGAGCAGGGCCCTCTTCAACCTATCGTTCCTGTAAGTTTTCTTGTAATTGTCCTATTTATAGTTAAATCCCCCCTCTCATAATATTGTAAAGCGCTACGGAATCTGTTGGCGTTATATAAATGGCAATAATAATAATAATAATACATGGCAATAAAAATAACTAACTGATATAACTCACTAGGGAACTAGTCTACAGCATTATGTGTCATTGTGGATTTTAGGTGATATTCAGTAAGGACAAGGATTTCATTGTGTCTAATAGGCTAATATTGGGATTTAAGCCTTGGAGAGAGAGAAAGGAAGCAAGCTAGGTATGGGTAGGGACAGATAACTCCATATGATGTAATCTCACACCTTCACACTAGTAACAGCGGGCAGGTTGTATATTCTTCTAACAAGTATTGGAATGCTCTGGTTTATCATTTCCATATTAAGGTGTCCACAGTCATCAACCATACCCTCAGTATGCTGGCAGAACAGAGCCCCTTGTGACCTGTATCTGTATTTTTCTGTATGCAATCTATTCCTTGCTCCACCACTGAGCCGAAAGGAAATTGGATTTGGGATATATTTGAGTTGCTCAATGACTACTGACTCCATAGAGAAATGACAGAATAACAAACCTGTAATGATTTATATGCCCAAACCACAAGATAACAAAGCCAACGCTGTAGTGGCATACATTAAACATCATAATAATATAATGGGTTCTGATGTACAAGAAAGTAATATAAACATGTAATGAACTGGTTATAGTAAGAGAAGCAACAATCAGCCATCAGTAATGAGTGCATTTCTTTTGATTCCAGGTCAGTGGAGGAAGGAGAGAGGCCCTTTGCCTTAGGAATGCAGTTTGTTCTCCTGCGGACTCTTGGTAAGTATGCGCTGTCACTATCACATTGCTTAGTGCATGCACTTTCTTTAATGTCTATCCAGCCAGGGATAAACAATGTCTTAATTCTAACTATGTAGCTATATTAATGGGCCAGTTTGGCACTTTTGTGATTAAAAGAACAATCCAGACACACTTTGGGCACCAATACAATTATAGAAACACAATGGGCACCAACATAAAGCAAAACCCTGTAACTACACGTTCTCTTTTTTACAAAGCAACTTCTTTATTAGATATATTCTGAGTGCATACTCGGCTCAGCCAGTGAAAGAGGCTGGGTTACTCTGTAGAAAGCAGTAAACATTTTTCGTTTTTTTAATCAAATGCATTTGCGTTCTATTAGTACATTTAAGGTGGGATTTATGTCTGTGAGTGACTGTATGTAAAGCCCACACCCTACACACCTTTATGTGAGATCAAAAGATCTTTTTGTCTGGGCCTTGGATAGCTGACCCAAAGAGGGGTCTCTATGGCTGGTGGGGAAATCAAAGACTCTCCTACTGGCCTGTAAAAATGAAAATCCAGCGCATTCACTTATCTACTAAACAGTTATTTTAGTACTGAAAACTTTTGTTAGTTTTATTAAAAACACCTAATCTAGGCAAAAAAATAATGGGGGTTTAGTTACATTATATGATCATACATTGCATAAGCCTGCCACAACGCAAGTGTACCCCATCTTTGGCAGGTCCTACTCTGTCTGCTAAATGAGCTACTCACTTGGGGAAATCCTTCCATCTCGAGTTCTCTGCAGTACAAGGCTAAATAGGGTCCTGAGATGAGGCACCTGTAACAGGGAGGGGTGCAAAACCAAGGAGCTGGCTAGACTCCTAAATATAAACATATAGGAGAAAACAAGGGTTTGGCTGCAATCACCTAAACATACTTAAATGGGGTGCTGCTGGGGGCCAATAAGTACAGTAAAAATGAAAATCCAGCGCACTCACTTATCTACTAAACAGTTATTTTAGTGCTGAACAATTTTGTTAGTTTTATTAAAAACACCTAATCTAGGCAAAAAACAATGGGGGTTTAGTTACAGTATATGATCATACATTGGCGTTGTGGCAGGCTTATGCAATGTACGCTAATGCTGGAGGAGAGGAGGAATTACATTTTAGTTTTGATTAATTTTTTTTTATATATATATACTTGCCTATCACCCCCTATCCTCACTACTTGAAAGAACATCTCCCACTACAGAATGTATCCTTGCCATATTACGCCCCAATCCCCCACCTACAACAGCCCATAACCCAACATACTACACCCCCTTTATCCCCATACACTAAAGTCTCTATTTGCCATCAGCCACTGTCTCCCCCATACATTACTGCCACTATTCCTCCGCACACTACAGCCCCTATACCATAGTCCCTGTCCTCCCCACACATCCATCTACTTGCCTATCCCTCCTGCTACAACCCTAACACACCCCACGTACCACAGCTCCTCCACCCCACATGCAACCCCATAAACAGAAATCCAATACGAAGACTCCCACAAGTAGTCTCCCAACAAATGCAAAAACAAGCAGAATTCCCACGCATGCACCCCACACACACTCCTTACACAACGAACCACAGTATTCTACCGTACACATGCAGTCCCATATATAGGATATCCTAAATACAGCCAATACAGGACTGCACTCATTGACTGAGTGGACTCAGCTGACGCTCTCAGCCAATGGGCACAGCCCTGCATAGCTCGGTGGAAGTGAACTGGATTGCTGGACAGCTGCCGGTGCTGGCCCTTGGTGGTTCCATGTAAATTTGTTAAACTGTTATAAAACAATATGACTAATTAAGCTAGGAACATGACAGGGCTGTCCTGGCACCATAACCACTTCATCAGGCTGTAATGGCTGTGGTATTTAAAGTGTTCCTTAAAAAAATACTTATATAAAATAAAAAATAACATAGGGAAAGAACTCCCAGACAAATGTATTGCGTACACATATGTGCCGAATGTGTAACCTCCCCCTTAAATTTTATATTAAATTTAAATTAATTGTATACTTTTAAACACTTATGTCGGGCCCCTAAATATATTAAGACACACGTGTGATGATCGGCATTAATGATGTAAAGGGCTATGCTTAACACAGACCTCTAGGGCAGGGGTTCCCAATTAATTTTTTACGTGGAACCCTTTGACATAATACGCTAACAACGTGAAACCCCCCCAAAGAATATGGTGTCCTGCAAAGTCGTTTGATTTAGTGCCAAACTAAGCCTGGCTTTGGTGCAATCTGAGCATATCTTACAGTACGCAACTGTAGAGATTCTAAATTGAAACAAAAAAACAGAAGTTTGATTTGTGTCAAATAAATCCGCATATATAGAGATACCCTTAAAACAAAAAGGAAAAGTAGCTAAGCGAATAAGCCCTCTTTAAGAAACAGCGTCGGACACTCCTTGTATGTCAAAATCCTTACTAAACTCAGGAAACAAGGCAAAGGCAACTCTTTTTGTTGGGGCTGCCCCACACTCCAGTTATCTTTTCTTCCGTTGTTTCCTTTTTATTTATTTTTTGTTTTTTTGTTTACAAAAATTTACAATGACATTGAAAAAAAACTTAGATACAAAGCGAGCCATTAACAAGAAAGAAAAGAAGTCTGATAATAAAACCGAAAAACAGCTATCCTTCTTCTCTCCACAATCTAGTAGGGCAGACTCCAAACCGCAAAATTAAACTGAGCCTATAGCGAAAGAACTAGCGGTAGAACTCACCAAACCGAAGAAATAACACCCTCATTACAAGAATATTTAAATACTTGTTTTGAGATTCAACTAGAGAAGATCAAATCTGAAATCCAGCTCAACATGATGGTATTTAAAACAAAATTATCATAAGGCACCGGAGTTAAATTAACTGAGAAAAAAAATTAAGTGCTATTTTTTTTCTCAACAATATATTGATCAAAAGGATCGAAAGATTCTGAAAAAAAAAAGGATAGAAGAAATGGAACAAAAACTGGCCGATGCAGTGGATAGAGTTAGATGCAACAACTTTAGGCTCAGAGATATAACAGAACAAATCACTAATGACAAACTAGAAGAATTTGTTTTAGAATTTCTTCAGAAATTAGGAATTTAGAACGCCACCAACTCAGCGATACTGGAAAGATGCCATAGAACTATGAGAACACGTCAAATGCCGGAACACTCTCCAAGAGATGTATTAATATGCTGCACATCATATAAAACAAAGGAACATGTATTAAAACTATCAAGAACAGCGCAACTGGAGGACCCCTTTAACAGAATCAAAATATTTTAAGATTTTTCCTATTACACAAGAGCGAAAAGAAGATCGTTTGTTTACGTTCTGTACAAAAATTTTAAGGGAAAACAATATCCGCTATAAATGGGGTTTCCCAACTAGACTCATTATTCTCTATGAAGCAACATCTTACATCATGGCAGATCCAGACTCAACATTTCAGTGGCTTAAATCCAAGAACCTGGAAGAAGTTGACACATAAAATAAAGAGACACAGCAAAGGAACACAAAAGAGAAAGGAGCTTTTGGTTATTTTTATTTGTACTTAGAAGTTTAGTTACAATGCCACATGGTTCAACAAGAAGTAGGAGGGAAACTACTAAAAGGAGAAAAAGCACAAAAAAAAAAAGTAGGTATTAGACATACAGATTTCGGGGAACTCCTCCGTTTTGAGAACTGATTAATTAGTATAAAGCACATATAAGTGGGATATGATAAAGGAAAGGGGGGAGAAAGGTACTAGGGGGAAAATACATATAAGAAACAAAATCAAATAAAATCACTAATGGGCGTAAAGGAAGGTCACAAAGTTTGAGAGATTGAGATTGTTACACTATATAAGAAAAATAAGAAACTGAAATAGGATCCACAGAAAATACCGTATTTTTCGCTCCATAAGACGCACTTTTTTCCCTCAAAAGTGAGGGGAAATGTCTGTGCGTCTTATGGAGCGAATGTGAAGATTTACTTACCTGTCTTGGAGCGTGGGCCGGCTTCACAGCGCGCTCCGCGGTCCAGGAACTTCTATTTCAGGTTCCGGTTTCCGGCGGGACTGAAAGGAAGTGCACAGTGTGCACACTTCCTTTCAGTCCCGCCGGAAACCGGAACCTGAAATAGAAGTTCCTGGACCGCGGAGCGCGCTGTGAAGCCGGCCCACGCTCCAAGACAGGTAAGTAATTATAGGACAATGGGAGGGGAGACACTATGGGAGAAAGGGGAGGGGGAGACACTATGGGAGAAAGGGAGGGGAGACACTATGGGAGATAGAGGAGGGGGAGACACTATGGGAGAAAGGGGAGGGGAGACACTATGGGAGAAAAGGGGAGGAGACACTATGGGACAAGGGGAGTGGGGGACACCTATGGGAGCAGGCGAGGGGGGACACCATGGGCGAAAAGGAGGGGGCACCAGTGGACAAGGGGAGGGGAGACACCATGGGAGAAAAGGAGGAGAGATACCATGGGAGAAAGAGGAGGGGAGACACCTGAAGGAGAAAGGAGGGGAGACACTATGGGAGAAAGGGGAGGGGGAGACACTATGGGAGAAAGGGGAGGGGGAGACACTATGGGAGACAATGGGACAAGGGGGGACAAGGGGACACTAGAAAGGGAGGGAGACACTATGGGAGAAAGGGAGGGAGACACTATGGGAGAAAGGGGAGGGGGAGACACTATGGGAGAAAGGGGAGGGGGGACACTATGGGAGAAAGGGGAGGAGGAGACACTATGGGACAAGGGGAGGGGGAGACACTATGGGAGAAAGGGAGGGGGAAACACTATGGGAGAAAGGGAGGGGGAGACACTATGGGACAAGGGCAGGGGGAGACACTATGGGACAAGGGCAGGGGGAGACACTATGGGATCAGAAAACTAATGGACAAGGGGAGGAGGGGTTAAAGAACACTATGGGACAGGGTAGGAGGGGTTAACAATCACTATGGGACAGGGGAGGAGGGGTTAACAATCACTGTGGGACAGAGGAAAGGGGGGTTAAAGATCATTATGGGACAGGGGAGAAAAAAAAATATTCTGAACATACTGTCCCATAGTAAGAAACACTATGGAACAGTTTGTTCAGAATAATTTTTTTACTGGGTTTCCTCCTCTAAAACTAGTTGCGTCTTATGGTGAGGTGCGTCTTATGGAGCGAAAAATACGGTAGTTTTTCAGTGGATCCTCTGTAGATTAATTGCACAGTATTAATTATAGGTTTCACTTAATATCATTTCAGGTCAATAAGTCGACAGTATAGAAATACACAATAAGAATGATAAACCAATGTTAACATGGATAAATAAAGGGAAAAAAGATGATAGACATATAAAGAAAAGATACTGTTGAACATTAATAGCTATCACTAAAGTTTTAATAGGTCAAAAAGAGTATTATTTTAGGTTTGAAGTAACACTAAGGTAATGTTAATTACTAAATAGTTAAAAAGAAAGGGAAAGGAGAAAGGGATTTTTTTTTTATGAATCCAACAACAATTTGTCTCTAACATAAAGAATGTCGTGCCTTTGAAATTAATACGATTGCTCGGGTTGTATCTCCACACCCTCAGCTCATAGATTTATGAGGTGGGTGAAGTGTCCCTGTAGCCCATATGAGCCCAGGAGATACTTCCTAAATTCCCAATTAATGATTTGAGTTAGTTTTATGGTTTTTATGTGGTTTATGTTTTTTTATGTACATTCTGGGACCATGGATGAAAGTGTGGTTGGAGACCGCTTGCGTGTACTGGTCATTTTTTGATGGTTGATGGTTAGGCTGGTCTCAATCAATGCCCAAGGCCTTAATTCATTTCAAAAAAGGAGCATGCTTTTAGATTGGTTAAAAAAGGAAAAAGTTTCAATAGGATTTATACAGGAAACTCACTGGAGACTGAAGGGTAAAATAAGACAGACAGGAATCTCATTTAATCAAGCTAGTAAATTTAGTCAGCTAATTCTAAGAGTGTCCTTATTAGATACCTGGAGGACATTACACCCTAAAAAGAGAGATTTTAAGTTTTTCTAAGTCCCATTGCGCCTATTCGCATATAGATATGATTTTATCGCATGTAGGAGTGCTGACCAGGACAGAGGCCTCAGAGATAAGGCTGGTTCCATGGTCTGATCATGACCCTGTACTGTTAGAACTGCAACAACAATTAATTAAACAGAGACCAGAATGGAAATAACACGACAGGATACTCTTGCCAGAGGCAAATAGAAAACATATAGCAGACTCAATATTTTGAGGAAAATAAAGAGTGTGGAGTCTCTATTATGACAAAATGGTGTGCACTTAAATGTGTGATTAGAGGTCAGTGGATAAAATTAGATGCCCAAATGAGAAAAAATAGAGATCTCACCATCTAGCGGAGATCTCACCATCTAAAGAAACTAGTGAAAAAATAAAGGATGTAGAATCTAAAATTAACAGTCAGTTATTAAATAAAGCAAATAGAAGTCTCCAAACGTTAAGAACAATATACTATTATAAAGGAAAAAAGGTGAATAAATTGCTATCGAATAAAATTAAAAGGAATATCAGCCAAGCTATTATGGCCCTTTATTCAGCTCCTTTGGGCAGAATTATAGGACAAGGGATCAATTCTGATTAGTTAGACCTGGGAAATGGAACCTGCCAGGGATGTCCTCTCTCACCTTTCTTATTCATACTATCAGCTGAACCTCTAGAAATAGATATCCGCTCTAATCAAAAAAATCAGGGGTTATAATTCTAAAAATAGAGAAATAAAAATAAGTCAGTACGCAGATGACACTTTGTAAGACTCTCATAGATCCGTTCAGATCTACTAAAGAAGCAATGCATTTCATACAGAAATTTGGCAGCGTATCTATTTATACGTTAAATGTGGCAAAGACTGTGGAAATGCCACTACATATGAGGAACCAATAAATTAAAGAATTGGATAGGCAAAATGGATTTAGATGGGGAATAAATAGCTATAAATATATAGGAGTTAACATCACAGCACATCCCAATAAGATAATTGAAGCAAATTTCTGGCCACTATTGAGAGGTACTTATCATTCGTTGAAATGATTGAGAACATTAGAGATTTTGTGGTGGGGTAGGGTGAATATATTAAAAGCATACATTGTACCAAAATCTATTTACTTTTTCAGAATGATACCACTAGAGGTCCCTACTCCCTGGTTAAAAATGCTCAATAAAGCTTTCTCTAAATTCGTATGGCTCGGAAGAAAGCCTAAGATAAGCTCAAACCTCTTATCCCTAAAACAAAAAAAAACCATGGAGGAAAAGGCTTCCCAGATATTTTTTTATATCAGAGAGCAGCTCAGTCCTTTGAACTGATTATGTATTGTATGTAATGTCAGTCTTGACATTAAGCTTTTTGTAATTAGATAATCGTTAACCGATCAAAATATTATGGTGAATGTTTTGTACTTTATGTAAGTAATTTATTATGAAATTCTAAATAAAATATAAGTTTGGAAACATAGGATGATAGCTCATAAAGTTAGATCAAAATTGTAACTTTGTGTACAGATTGCTCTTTAGGGATACCTATAAAAATTAAATTGTATACATGAAAAAAAAAAAAACTTGTATTTTTTCCATGAGAAACTGTATCAATACTGGGGTACACAAATAATCCCTTATCTTGTAATACACATTTATGCTTGAAAAAATATGAAATACTTATTCATTATAAAAAAAAATAAAAAAAATATTTCATTACACCAAGTGCAACTCAAGAGAAGTCAAATCAAGAGAAGTAATGGATTCTTTGGAAGTTAGGCCATGTTACATTAGAAAAATGCAGAGTGAACTCTATACATGTACACACTCTCGCCCAGCCCACTTTGCATATGTGTATATCGTGGGTGCATTGAGGATACTGGCTTTGGGACAGCAATTAGGGTAAATCCGGCCGCGCCTATTGGATTTCTATAACAAAGTTATTTTGGAATCAATGTATAGACTCTTGCAGACTTGAATGTATGGCATAATGAATTTTGTTACTTGTATGTATTTTATGCAGTTAATGTGTACAAGGCATAAGGAACAAACTCAAAATCACATGCTGATAAATATTTAAGATCTGGTTAGCCTGAGATTAATTTACTAAACACAGAGTGGACCCAACATGGGATCATTATCTCTGCAATTATTTATTCATTTTACATAGTGAAAGCTAAAGCAATAGGCTGTTTGCCCATTTTGGCCCAAACTGATTTTTTAGCAAAATGCTTTTGCAGTTAATGAAAAGGCAACCACTATGGAGATTTCTTGAGGAACCTGAAGTAATCAAAGGGTGCAAAGCTGTAAACGTGAATGAATCACCTATGAGATTATTTTGCTGTTTTCAATGGTTTCTATGGTGATGTTCCAACTTTTAGAACTTTGCATCACTTTTTTTCACTTTTTAAGTGTTCAGCTCCCGATCACAGTTCAACAAGGCAATAAGGATATTTGTATGAAAACCTAGGTTAAGAATGAACTACTGTGAATGAATGCACCATACACACACAACCAGCCCAAAATATAATATATATATATTTCCAGAATAAAGTGGATGGCTTCTCTTAGGACTTTGCCCACATTCCCAAATAAAATGCTGATAAAAGGAGAAAAAATGTTAGAAATACAAAATGAACACAAAAAAACACATAGTGTAACACACACAATAAAATACAATATTGTATTGCTTCTGATTTATTGGACTAATGTAATATTTCAAAGACACGCTTTCGAGAGAATTCCTCTCTTCCTCAGGAAAACTCTTGAAAGCTTGTCTTTGAAATATTATGTTGGTCTAATAAAAAAGGTATGATATACGGCTACTCTAATCTACACTTCTGATTTTATTACATATCCTTCGGCCTACCTTCGGCCAAGATCCTTGAACAGAGGTTGAAGTACATCACACTGACAGATTTATTCACAATTAAAAGTGAATTTTAAATTAATACATAGTAGGGAAAATATTCTAAGTCAACTTTGCCTTCAGTTCAGCAAGTTTAAGCTAAAATGTGAAATTCTCCTTGAATTAGAATTCTCACTGCGTGAATAACCCTGTGAGTACATACAAGGCTATTGTTTATTGTTTGTGAGTGCAATAATTATTATTAAGGTTTGTAATTGTGTTACACCTGTGTTATTTTGAATTCCTTTTGGACTGTCAGTGTCTCTGCTTTGTTAAGGAAAGAAAACCACTAAATTCACATTCTGCCTTTTCAGACAATTTTATTCTATAGTTAAACTAGTTTTTCTTACATTTAATAAATCAAGATTTTTTTTCAGTTTATCAGTACATGAGTATAATTCCACAAAATCTGTAAGTTTGCAGTTTTCCACCTCCTACTAATGCTTCATCTACCGAGGACCACAGTTCCTGCTATGCTTTGAGAGCCAGAGGTCACCTTTTTGTGGCAAGCCCTGTTTTTAATAGAATTAATACTTCAGCAATTGCTCATGGTAAATTATAGTTTCATTTCAATTACTCGTATGTTGTTTACAAAGAATGGCCATTAGATGGCACCATTACACAGCAATTAGACTTGGTGCACATGTATAGCTTGGTTTTCATTTTAGAGACTATTTCACATATATTGAACATAGGTGCATTTCATGTTATAATTCATGAGTTTTTCAAAATCCTGCATCACTGCATACACTTTGCTCTTCTGTATTCTCTCAGGTTTGTTATATTGTTGATTATGTTTATGCAGTTTCAGACACATTTGCTTTAGTAATTATTATTATTTTTATTTTTTTTAGCAAATGCACTTATTTTTTTTAGGAAATCTGTAGGGAGGTTGTGTGAATCTCAAAAGGGGCTATGGCTAGTGCTGGATAAGCAAAGTGATTTATCCTTTAAATGGCTGAAAATTGAACAGTGAGATGGGCAGGGTCTGTAAACCAAAACCGCATCATTAAGCTAAATAATGGGGGACGGACAGATAACTGTCCACCCCCTGCCCTCACCTATGGTCAGCAGGTGGGGGCTAATATCAGGGGGATAATCTAGTTTCTTCCCCCACTCCCTACCTTTAGGCAGTGGTTGTGGGGCCTAATTATAATATTCACTGGGAAGAACCTATTGGCATGTATAATTGTGGCCTTCACTGCTACCAGGGGAGGACACTAGGTGTGGGCCAGGGGAGGACACTAGGCTCTCACCCCTTTTCTTTTTTAAATAGCCCCCATACACTGATATTTAAAAATCCACCGTACATAAAATATTCTAAAATCCACTGTAAAATACCCATACACTGATATTTTAAAATCCACCATACGATGCCCACAGGGTATGTTATTTATTCAGTGGGGATGGTGCCAAAAGTTCAGTAGGTATGCCACCACCTGCCACATGGCAGGTGGGGGCATAACAACATTTTAAACCTCCCTTATTGTAATATGGTGCTCTTACTGATCCCCATAGGTTTTTATTGATTAATTTTAACATTTTTAATGTGGTGGCTGACTAGCAAGTGCCACATAATTAACCCTTGTACCGCTGAGGGTTATTAACCAGTTTAGGTTTAGCCCTGGTTGTTAGTGCTGCCAGTGGACAAACAGCTCAGGTTTTTTTTTTGGTTCTTTTTTTAAATCCGGGCCCAGATTTGAAGCATTCATGTCTGCTTTTCATCTATCTGCCAACGTCTGGTCTGACTAAAATCTTAACCTCAATTCAGGCCAGTTGAAAGCCTGAATTGCAAAATCTGGACATTATTTGTTAGTGTGAATAATGTTCTGATTTTTCAATCAGAATGGCCCTGTATGCAGCTTGACTGTCTTGCCCTATTTGGTACATGGCTATTTGAACTTTGATAAATAACCCCTATAGATATTTCTATTATTCCCCTTACAATAAGTAATAATTATCATTACAGTTATGTTAACGATCAATCATTATTCAAATAACTGAGATTGAGATGTTTCATAAATGTATGTTTATTTTATTTTTGCAGCTTACATTCCTACTCCCATCTACTTCGGGGCTGTTATTGATACAACTTGCATGCTTTGGCAGCAGGATTGTGGAGTTCAAGGCTCTTGCTGGGAATACAACGTGACATCATTTCGTTTTGTTTATTTTGGACTGGCAGCTGGTCTGAAATTCTTAGGATTCATTTTTATATTTTTGGCTTGGTATTCCATAAAACACAAAGAAGATCAGTTGCAGAGGAGGCGGTGGAGAATGTCTCCAATAAGCACAGTCAGCGAGATGGTTGGGAATACAAGAGCTGAGCCAAATTATGCACGAACTAGATCTTGTCCTGCCTTCGGTGGTCGAAAAGAACACAATGAAAATACAAACCTCGATGGAGGAATCCAGCATGTAGCACAAACCTATCCTGGGCCCTTTCTGGAAGCAATAAATACATCCTTTGAAAATTCTCAAGAAGAAACACCGGCCGACACATAAATCAGATAATGAGATCTAATTTGGTTGGTTCCGCACGGCGCCTTGTGCAACATGTGCCTTTTTTAATTAACTAAACTGGAAAAAAGAGAACATCCCACAGGGTGATTGAGGGCTGGTTACCTCAATGATTATTTTACCCTCTTCCACAACTGGAGCTTTTAATTTTTGGTGGCATCTCCGAACCTATGTAATAGTCTTCTGTCCAAAGTAGGCTGGGGCCCCAGCTAAGGGGTGTCAAATTCCATTATTAGGTGCAACCGCCACTCAGGGAGTTGTTCCGTCTTATGCAGTGTTAATTGTTTTATTACGTATTGATTAGAGAAATTCTAAAAATCTAGACCAGGGCTAGAATACTTTGGTGGACTTCATCTCCGATAATGCTCTTACAGCCATAATGCTGGCAAACCAGGAGGAGAGATGTAGTTTACAACATCTGGAGTGCCGAAAGTTACCTAACCCGGGTCTAGAAGGATTAAGTCCCTCAAGATTCAAGTTTGACACTCCTGCCTTAAGTAGAGATATGAAGTCCCGGAAAAAAAATATTTAGCAAAAATAAATCATTCTCAAATATATATATTTTTTGTTTTGGGGAGTTTGACCATTATTGTAAGCAAAAAAAAAAAGGTAAAATATTATTAAATGGGAAATATTTTGTGTGTCATTCAATCAGATGTAGTAAAATGAAAAAGATTTGCCTGAACCAAAAACTAGTTGACCGGAGATAAAGGTTACCATGCAAATATCTTGTCTAATCTCCTGTTTAACGACCTTGCTGCCCCTTTGACTATTAAATGGAACCTTGAGGAACCTAAAAGGGTTAATTTGTCAGGCTAAGCAATTTGCACAGTTGCATATAGGGCTAATTATTCATCTTATACTTATTATTGGTGTACAAACAGGCCAGGGCAACTATAAAGTTTAAGACAGTTTTATTTAGAGTTCTATCACCAGTTAATGCCTGTCCCATGCCATAGGATTGCACAATTCTACATCAATTTTTTCCAAAGAAAGTGCATCAGACACACTACAGAATTATCATTTGATCTTTGTTTTCAGCAAATCAACCCCATGGTTGACATTTCAACCCTCCCAGGGCTTGTAACATTGTCACTATATTTGATATTTTGAAAATAAAAGTCACATGAAAATTCTCCTGATAGTTGGCCATACTCCATTTTGAATTTATGGGCCAGGACAGAGGGCAGGCTGTACAGCACCTGATATAAGATTGGAACTGGTATAAAATTAGTGTGTATCTGTATATATATTGTACATTGATTTTGTGGTCAACTGTGTTTCCATGCCAGAATTTCTTGAATGGTCCTCAACCTGGGTAAAAAAATAAATTTAAAAAAATTGAATGTATTCGATTTACACATATTTTTGTTTTCATCTGTATGTAAAATGCATATGTTGAAAACTTCCCCCAGCTTTTTACATTATTTCATGCAGCTCCAAAAAATGTCTGCCACCTTTAAATTTCTGGAACCTTTACATCTCTAGCTTCAAGTATAGTATGACAAGTGCTCTGCGTCATATCCCAATGCTAGTCAATCTTCGGTTCTACGTTCTGCATACAACCTGTAGCTCTCCATCTGTTGTTTATATTCACTCTTCATGATACAGCATCAAGCTGTAGTTCTGAAGCAATTGTTTAAGTGCACTCTTATAGCGGTCTGTAACCAATTCCAGTAATTATCCATCTGAAATACATTACATTTCTCACGGGCTGGCCTATAACCAAATTAAAAATCACCTTCCTGAGAAAACCAGAAGATAATGGATCTAAAAGAATAGGGCATACACCAAATGGTTGGCACAAAAATAGCCAAAATTATATTTTGAGAGGAACCAGGCATAAAGTGAACTGTGCTAAATACAATCTCAGCTCTTGGAGATGAATGAGCTGGCCAGAAGTCTGAAAAGCAGTCACACTGGGATCCTCGGGGGCGTGTATGAGATATGCTAATAGGCTGGTTGCAACATTAAGGTCTCTACATGTGACGTTTACATCAAGATGGAGAGCTGCAGGTTTTATTCTTGTGAACTTGAAGAATATGTATTATTTAATTTGCTGTATGCCATTGTTACCTGTAAGTAGATGATGTAAAATGTTACTGTGAGGCATGCTAAAAAGCACAACTTAATTAGCTGAAACTATGCAACTATACTATGGAAAACTGCGTTTGAAGCATGTTAGGAAACTTAGAATAGGAAGAGAATCTATAGTAAGAACGACACTAAACTAATAAGCTAAAGCCATAGTAATGCTCTTTGTCAGGGTGAGTTTCTTTTCTACTAAACAGCTTTGCTATATTGCTAAATGCATTTTATATGACAAATACCTAAATGCACACTTAGAAATATTATAATTAGTAATCATCGTTAGCTAGTTTTAAACAACTGTGGGCAAACCATGGCCCCTTTTGATTTTGTTGGAAAATAAATTCCATCTACCTTTATACTGCAGGCGGTGAAAGGTGATGTCCAACAAAAACATGTGGGCAACAGTTTAAAACTTGTCTCACAGATTTAAAAAAACAAAAACACTACATTATATTTAATAAGTGGTATTGAGTTAGAGAGATTTATCCCAGTGAATGCTAAAAATATTTTATAAAATTAGTTTATCATCTTGAGAACAAGAACTGTCTTAATTAGATAACTCTTCTGCTGTATCAACACTCTTTGCTAATCATTGCATCTGTTTTCCTAGGACCTACATAGTAGAAAATAGAAATTGATACTTGGTATTCGAACAGTACAGTTTACAAATTTCAAACAATATGCCAAATACAACCCAGTCCTTCACTGTTTATGCATTATCCAACTTATCACTCGTATATTGAAAGAACTAAATAGTTGCTCAGTGGATGTGACTCTACATCAACTTTTGGCCTTCAGATCAGCTTAGGGCAACCATCCCACATTACAAATGAGATAGAGAAATGTATTCATCAGGTTTAATTTCCCTGATGCTATCATGGGACAAATAATAAATCATAGGACAAATTATGGGACAAATCCATAGATCATAGGACAGATCATGGGACAAATCATAGATCATAGGATAGATCATGGGACAAATCATAGGACAGATCATGGGACAAATCATAGATCATAGGATAGATCATGGGACAAATCATAGATCATAGGATAGATCATGGGACAAATCATAGGATAGATCATGGGACAAATCATAGGACAGATCATGGGACAAATCATAGGATAGATCACGGGACAAATCGTAGATCATAGGATAGATCATGGGACAAATCATAGGACAGATCATGGGACACATCGTAGATCATGGGACAAATCATAGGACAGATCATGGGACAAATCATAGGATAGATCACGGGACAAATCGTAGATCATAGGATATATCATGGGACAAATCATAGGATAGATCACGGGACAAATCGTAGATCATTGGATAGATCATGGGACAAATCATAGGACAGATCATGGGACAAATCATAGGATAGATCACGGGACAAATCGTAAATCATAGGATAGATCATGGGACAAATCATAGATCATAGGACAAATCATAGATGTGTCAGTCATGAATCATCAATTTACCTACGGCATACATTTCATACAATATACCTCTCTGTGAATAGTATAGCCAAATCATTATGTATACCACATACAGTCTCGTGCATGTTAATTGTAAGGCTGTCTGCCATAATGAGATTTGTAAGGGATTTATGCGAGAGCATATATTGTAAGTAGTCCACACGTGTTGAGTTTATTGTAATAAACTCCCTTTATAAACCTACTGATGACCTGTGGCCACCAAAATACCTGTGGGAGTAGAACATTTGGGTGACACAAGTTGATAACTAAATGAGGTAGGCTGCCACACGTTAAAGATATATCATAAGCATATAGCCAGAGTAATTGTGCAAGGAATATTTGGAAGCAGTCCCTTCAAGTTTCGTAAATTTTCTTTCTCAGGAGATTTGGCCAAATGTAGCCCTTTCTCAGGGCTAGATCTCAGCTGCTGCTAAGGTAATGTAGATGTTTCATGTCCCCAATATCAACCCATATCAGTCCATTATTGCAATTCAACCTTTGACAGATTTGGCCAAATAATAGAAGTAGCATTTCTAGAATCTCAGCAACAGTAGCAGAGGTGGTGGGTTTTAAGTGCCAGGAGAGAACATATCAGTTTTAGAAAATCTATAGTAACTGCACCCATCCACTATGATAATCTATAGTGGTAAGAGTGTGGAAAGTGTCTCTTTAAACATTGTTGAGTCTCTTTAAGTCAGTTTAGAAGAATCTGCACCACTATATACAATCAGCTTGTGGTGCTTTTCAGATGACTTTCTTGTAAAGAGAAGGATTAGTCAGTCGTTAATGGCTGTATTTGTTCTACAGAGGGCTTTTTACTCCTGGTCAGCAGCAATGCATGTTAAAGGGATACTCCAGGCACCCAGACCACTTCTGCCCATTGGAGTGGTCTGGGTGCCAACTCCCACTACCCTTAGCACTTCAAGTGTAATTATTGCAGTTTTCAGAAACTGCAATAATTACCTTGCAGGGTTAAGTCCTCCTCTAGAGGGAGTTCTGTGTTCTTAGAACACGAAAAGTGTGTTATACGACGCTGGACGTCCTCACGCTATGTGAGGACCTCCAGCGTCGCCGAAATCCCCATAGGAAAGCATTGCATAATGCTTTCCTATGGGGAGGTCTAATGCACGTGGGCGGCCATTGCCATGCATGCGCATTAGGCCTCCCCCGCCAGCTGACGTCGGTGGGGGAAGGAGAGTAGGCGGAGCCTGACCCAGCGCCAAGGAAGATATGCGCTGGACTCCGGAAAGTCACTGAAGGGGTTTTAACCCCTTCAACAACTTGGGATGGGGGGAGAGGGGCACTACAGGATCCTGCAGTGCCAGGAAAACTAATATGTTTTCCTGGCAATGGAGAATCCCTTTAAATTCACTTCTGAATAAAAAAAATATCTTTGATCTCTTTAGATCAAAACAGCC